CGGTGATCCTAAACATATTAAGGGTATCATATTTTTCACGATTCAGTTCTTTACAGTCACTATCATGCCACACAGCATCCACACTTTGTCGTGATGACGATTCATGTTGCGTCATACCACAAACATCAGCAGCTTTGGTAATACACGATGTTAACTGCCTCTCAGCCGCATCGATATCTCTGTTTATTGCATCTGTAAATGTGTCCACAATGTATGATAAGAATAGTTCAGAAATTGCTTTATCAAAAGTAGAAGCTTTATCTGCGGTCCATTTATATTAAGCTATCTTCGTAGATCTCATAATGTCATTGGGAACGTAACTATCATTTCCATTCTTTAAAAACGTACTTGTAATCAGAAAATGATCACACCTAGTCAATACACAAAAATCATAAGTCAAATCAAACAAGTTACTTGAACATAAGCAATAATCAACTATACTGGCTCCCGAACCAGCAATACAAGTAAAGTCACCACCCGGGTCTGACTGTGACCTACCGTTCATCATGTGAATACCTAGCGAACAACACAAGTCTATTAGGTCAAATCCATATGAATTGATCATATCATCTGTAGATTGACAGACAGACAGACAGAAGATTTTATTTACGTCTCATTCGTGGGGATACATGCATATAAAATTAAGAATTAAGACATGTATTGTATACGACCAATCGCTTAGCGATTTATGAGAGACACTTTAAAACTTAAGTAAAATATATACAACAATGCAAAACATTAAAACACATATGTACACACATAAAACACTATTGATGTAAAAGCTGGCGTCTCTTTCTTAAAATATCATGACAGGCTTTGGAATAATAAAAGCTAAGGTCCGGGCTGGATAAAATACATAAAAACTGCTCCCTGGGTTGTTTACTTATAAAACCCTGCACAGTACGAATACACTGTTTAAAAAGTAAATATCTTACATCTTTGTATAAGGGGCAAGATAAAAGAACATGTATTTCGTCTTCGACTTTATCTGTACAGTTAAAACAATAACGTTGACTAAAAGGTATATTTTCGTAGCGCCCCGTTTCTACACGTAAAGGAGCCACCCCACAACGGAACTTGACATAGGCACTTCTTTGGCCACGGGAGAGTTGGTATGTTAGATATTGTACTGAGGAAAACTCTTTTTTGTATTGTTTATAAATTCTCAGTTTATTCCTTCCGTTGTTTCGTGCAGATGAATCTTTTAAAAGCAGATTTTTTCCATTTTGTTATATATTCTTCAAAGACTGACGTCTTCACTGTTTTTACAAATAGCCGCGGGTTTCAATAGGCATCTCTACATTACAAAAGTGACCTAGGTCCATGTTACGTAGACGGGATGTTACCCTGAAGTTCCAACTTTTCATTTGACACTGTTCCGTCCACCTGAATATTCTATTGTTTAAACGCCTTTGTGATGTGTTACACATTCTGGCCCAGTGTCTACACACAGCTGCCCACTGTCTCACTATTGGAGGTACCCAGCCACTTTCACCATTTACTGCTACATTTGGGGCATACTTTCCGAGTCCCAAAAAGAAACGTATAGCTCTGTGGTGTAGAGCGTTTACTGCTGAATACTCTGCTGTTCCCCATATTGCCGCTCCGTAGCTCAGCACCGACCATACCATTGTATCATAAGGTTTGGTATATACATTAAATGGCATACCACCTAGTGCTTTATATTTTGATATGAGAAGTCCGAGAGCTCTATTAGCCGATTTCACTGCATTTTTGGCCATTAAGTTATAGTTTAAGTGTTCAGTAAGTAATAAACCCAGATAATGATAGCTATCACATATATCTAACTTAGTTTCACCACATGAAAAAAATGTTTCTGACCTTGGAGTGGAATTGCATCGGAAATGTATCACTTTTGACTTTTCTTGATTTATTAACATCTTGTTATCTTGACACCACATATCTAGGGTAGATAGGAGAAATTTGAGGTCTTCCTCTGTTTCAGCTAGGAGTACAATATCATCAGCGTAGGCCAGAATACCAACAGTTTCTTCTCCTATTTTGACACCCTTTTCAGTTGCATTTACTGCCTTGATTAGGTCGTCCATAGAGCAGGGGGGAGAGCAGGCTGTTCACTGTAAACCATGGTGTGTTGTGTACTCGATTGATCCGGACAGAGCAGTGTACATTCTGATACAGTGATTTGATTGCTGACAGCATTCTTCCCTTCACACCATACTGCGAAAGTTTTCTCCATAGCAGACTCCTGTTAATTCCGTCATAGGCCTTTCTGAAGTCAATGAAAGCAGCAAAGGTAGATTTTCGCATTAACTTCCTAGTTTCGACTATACTAGTTATTGAGCTAACGTGATCGATTGTTGATCTTCCACGTCTAAAGCCATTCTGTTCATCACTTATTATGTAGTTCTTTTCCGACCATTCAACTAGGCGAGTGTTCAATACTCCACAGTATATCTTGTAAATTACTGGAGCTAGAGTAATTCCCCTGTGCGTGAGAGGGTCTCCTGGGTCACTTGACGAGGATTTCGGTATAGGATTGATTACGCCTTTTGACCACATTTGTGGTGTACGTGATGTTGAAAAACATACATTAAAGAATCTATGCAGTGTTTGAATTGTTCTTTCTCCTCTTAGTAACTGTATCTGAATTTCATCTACTCCTGGAGCTTTCTTGTCTTTAATTCTGCCCATCGACCGGCGTACTTCCTCTAGAGTGATGTCCTTGTTAAATGGTATCAGTGGTGAGGTATCGTCATTTACTTGAGTTTCAGTGTCCGCTGACTCTGTATTGCCGTTTAAGAGTTCTTTCAAGCACCTTTCCCACTTGTTTAGAACACACACTTTGTTACGACACGTATTTCCTTCTTCGTGCAGAATTTCTAATGGAATAGTTTTCTGCCTTTCGGTTCCTACTCCTATCTTACCGATTTGTCTCCAGAAATCCTCGTTGTTATCATCCCACATAAGTTCCAGTTCCAGAACTGAACTCCTGTAATGTCTTTTCTGCTTCTGAACACATTTATCGAAATCTTTCCTCAGCAAAATAAACTCATGCCTTAACTGCCTTTTACACTGACTACTAGCTCTACACCATGGCTTCTCTGCTGCACATATGTCGTTCCACTTGTGAGATAACTGTTCGTTCCACCAGGGGTGTCGTTGTCTTCTTTTCTTATTACTTTTCCCGGCAGACAGGTTCACACGGATAACAGGAAGTTTATCTCTCATTTCATTTTTAATAATATCAACACATGCAGTGTAAGCCTCATCTAGACTACCTTGATCTCTCTCCGACAGTTCAAGACTTTCAATTATCTTGTTTAGCGTTTCTTGAATGTCATCAGATTGAAGAAAGTCCTGGGGGGGGGGGGGGATTTGTTAATTCTAAATTCATCCGATGTATAGTTCATATTTCCTAAAGAAGGAATATATTCATTTCCATCTTCAATGATATAGTCTCTCAAGTTACCAGTTCTGGCATTTAAATCGCCCATAAGTATAAAGGAAATATCACTTGTTTGAATATCTGTCAAACATGAGAGTAAACAACTCTCTAAATAGTCGATATTCTAGCCAAATGTGTTTGATGTATCTCTTGACCAGCTGCTACTTCTCCCCTGGTGTTAAAGTCGCGTTGATTTATATAAACAGTATATTCGGAAAAAGCACTACAAATGTCGTTTAAAGTTACATTCCTCCAGATTTCAACACAACCGAAAATGTCAAATCTAGCACAGAAAGTTATAAAATCCTGATCGAGTAATTTCTATTTTAATCCATTGACATTCCAAGCTACAAACTGTCGTTGTTTACAGTTGTCAATTGCTGTCAACACATGATGGGCCGGGCCGTCTCCCTAGCAATCTGAAGCTCTATCATCAAGCGCACTGACTGCACGTGCAAGTCCTGGTTTCTGTCCCGACTTGAGAGTTGTGACGTAATCTGAGTCAAGGTCGTATGTGTAAATATTATCCTCGATATCGAATTTCAGATATGCTTTTTGATCATTTTCACGAGCTTGAATCATTACAGCAGAGACCATATAATAGACTATTATATGGTCTCTGGTTACAGATAGTAATTTCTTTCTCTTCTGCCTTACCCTCAGGGAAAGATCTTCTGTGATAAACTTACCAGTGTTTTTCAAAGCCTTTGCAGCCTTCAAAATAAACACTTTGTCCTTTTCGTCCGCTAATTTCACTCTGATACCTTTCCCCTTCATGATTCGATGAGCTCTCTGGATTTTCACACTATCTGACATATGTGAATCCTTTCTGATAATCTCCTGCACAACCCGTTCACTATCTCCCTGTTTCGGCAAGCCATGAAAAATCAAATTGTCCCTTCTACTCATATTCTCTAAATAATCCACTATGTCATCCATGTTGTCAACTAACTTTTTCAACTGTACATTTTCCTCTTCCAGATCTTCACATTTCTGCTTTATTTTACTCAACTGAATAATTACAGACCGAAGCGTACTTTCAACAGATTGTAGTTTGTCGTTCATGGAGTTGTTGGACTTTTGCAGTATCCTACCACATTTTGCCTTCGACGCAATATCTTCACAAGAACTGCTGCAAACCTTCCAATAGCAACTCTAAACTGTTCTATACATGCTCCCATTGTTGTACATCCAAAAATTAGAACATGTCTTGTGATATCAATGTCTGTGTATATGTATGGCCTCCATATACAGGGACGGATTTGGTGGTGGGGAGGCGTTCAGCGCCCCATTTTGAACATCAAATATGGGTATTAGTATCACGTACACATTACCAGTATCCATCCCCAATAAATAGAATATTAAGGTCTTAAAATTCTACTGTGACTGTGACCACCTACCCATACGAACTGGTGACCTTTATTTCAATTAATCTGTGTGGCTTTTGGGGAATGATCCACCGCCCACTACATATTCATGATCATTCAAAGTATATTGGTTCATAAAGATAACGACAGTATTAAACTCAGCACATTGCGTTGCCTGAAGGTACTCTGTTGGGAGCTGTTGGCTAACTCTAGTCTCCTATTTTATCGTGGGCTAGCCTACATGGCCTGAAGTGTCAACATGGCAAGAATGGCCGGTGTACAAGTGTTAGTGCTCCTCCTAGCAGCTATCTCGTGTGTGGATGCGTTCATTGAAGGACTCTACTGTGGCAGGGAAAACTGCTATGAAAGTAAGTTAATATCACCGAAGCTGACGTGTAGCGTCAGTGAAATGAATGTATGTTTGACCGCGTGATGGCCAGTAACGACACAGTTTTCGCGCACTTGCGGAATCGATTTGGTACACATCGGCTACTTTAACGATATTTGTATGTTAATTTTTAAATTCCTGTTTCCACATTTGCTGAAGATACAATTTCTTTACAGCCCAAATTTCCCATCCATCCGCCTTAATTGAAATTCCAAATACATTTATGGAATTCTTAAATCGTATGAACCTTGTGTGCCGGTGCTTTCCATGGTTGAGTTGCCATACACGATACTCTATTATTGTACACGCACGTAATGGGAGGAGCATACGTGTTAACAGTAGACTGGTGTTATCTTTAAAAACAATTGTCTGAAAAAGACAACCAGAATTAAGTTAAACATAATTATACTCCCATTTCAGGATATGGAGATTCATTCATTAAGATGCATGATTTTGTTTGTCAAGTGCCTCCTACTCTGTGATGGAAGTCATTCTCTCACCAATCTATGCTTACTGAATTGACACTTTGGCATTAAACAAGTAGTAAGGAATTTATTTTAACAACTGTACCTTTCTTATATTGATGAAAAAAAAGTATCATGTATGATGAAAACTCACAGTGTACATCATTTCACCCCTGTATTTGAGGATGGTAGATAGTGATGCAAAGATATTTGGTATTCTCGTCATTCCTGGAAACAACTTCTGATAAGAAATTTATCAAGTTGGAAGGGGATTTTTTTCACAACTGTGTTGTGATAACTGTTCAAATTCTACATGTAATGAAGATTGTGGATTTTTTTAATACTCAAATTTATATCAACTATGTGGTATTTGTGTCATTAGTAATAGCATTATTTGGGCAATCGAAGAATAATATTTTGCTGCATAATGATTTCATACAACGAGAGTGAGCGTGCTTATGACATATATATACCACAGAAAGTGGTAATGTCACCTTCGGCCATCTCAGCGATGTTCTTTTGAAATAGTGCCGTTGCCACAAGCAGGATCATTAGGCATTATTACTTCTTAGAAACGTGTGAAGATAAGATGACAGTTGATAATTCGGAATTAATATAAGTGTCAGTGATGAAAATTGATCTTTAGTATCATATTTCTTAATACCATGGAAACTGGTTGCATGAGGATAAGAAATGGAGTGTCCATGTGAGGAACTTGGGAAACACATTTGTTAAGACATTTACTGACAATATTGCTTGATATTGGCTATCTTATATGTCTGTTTAGTGTTTACAGCTGTTGAATGAAACATACCTTATAGTCATAAAAATAACATTATAACTTGTCAGTCTATAAAGTCTATATTGATAGGTACTTATGGTGGTTGACAATGCTCTCAATCTAAATACTTGCAAAAGAACAAAAAAAAGCTCTGAAATAGAGCCTATCATTTACATTATTCATATTTACACCCACATGATTTTGTTACACACATTATTGCTATCAGATAGACTTTTTTGCAAATATCATTCATGTCATTTAAAACAAATCATATCTCTTCACATAACAACTTGATTCATTAAATTATTTTGACATGTTTAAGGATAATAATATATCTACCATTGTAGATGATTGTACATATATATGTGTATTCTGAGTTTCTTCTACACATACAACTACCCAACATCATGACTGAAAACTGATGTAGTTAATATGAACCAGGCTTTGAAACTAATTGTTATTTCCACCAGTCCACCAAAGCGATTAGTTACAGAGTTGCCATCTAACTAATGGTAAATGTGGTAGTCCTTCCTGAATGTGACTGGTCTCGTATTAGGGGACTTACATTACTTTCAAACCCTGAGAATAGAATTTGTCCACATTTATGTCCATTTAGAGAGTAATTAAATGATTGATGTCGGATAAAAAACTTGTTTCTTTAAATTGTGAGACATACCCCACACCCCAAAAAACTTAATTCTGAAAATGATGAATTCCTTAGTTTAGTGGCCTCTTTAGTCTTAAGTTATGCCATGCTTATGGACTGAAGTTTATTTACTGGGTGTTTAAAGTCATTTGTAGGGCTTTTTATAGATCAAATCTGCCATTCTTTATTACACACTACTCTTGATGGACTTAGCCCTATTGTGGAAGATGGTAAAACCCTACCTTGTGGAAAGACTGCATGTATTAATACCCTGACAGCTTATGAATGAAACATAGGATCGGTTTAGTTCAGTTACTATAAAACATTGAGAAATCAGGTAAGTTGATTTTGTCAGATGGAAAACTTGAAGGGCCATTAAAACCCTCTTCAGTTCATGCTGTTATAGGTATAGATGACAGGACCAATAAACATGATAAGGAAGACAAGGCTTAAATGCTTAGTTTAACATTATTGTGTGGAATCCAATGTTGAAATTTAATATTAAAATACCTCTAAATTTAGGAGAGAAAACCCAGTCTGGCTGCCAAGGGCGATTTGTTTGGAATCTTAGATAAGTCCCTGGGTGTTACAAAGGGCCACTAGTCTGTTTGTCCTGAAACTATTGGAAACTTGGAATGACTACAGTAAAGTTTTCCCCCAAATCTAGTCATGTTAGATTAGCCACTAGTGACTGGAGATGTAGACCACCTGCAATTAACTCTGCTCATTTCCTTGTTGACTGTGTGTCTCCCAGCTGTATTTAGGACATGTATAAGTGAAGAGTCATGAGAGCATCTAGCACAACAGTTCTTTCTTCCTGTTATTGGTACAGTTAGATGAAGTCCTATGTATGTTAGAAGTACCTAGCATGGAAGCTGTTCAAGGGTCCTCACACTGAACAGTGGATGCCACACTTTGTAGTTTGTATGCTTGACAGATTGTTGGCTAACCACCTAGCTTGGGTAGGAAGAATTAAAAACATTTGTGTAACTCAGTTTGTTTCTACTTTATTTGGCATAATGTTGTGTGTGTCAATCTACTCTGTGGAAGTGGAAAAACAAATAATGGCTAATTCTGTTTAAAGTGCATAATGTTTATTATTTCTATTGTAACATAGCTATTTATATTCATTCAAATTATTTTAATTTTTATTTCAGATTTTGTCTCTGATTGGACAAATTCATTAACCACCTAAATAAAATAATACTGAAGTAACATTCCTTGCACAAATAAAGCCATAGCAACAACACTTGACCAATAGTTTGCAGTGTGATATGTATGTAACTTCTCCAGGTAGTGGTTGCCAGTGTAAACCATCCATGCCCTGATACAAACATGATTGTGTTAGCTTTTATAGAAACAATTCATCTTCATTAAAAAGCCCATCAGCAATAGATTTAATGAGATTATATCCATATAAGATATCAACGAAGATACAAAATGTTATTTTGGAAAAAGTGTTACAATAATTGCAATATCAGCGTGGCCCTGCACAATTCCAGATACTATTAGTGCTGGTAATAGACTATTGATTTCAGGGTGTTTGTACGTGGCATATGGCCACCACACAATGAGGTCCCAGTCAGCCCCCTCTCAGCTGGCGTCCGTTCCCACACACCTGACAAGCTGCTCACTTTAATTGTCTACTAGGCCCATATTAGGGAGTACTGGATACAAACATTCTATATTTTGATAGATAATTGACAATTCTATACATTTTGATAGATTGTGTTTAACATAGGAGTTTCATTTAGCATGTTTAGAGTGTGTTTAACTAGTAATTTATTTTTAATCAATAACTAAACATGTTCATAATTCAGTCATTTCCTTGACCCATCAAAGACTTGGGTTTCAAGTTTATTTGCTCACATAGGTTCAGGCTAAGCCTTTTCTTGGTGATATTTCTGGAACTTTGCTGACAATGCTGTTAAATCACTCTCCTTCCAGATTTGTTAACCAGGGCAGTGGGGTAGCCTGGTGGTTGAAGCATTTGCTCATCCCGACCAAGGCCAGTGTTTGATTCTCCACGTGGGTAAATTGAGTGAAGTACATTTCTGGTGTCCCCAACTGTGATACTGCTGGAATTTTGCTAAAAGCTGAGGCTGGTCTCCAAGTGATACGCACGCACGGGTCGATTTTCAATAACTGCATAAATCACATTTGCTGTGATTTGCTGACAAATTGGATGTGAGAATTGTGTCACTTAGAAATCATATATGAAATACAAAGCTGCAGCTGACACACAGAATAGATACCGGGGTAGGCAGGTTTAACAGCTGCATTGTATAACTAGGAGTAAATATGGTAATGAGATGTATTGTCTGAAACAGGGATAAAACATCTGTACACCACCAACAGGTGTAAAACTCAAGCCTCTCTCAAATACTAGTTTGTAGACTGCCTCCGTGGTTTAGTGGATAAAGTGTCTGCTGGAGAGTGCAAGGTTAGGGGTTTGATTCCTGGCCACATCATTCCAAAAGACTTTAAAAGACGGTACTTGTTGTTACCCTGCCTGGCACTAGGAATTAAGAGGCTGAAACAAGGACTGTATACTGTGTTTGAGTAGGGTATTCTTGATAAAATGTGGCATGGTATCTCAGTCGACATCAGTCCATTCTAGTACAAGCACATCGCTATATAAGAGCAACAATCTTGGACGCGACGTTAAACCCCATTTCACCTCACCAATACTAGTTTGTAAACTGGCTTGGACTAGTGGATGCTCTATTGCATAACTATGAGAACACTAACAGCTTAGGAATATTCAATTTACAAACACACACCATCACCTCTTTCATACTAAGACAAAAGCCTCGCCATACTAAGACAAAAGCCCCTTCACACAGACAAAAGCCCCTTCACACAGACAAAAGCCCCTTCACACAGAGACAAAAGCCCTTCCATACAAAGACAAAAGCCCTTCCATACAAAGACAAAAGCCCCTTTACACAGAGACAAAAGTGACAGGGTTGGTGTTGTGTGCAGAGTGATGATAGGGTTGGTGTTGTGTGCAGAGTGATGACAGGGTTGGTGTTGTGTGCAGAGTGATGACAGGGTGGGTGTTGTGTGCAGAGTGATGACAGGGTTGGTGTTGTGTGCAGAGTGATGACAGGGTGGGTGTTGTGTGCAGAGTGATGACAGGGTTGGTGTTGTGTGCAGAGTGATGACAGGGTGGGTGTTGTGTGCAGAGTGATGACAGGGTGGGTGTTGTGTGCAGAGTGATGACAGGGTGGGTGTTGTGTGCAGAGTGATGGCAGGGTGGGTGTTGTGTGCAGAGTGATGACAGGGTGGGTGTTGTGTGCAGAGTGATGATAGTGTGTGTTGTATGCAGAGTGATGACAGGGTGGGTGTTGTGTGCAGAGTGATGACAGGATGGGTGTTGTGTGCAGAGTGATGACAGGATGGGTGTTGTGTGCAGAGTGATGACAGGGTGGGTGTTGTGTGCAGAGTGATGACAGGGTGGGTGTTGTGTGCAGAGTGATGGCAGGATGGGTGTTGTGTGCAGAGTGATGACAGGGTGGGTGTTGTGTGCAGAGTGATGACAGGGTGGGTGTTGTGTACAGAGTGATGGTGGATGGTGGAGGGCAATGACAAGCAGGATTTGATGAACATGCTGAGAGCCAATATGCATTTTTTCACAATGAAACATCTGATTATAGGACAATAGGATTGGCTTGTTTTACCTTCATGGACGTTGGCAGTTCTGTCTCTGATTGGAATATTCCCCAAGCTCCTGCTGAACAGAAAGTAGTTGATGAACCTCTTGTCTCGTGCTAGGTTCTGTTCTACTCAGTGTGCCTTGTTCATTGTTGATGATGTTGATGATAATGAAATGTGTACATAGTTTCAATTTTCTGTTCATTGCTACAATTAATTTGTTTCAGTTCTTGGCGTCACAAGGGATTCAACCAAGGTTTGCTTTACTCTCATATTTAGTTTGAGTTTTGTATAAATCCTGGTAGCACATACAGTCAAACACCGTTGTGGCCAAGTTGAAGGGACTTATGTAAATATTTCGAGTTATTCGAAGTTCAGCGCAATAGAAACATGAACTTGGCATACATTTACCGATTGGCATTGTTTCACACTTAGTCTCAATCAATTTTGATGTTAATATTATAATATGCATATTTTAGATGTAGAAACATGTGATCCAATTATCCTACTAGTGAAACCAGGCCCTTCACTGGATTGCTTAGTCATGTTGCTAACCGCTCTGATTGATTTATCCGCCATTTTATAACACCAGTGAAACAAAAAGACTATCAATGCAAATCCTAATCCGTGACACATTCCACAATTTGTAATCGCGACATAAACACGTGTCAATCATGTGACTCCTTTCACTTCTGCATGTGTTGTTGATCAAATGACCTATTATCCCAGAGAGACACGTCAATTAAAGGTTGCTTTGAAGTTAGGTGTGTCTGAGTGTAACTAACTAGACAATAGGCCTTTGACACGCTGAACTCAATGCAGTGAAGGTTTTCGGCTTGTTAAACCTTGTTATTGAACCATGATGCCTGATCGGTTGAAGCAAGGTCGACGTATCAAAGTGAATTTACCTCGAATACATGTTTGGGACTGGAAAATAACTTCAAGACAATGGTAACTTCAACACATCTGATTAAAAAATCGGAGGTTAAATAATGATGATTAAAGAAGGAATATGCAGGGACCAAGCTTATACTTCCAGACAACCGTAAGTTCAACACAACAGTGTTTCTGTACATGTTTCATTCTGATGATTCTAATGTAAATTGGCAACAAGCAATAAAAAGGATTATTTATTCTTCATTATGATCATGAAACTAAGTGCGGGCATATAACATTGTTTCTATAGAAATCATTCAGATTGTTCTGGGATGGATGCTCTGTATATAAGCATGGTTAATAGTCCATGCAATAAGTCTGAAAAGTTATATATCTACATATGTTGTCTTAGTGTGAATGATTTCTGTTTTAGAATGACATCGTCAAGGCATATCGCAAGATGGCCCGGAAATGGCATCCTGATATGCACAGGGGGAAGGTAAGAATTACAGTCAGTCCAAAAGCACAATGGAAAGGCAGGGACTACAGTCAGATCTGGTGGGGAAGGTAGGGGACTACAGTCCATTCTGGAGGGGAAGGAAGGGACTACAGTCAGGTCTGGAGGGGAAGGAAGGGACTACAGTCAGGTCTGGAGGGGAAGGTGGGAGACTACAGTCAGGTCTGGAGGGGAAGGAAGGGACTACAGTCAGGTCTGTAGGGGAAGGAAGCGACTACAGTCAGGTCTGGAAGGGAAGGTGGGGACTACAGTCAGGTCTGGAGGTGAAGGAAGGGACTACAGTCGGGTCTGGAGGTGAAGGAAGGGACTACAGTGGGGTCTGGAGGGGAAGGTGGGGGACTACAGTCAGGTCTGTAGGGGAAGGAAGGGACTACAGTCAGGTCTGTAGGGGAAGGAAGGGACTACAGTCAGGTCTGGAAGGGAAGGCGGGGGACTACAGTCAGGTCTTGAAGGGAAGGCGGGGGACAACAGTCAGGTCTGGAGGGGAAGGTAGGGACTACAGTCAGGTCTGGAGGGGAAGGAAGGGACTACAGTCAGGTCTGGAGGGGAAGGAAGGGACTACAGTCAGGTCTGGAGGGGAAGGAAGGGACTACAGTCAGGTCTGGAGGGGAAGGAAGGGACTACAGTGGGGTCTGGAGGGGAAGGTGGGGGACTACAGTCAGGTCTGTAGGAGAAGGAAGGGACTGTGGTCAGGTCTGTAGGGGAAGGAAGGGACTACAGTCAGGTCTGTAGGGGAAGGAAGGGACTACAGTCAGGTCTGGAGGGGAAGGAAGGGACTACAGTCAGGTCTGTAGGGGAAGGAAGGGACTACAGTCAGGTCTGGAGGGGAAGGTGGGAGACTACAGTCAGGTCTGGAGGGGAAGGAAGGGACTACAGTCAGGTCTGTAGGGGAAGGAAGCGACTACAGTCAGGTCTGGAAGGGAAGGTGGGGACTACAGTCAGGTCTGGAGGTGAAGGAAGGGACTACAGTCGGGTCTGGAGGTGAAGGAAGGGACTACAGTGGGGTCTGGAGGGGAAGGTGGGGGACTACAGTCAGGTCTGTAGGGGAAGGAAGGGACTACAGTCAGGTCTGTAGGGGAAGGAAGGGACTACAGTCAGGTCTGGAAGGGAAGGCGGGGGACTACAGTCAGGTCTTGAAGGGAAGGCGGGGGACAACAGTCAGGTCTGGAGGGGAAGGTAGGGACTACAGTCAGGTCTGGAGGGGAAGGAAGGGACTACAGTCAGGTCTGGAGGGGAAGGCGGGGGACTACAGTCAGGTCTTGAAGGGAAGGCGGGGGACAACAGTCAGGTCTGGAGGGGAAGGTAGGGACTACAGTCAGGTCTGGAGGGGAAGGAAGGGACTACAGTCAGGTCTGGAGGGGAAGGAAGGGACTACAGTCAGGTCTGGAGGGGAAGGAAGGGACTACAGTCAGGTCTGGAGGGGAAGGAAGGGACTACAGTGGGGTCTGGAGGGGAAGGTGGGGGACTACAGTCAGGTCTGTAGGAGAAGGAAGGGACTGTGGTCAGGTCTGTAGGGGAAGGAAGGGACTACAGTCAGGTCTGTAGGGGAAGGAAGGGACTACAGTCAGGTCTGGAAGGGAAGGCGGGGGACTACAGTCAGGTCTGGAAGGGAAGGCGGGGGACAACAGTCAGGTCTGGAGGGGAAGGAAGGGACTACAGTCAGGTCTGGAGGGGAAGGTGGGGACTACAGTCAGGTCTGGAGGGGAAGGAAGGGACTACAGTCAGGTCTGGAGGGGAAGGAAGGGACTACAGTCAGGTCTGGAGGTGAAGGAAGGGACTACAGTCAGGTCTGGAGGGGAAGGAAGGGACTACAGTCAGGTCTGGAGGGGAAGGAAGGGACTACAGTCAGGCCTGGAGGGGAAGGAAGGGACTACAGTCAGGTCTGGAGGGGAAGGTGGGGGACTACAGTCAGGTCTGGAGGGGAAGGTAGGGACTACAGTCAGGTCTGGAGGGGAAGGAAGGGACTACAGTGAGGTCTGGAGGGGAAGGAAGGGACTACAGTCAGGTCTGGAGGGGAAGGAAGGGACTACAGTCAGGTCTTGAAGGGAAGGTGGGGACTACAGTCAGGTCTGGAAGGGAAGGTGGGGACTACAGTCAGGTCTGTAGGGGAAGGAAGGGACTACAGTCAGGTCTGGAGGGGAAGGTGGGGGACAACAGTCAGGTCTGGAGGGGAAGGTGGGGACTACAGTCAGGTCTGGAGGGGAAGCAAGGGACTACAGTCAGGTCTGGAGGGGAAGGTGGGGGACTACAGTCAGGTCTGGAGGGGAAGGAAGGGACTACAGTCAGGTCTGGAGGGGAAGGAAGGGACTACAGTCAGGTCTGGAAGGGAAGGTGGGGACTACAGTCAGGTCTGGAGGGGAAGGTGGGGACTACAGTCAGGTCTGGAGGGGAAGGTGGGGACTACAGTGAGGTCTGGAGGGGAAGGTGGGGACTACAGTCAGGTCTGGAAGGGAAGGTGGGGACTACAGTCAGGTCTGGAGGGGAAGGTGGGGACTACAGTCAGGTCTGGAGGGGAAGGAAGGGACTACAGTCAGGTCTGGAGGGGAAGGAAGGGACTACAGTGAGGTCTGGGGGGGAAGGAAGGGACTACAGTCAGGTCTGGAGGGGAAGGAAGGGACTACAGTGAGGTCTTGAGGGGAAGGAAGGGACTACAGTCAGGTCTGGAGAGGAAGGAAGGGACTACAGTCAGGTCGTGAGGGGAAGGAAGGGACTACAGTCAGGTCTGGAGGGTAAGGAAGCGACTACAGTCAGATCTGTAGGGGAAGGTGGGGACTACAGTCAGGTCTGGAGGGGAAGATGGGGAACTAAAGTCATGATTGGGGGATATTTACCATATGAAACTGATAATCTGAAGGTGCATGACAGAACTTACCAGAAGATAACAATAAATATCAGTTTCAATAACTTGTGACTACAGTATTGTTTATAAGTAACTCAGCTGATGCAATATTAACCATGTGTTTCAGGAGGCGAAGGAAAAAGCTGCAGAAATGTTTCAGACGATAGCCAATGCTTATGAGGTTTGATTTTTGTAATCATTTGGTCATACTAAATCCCAGAATAAAGATGTGCTTCTGTCAAATGACACCATGTCATTTCATTTTATTAAGACAACATTTAAGAACTAACTGTCATTTCGATGTCTGTTTGTTTCTCTAGTTAAACCTAGTTTAACGCTTTGTGAATGAAGACAAGTGTCAGTAACTGGAGAACCTCAGTCATATTAATCAAGCATTGCCAACAGATTTGTGCCTATGTGTAGACTACTGACGTTTATTCTTGTGTTTTTCAGATTCTGCGAGATGAAGAACAGAGAGTGGACTATGATTACATGTTGGACAACCCAGGTGAGCTGACTGTCTTAAGCACTGCCCTCTAGTGGCGTGACATAGCACTCACTCACTCACTCACTCACTCACTCACTCACTCACTCACTCACTCACTCACTCACTCACTCACTCACTCACTCACTCACTCACTCACTCACTCACTCACTCACTCACTCACTCACTCACTCACTCACTCACTCACTCACTCACTCACTCACTCACTCACTCACTCACTCACTCACTCACTCACTCACTCACTCACTCACTCACTCACTCACTCACTCACTCACTCACTCACTCACTCACTCACTCACTCACTCACTCACTCACTCACTCACTCACTCACTCACTCACTCACTCACTCACTCACTCACTCACTCACTCACTCACTCACTCACTCACTCACTCACTCACTCACTCACTCACTCACTCACTCACTCACTCACTCACTCACTCACTCACTCACTCACTCACTCACTCACTCACTCACTCACTCACTCACTCACTCACTCACTCACTCACTCACTCACTCACTCACTCACTCACTCACTCACTCACTCACTCACTCCAGTGATGTGATCAACCAAACTCTTGTATGTTCACAGATGAGTACTACTCTATCTACTTCAACTACTACCGGAGGAGGATGGCTCCCAAGGTGGATATCCGCATTGTCATTGGGGTCACCATCACTGTTGTATCTGTCATACAGGTAAGATTACAGTCTGTGTCACATCACCATTATATCTGTCATACAGGTAAGATTGCAGTCTGTGTCACCATCACTGTTTTATCTGTCATACAGGTAAGATTGCAGTCTGTGTCACCATCACTGTTTTATCTGTCATACAGGTAAGATTGCAGTCTGTGTCAACATCACTGTTTTATCTGTCATACGGGTAAGATTGCAGTCGGTGTCACCGTCACTGTTATATCTGTCATACAGGTAAGATTGCAGTCTGTGTCACCATCACTGTTATATCTGTCATACAGGTAAGATTGCAGTCTGTGTCACCATCACTGTTATATCTGTCATACAGGTAAGATTGCAGTCTGTGTCACTATCACCATTATATCTGTCATACAGGTAAGATTGCAGTCTGTGTCAACATCACTGTTTTATCTGTCATACAGGTAAGATTGCAGTCTGTGTCAACATCACTGTTTTATCTGTCATACGGGTAAGATTGCAGTCTGTGTCAACATCACTGTTTTATCTGTCATACAGGTAAGATTGCAGTCTGTGTCAACATCACTGTTATATCTGTCATACAGGTAAGATTGCAGTCTGTGTCACCATCACTGTTATATCTGTCATACAGTTAAGATTGTAGTCGGTGTCACCATCACTGTTATATCTGTCATACAGGTAAGATTGCAGTCTGTGTCACCATCACTGTTATATCTGTCATACAGGTAAGATTGCAGTCTGTGTCAACATCACTGTTTTATCTGTCATACGGGTAAGATTGCAGTCGGTGTCACCGTCACTGTTATATCTGTCATACAGGTAAGATTGCAGTCTGTGTCAACATCACTGTTGTATCTGTCATACAGTTAAGATTGTAGTCGGTGTCACCATCACTGTTATATCTGTCATACAGGTAAGATTGCAGTCTGTGTCACCATCACTGTTATATCTGTCATACAGGTAAGATTGCAGAGATTACATGAGGTTATAGTGTCATGCGCTTTGAGCAACTGTGGTGTGGAGTATTTAGTTGTACTCTGTCCTTCCATGCGTCAATCTGTCCATGCAGGATGTCATTTCTTGAGCAGATCACGAAGACTGGTAAATATTTCTTCACCAAACTTGGCACATAGATTGGTGTGTGTGTGGACTGGTGCCTTTTGATAGTTTGGGATTTTTTGGGTTTCCAAAGTAACAACTTGACCGAAATGCCAGTAGTGCTCGTTTCTGGAGCAAATGTTGAAAAACGTTCAAAATGTCTTCACCAACCTTGGCACAGATAGGTCAAGTGGTGAACTGGTGCCTTTTGATACCATTACAATTAACATGTAACATTTACAGTCGATATGACAAGTTGATGTATTCAAGACAAGTATTACCATTGCAGGAGATATCGATGACTGTCCTCTTGTGAGTATTGCTGTTGCTGCTGTTGATCTGATGTGATATTGTTGCAGTACTGGGGAGCCTGGAACAACTACACTACTGCTATCAACTACCTGTGCAGGGAACCCAAGTACCGGACCAAGGCCATTGACATTGCTAAATCTGAGGGCACACTGAGTGCCAACAACAACAGGAGAAAGAAAGGGAAGAGTAAGGTATGTCACATAGAGACAATCACTCACTGACAGAGGAGAGTTGGAAACTAGCGTTGCTTCTGTGTGTTGGTTGAAATAGAGACAGTCGACTGAGCTACAAAGTTTCAATGCTCTAGGCATGCTGAGTGGGTGAATGGTAACCCAGAGCCACTGAGGGCAGACCTTCAACATTCATTCAGGAAGGAAAGACCCAGTGGGGATTCGGGTTAGAACAGGTCACCAGCAACATATGTTGAGTGGCCCAGCTCAGTGACTTGGTTGATAGCGTTACATCGTATCCTGAAGGCATGCTTCATTGCTCACAATATCAATCACAGGATTGTCAGACTTGATTTTTTTAAATTAAAAGGCCATCAGTATATAGCTGGAATATTGCTGGGTGTGGCATCCAAGATCCAACAGGAGTCTCCGCAGGTGCCATATATTAGCCATAAAACAACAAATGAAATAACAGAGATAGGCATGGCCAAATGTCCATTAATTTAAGACTAGTGAGAATCTAGAGGGACTTAATTTATGACTATGTTGTGTGGAATGTTAATCCAGTCAGGAAACTTCATTGTAGTCAAGCCACAGTTATGATGACATTGCCTTGTCTGTGGCAAACAATGGATGATGCCCTAATGTATTGTTCTCAACAAACAACAGTGTGATGGCATATTGCTTCAACTGACCAATCAGCTTTGTGAATAAAGAATATGCGCATATGAGAAAGACCCTATAAATTGACTCCCCCATGTTGTTTGTGTTGTTGAAGGAGGAGTTAAAGGAGGAAGAGGAAGCCATTATCAGACAGATTATAGAAGAAAAAATGGATATACGGTTTGTACAGCTTAGCCCTGTGAACCTTCAGTGTTTTTGTAAGAATGACAAGGCAATCCCCAGTCCTATACAGGTTGCTACAGATGCTCAGCGTGCAAGTTGGCAGCGTGCAGGTTGCACAGAGGATACAATTGTTTCAATAGGTTGCACAGAGGATTATACAATTGTTTCAATAGATTGTACAGAAGATACAATTGTTTCAATAGATTTTACAGTAGATACAATTGTTCAATAGGTGGAACAGAAGATACAAGTATTCCAATAGATTGTACAGAAGATACAATTGTTGCAATAAATTGTACAATGTTTATGTGTTGTACAGAGGGGATACAATGTTTGTGTGTTGTACAGAGAAGGATACAATGTTTGTGTGTTGTACAGAGGGGGATACAGTGTGTGTGTGTTGTACAGAGGGGGATACAATGTTTGTGTGTTGTACAGAGGGGGATACAATGTTTGTGTGTTGTACAGAGGGGGATACAGTGTTTGTGTGTTGTAAAGAGGGGGATACACTGTTTGTGTCTTGTACAGAAGGGGATACTATGTTTTTGTGTTCTACAGAGGGGTATACAGTGTTTATGTGTTGTACAGAGGGGGATACAATGTTTTAGTGTTGTACAGAGGGGGGGATACAATGTTTATGTGTTGTACAGAGGGGGATACAATGTTTATGTGTTGTACAGAGGGGGATACAATGTTTGTGTGTTGTACAGAGGGGGATACAATGTTTGTGTGTTGTACAGAGGGGGATACAATGTTTGTGTGCTGTACAGAGGGGGATACAGTGTTTGTGTGTTGTACAGAGAAGGATACAATGTTTGTGTGCTGTACAGAGGGGGATACAATGTTTATGTGTTGTACAGAGGGGGATACAATGTATGTGTGTTGTACAGAGGGGGATACAATGTATGTGTGTTGTACAGAGGGGGATACAATGTTTGTGTCTTGTACAGAGGGGGATACAATGTTTATGTGTTGTACAGAGGGGGATACACTGTTTATGTGTTGTACAGAGGGGGATACAATGTTTATGTGTTGTACAGAGGGGGATACAGTGTTTATGTGTTGTACAGAGGGGGATACAGTGTTTGTGTGTTGTACAGAGGGGGATACAATGTTTGTGTCTTGTACAGAGGGGGATACTATGTTTTTGTGTTGTACAGAGGGGATACAATGTTTGTGTGTTGTACAGAGGGGGATATTATGTTTTTGTGTTGTACAGAGGGGGATACAATGTTTATGTGTTGTACAGAGGGGGAAACAGTGTGTGTGTGTTGTACAGAGGGGGATACAATGTTTGTGTGTTGTACAGAGGGGGATACAGTGTTTGTGTGTTGTACAGAGGGGGGTACTATGTTTTTGTGTTGTACAGAGGGGGATACATTGTTTGTGTGTTGTACAGAGGGGGATACAGTGTTTATGTGTTGTACAGAGGGGGATACAATGTTTATGTGTTGTACAGAGGGGGAAACAGTGTGTGTGTGTTGTACAGAGGGGGATACAATGTTTGTGTGTTGTATAGAGGGGGATACAGTGTTTGTGTGTTGTACAGAGGGGGATACAGTGTTTGTGTGTTGTACAGAGGGGATATTATGTTTTTGTGTTGTACAGAGGGGGATACAGTGTTTGTGTGTTGTACAGAGGGGGATATTATGTTTTTGTGTTGTACAGAGGGGGATACAATGTTTGTGTGTTGTACAGAGGGGGATACAATGTTTATGTGTTGTACAGAGGGGGAAACAGTGTGTGTGTGTTGTACAGAGGGGGATACAATGTTTGTGTGTTGTTCAGAGGGGGATACAGTGTTTGTGTGTTGTACAGAGGGGGATACTATGTTTTTGTGTTGTACAGAGGGGATACAATGTTTATGTGTTGTACAGAGGGGGATACAATGTTTGTGTGTTGTATGGAGGGGGATACAATGTTTGTGTGTTGTACAGAGGGGGATACAGTCGGCCCAGCTACCGAGACATCCTATGGATACAGCTGGTGTTCCTCCCCTACTACACAGTGACCTACTTCATCTGGTGGATCACCTGGATCTGGAAGTTCACAATACTGAGGCACGAGTACGGGGAGGAGGAAAAGTTCTACAAGATACGAAGATACATGAAGCTGAGCCAGTCACAGTGGGATGTAAGTTCCACTGGACTTAGGAGTGAATGAGTTTAACGCCACTTTGAACAGTTTGCAGTTATATCCCCAAGTGTCAGCTTAAACTGGGTGGAAAGCCCGAAAAGCTACTGCTCTAAGATGTTTACCACTTTGGAGAAACCAATGAGCACAGGTATGATGCTGACAAAACTAGAAACATGATTGTGGCAAACCGAGATTCAAATTTACGATCATATGTTTCCGAGGGACGCAACTCTTCACTGTAAATTGCAGCAGCTTACACAACTGGGCCACCCATGCCCTCCTTGATTTACATCCCAATAATATGTATATGTGATATCTAAGGCGGAGGTCTCTGCTTTAAATACTTGGTATGGGGATTTTACAAGAAGTTAACAAGGCTATTTAAAACCATTGTTGGGATCTAGTGTAGGATTGGTTCCCAGTAACCTATGCTTGTTGTAACAGTTGACTAAAATAGATTGGGTGACCAGGCTGAGTCAGCGTATTGCATGTCATCGTACCCCAATATCATGGCTTGTTGCTCATGCTTTCACTCACTGGTTTGTGTGGTCCAGACTCCAGGAATTACAGGCTGCTGTGCATTGCATTGTTGTCTGCGCTGTTAAACAACAGTCACACATGACGATGATTGGGGCCAGTCAGGTTTTCGGAAGGGGTATTCCACTGTAGATAACTGTTTTGTCCTTAATGCTCTTGTACAACGCTTACTTTCATGTAAAGGGGATAAGTTTTACGTCGCTTTTATTGACTCTAAGGCGTTCGATTCCATACTCCGTAACCTTCTTTGGAGTTTGCTTTATAAACGCGGATTATGTACAAAAATGGGTAGAATGTTGCAGTCAATCTACAAGGACGTTAAGGCAAGTGCAAGGTCTAACAATCGTATGTCTGAGGCATTTGATTGCCCTTTTGGTGTCAGGCAAGGCTGTGTGCTTCGCCCGTTCTTGTTCCAGTTTTTTTATAAATGAAATAGTTCTTGAGATGGAAGAGGAGTGTCCACTTGGTGTACAGCTCCATCCACACATTATCCACATCCTGTTACTTCTATTTGCAGATGATTTGATAATGGTTGATGATAGTGTTTCTAACCTTCAGAATTAACTAAACGTCCTTGAGAATTTTTGTAACACTCGGAAAATGTCCAAGACTAAAGTTGTTGTATTTAAAAATGGTGGTTGTTTGTCACGTTTCGAAAAGTGGTTTTTCAAAGGGAAAAGGGTTGAAGTTGCTTGCGGTTATACTTACTTGGGTTTGTATTTTAATGATAGGCTTAACTGGTCTTAAAGTCTTGATAAGATTGCCCTGCCGGCAAAAACATTTGAAAGAAAAATTTTCAGCAGATCTGGCAAAGCGAACTTCTTGCAAGTTAAAAAATGTCATATTATGCTTGTTTTTAACACTTATGTTAAATGTGAACCTTATTTGTCATTCTTAAATTTGCAAAATATGAAAACAACCCTCACAAGATTCACACTGAGTTGTCAAACTTTGGAAATTGAGAATGGACGTCATTATCAAATCCAAGGAAATCTATATCTCAAAGCAAAGATCTGTTGTCATCCTAACATTGATAAATTTAATATGCTTCTGTCATCACCAGATACATATATTATTACAAATCTAGCAAAATATTATATTATGCAAATGAAGTAAGAAATGCGAAACTGAATGTTTAAAACTTGACTGTACTCATCTTTTGCACACAAAAATGTATTGGAAATAAAATGATTGATTGGGGATATAGATGACTCTTCTTCTTGATGTAAAATGAACTACATTAAAGATTAGTTTCATTTTTATTGCAGGCTTTGGAGGACTATGACAAAGAAAATTTCTTGGATTTAGAGTTATGGAAATGGGAAAATTTTGAGGTAAAGATTTTTTACTGTATTTTAAATCAAACTAGAAGATACTAACTTCATCAATAAAGTTATAGATAGTTAAACAGCCCAGTTCAGATGGTTTTGTTCTGATTTTGCTCTTGCCACCACATAGTGCTTGGACATCTGATATATCAAGTGTATCTTTTGTTTAAAAGAAGAACTTTGTGGGAAATTTGTGAAATGTGAAATATTATTTGATACATTGATCTGTCATGCCAATGGTCAAGGTCACACATATTGAGAAACCTATTTGGGGCTGTTGCTCACTCAGTTTTGTTCAAAATGTAATGAAGTTTGCTATATGTTTAGTACTTTTACATTTTGAACTTATTTTGATCATGCCCATAAATTCTCTTGAAATATATTTTTTGGCTCTGTAAACATATTCTCCTCTGAAATTATGAGACTGAAGAAGCTCCACTTTGGTATCTGTGTTTCTGCCTCTGATTACATCTCATTTTGTTCCAATCCTTAGGATTTAAGCAGGTTTTTGTAAGTCCTTAGATTTTTTAGGCAGACACTATTTGTATATGCTGATCGCAACTGTTATTAATTGGCTGTCCTTGTTGACATTTAAACTGTGGACTACATAAGCAGGTGAGCTACAGTGTCTGTTCACGATTTTTCTCGTCAAGCCCCTCTGCAGTGTTCCTGTTTACCGGTTATTACCAGTTTTTTACTGGTAAAATTAGGCTTGGACAGGTGTCAATCCCTGTGGACTGGCAAATAAAAAAAAAAATGGCGATAATCAATAAATTATATTTTTCGAATAAAGTCAGCTTGTCTTTTATCATCAGGGTTTCCTGTTGTCTATTTTCAGTGCAAGAAACTGCAATGTACCCTTGTGTCAGACAGACTTTATTTTTATATTTACTGCCAAGGTTACAAGCCAAAATGTTTGGATGATGCTTGGGAGAAATTGTTATGTTTTGGATATGTGTGTACATTGTGTATATTGTGTGTGCAGGTGTGGAGGGAAGATCAGGAAAATGAGAGGAAGTCGAAGCTGGCAGAGAGTGCCCGCTACAAGAGTTATAGGCGCTATATGAAGAAGGGAGGAGCAGGCCAGATTTCATTCGGGCCAGAGTAGTCAGCAGGTGCTTCACACGCCACCACCACCATCATCATCATCATCATCATCACATGTCAGAACTATTTTGCCAAATCAGAACTTGTGTGAGAATGTACACAGAAGTGTATGGAGGAGACGAAGCAGACATCACCTGCCGTCCATCTTCCAGCCCACAGCTGATGTCAAACACATTTTATTTTTAAGGATAATTAGAAACAGTTATAATAGTTATATATAAACAGTTATAATTCTTGTGTGTAGCAGATAACGGATCTAGATACCAAACTGAGATTACTCAGCCAAGTTTCTAAGAAACATTTGTAGATCAGACAGATTTTTTTTAGAGACAAATACATTTATTTATGTTTGATCTCAGGAAATAGGAGATGGATACACAGGTTCAGCAGTGTTATGTTGTCTTACTTGACGTGAATGTAAATGCAACTAACTATTCAGCTATCTGATTGAGGTGTATCTTCGGCAGTAGTCAGCATGCATGTTTCTGCTCCATCCTCTCCAGAAAGGGACTCTCAGTGACAATTTACTGATAATAGTGATAACACATTGTAATTCCCATCTTCAGAATCTGGTCGTTAAGCCTCGGTTGTCGATGAGGCAACACATGGTGTCCCAGTGATGTCCATGAGGTGCAATATGTGTTCAGCACACCTTCCCCAGTGTTCCTGTTCCTCTGCTGAGACTAGTGTATTGCACACTTCATTTCACTGTGTGCACACTGTTTATATATTTCAAACCTTCAAGATGAGTTTTTGTAAACACAAAATTATTTAATTTTAAGTGCATGCCTCACTTACCTGGACTCAAAAACTACTTAGCCATTTCTTGGAGAATGCTTTGATGTGATAGGCCAATGGAGGTTCATGGAGCTTCATGTTTCTCTGATTTTAAATAAACAACAGACATGCTTCAGTTGAGGCAAATGTCCAGGACACCCCAGAGTTTGACATCAGCACACTTCGTCCCTGAATGATGTCACAGGAATTATTTCACAGTTATAATGTGAAGGCCCACTGTTTGTGGAAGGTTGCACAAGATAGTGTGTATGACTAAATTAATTTTGGAACATTATTTTACTGTATTTGATCTAATATACTGGAAATCTTCGTGATGAGAGACAGAGACAGTTTTGTGTGTAAATCACTGCGCTCACTGTAGTTGCCAGATTTAATTTTGCCATTTTGATGTCAATTGAACGCATCCTTAAAAAGATGTTTTGAACCAAGCAATCATGTTTTGGAAATTTGGGGTTGGGGATTGTCATATTATATTTTAAAATTTGAAAACAGTCATGTCAGTCAGTCAGTCATGATCAGTTTTTGTGAATACATATAATTATTTGTCCTTTGATATGCTTGGCTTGAAGTTTGTAGGGGTCTTTGGCCTGTTATTTTGTTATTGTTATCAATCAGTTATTTATAAACTACTCCTCAAGACTGCTTACATACTGCTGTTTTTCTTTTAGTGTAGGGTCTAACTCACAGTCAGTGTATAGATTAGTATGATCATGTCACCAGCTGTTTAGCTTTCAGTACAGAACCCGGCCCACAGACCTGTTCTAGCCTAAACCTGACTATACCCTCACACAGACAATGGAATGTAGGAATATATCCTGTACAATTCTGTCATGCATGAGAATCTCCGGTCCAACATTCACATAGCTATAGTTTTGTAACATGTGTGAATGGATTAAACAGGACAGTGTTCACTATATATTTTCTATTTCTCCTCCACTCTTCTTGGTTGCATGGAAACAGCAAATGAAACTTGAGTTTTGTGGATCTGAAACAGGACTAAGTGGTTTGAGAGGGTTTTTTTCTCAGAATTTCAAAATTCTTTTATTTGTGGCTAACAGATAGTCCTCCTCCTTCCCCCTTGTGTTTGTATGTGCTTGCCCAGCATCCTCCTCCAAGACTAGCTGCTGCAGCACCAGCTGGGTGTCAGTAAGGTATTGATTGCACCACTCTCAATTCAACATTTGTAAATGATAACATATGAACATGTATTGATCCTGTCTGCTTTGTGAGGAAATTGAGGAAATTTGAGGTGAATTGTTGAACAGGTGTCGGGTCAATCAAGGGTGGTCAGTTCACCAAGACTAAACTCAGTTGTTCATATTTTCATGAGCATGAGATGACTAGCCACATTGAAGATTGCCAGTGATCCTTGAGTCTAATATTTTCTAACGTTTCGGCTAGGTTGTTCCCTTGTTTGGGTGGTCTGCTTTGTGAGGAAATTGAGGAAATTTGAGTTGAATTGTTGAACAAGTGTCGGGTCAATCAAGGGTGGTCAGTTCACCAAGACTAAACTCAGTTGTTCATATTTTCATGAGCATGAGATGACTAGCCACATTGAAGATTGCCAGTGATCCTTGAGTCTAATATTTTCTAACGTTTCGGCGAGGTTGTTCCCTTGTTGGGGTGGTCTGCTTTGTGAGGAAATTGAGGAAATTTGAGGTGAATTGTTGAACAAGTGTCGGGTCAATCAAGGGTGGTCAGTTCACCAAGACTAAACTCAGTTGTTCATATTTTCATGAGCATGAGATGACTAGCCACATTGAAGATTGCCAGTGATCCTTGAGTCTAATATTTTCTAACGTTTCGGCTAGGTTGTTCCCTTGTTGGGGTGGTCTATGTACTTGAGGATAATGAAGACGTGAGTTGACATGGATTTCAGTACAGATGCTAGTACCTTAAGGTACTTGACAAAGTTATCAGCATCAGTGCCACATCGCGTTGAAAGAGTAATGAAGTAGAAATCCATATGTACAACAGCTTCTGATGTGTACTTATTGACAGTTAATGAAGGACTATCTACAACCATGCTCCACTAAGTTGTAGGGGGATCTACAGATTAACTACAAACACAAGTTGTATAGACAGGAAATAGCAAAGGTAGCATCATCCCATAAAAGTTTGTAGAAAAAGCATTCATGTATTCATGACCCACTACAAATATGCTTTAGAAAACAGTACATTTGAACAGTGTAATTTGAAACCAAAAGCTAGTTATGCTTTCAGCACCAGGTAGATATAAATTTGAATTTTGGGCCAATGAAGAGGTTGGAGATAAAGAGTCAGTGGTACACATGCTCCTGTTCCCTGAGTGGACAGCACAGGCAGTACACACAGCAGTTGCTCCATCGGAGATGCTGCCAAGGCTTCCACATTGCCACTGCTGTTGTTGTACAGAGAAACGTTTCACAAAAAACTGCGTCATGTGTTTAAGACACTACATAAGGATACCACATTGAGATAGGATTAACAAGAAACATTCGGTGCATTCAAATAAGTACTTAGAACCGTTAGAATGTTTATAAGCAATATTTGAGGAACCTTGAAATGTTATTTTACTTCATCTCTGCATAATAGGAAGGAATTGCTTACAAAGTATAACATTGGTTCTCAGGTGGTATTCCTGAAACAAAGGTAATTGCCCAAGAACCGTGTGCTTTTTTCTCTTTGTCAACCTATTTATGATTATACATTCTCTTCAATTGAGTTTGTGGGTTTAAGTTATTTTTAATTATATTTTTTTAAATCTAAACACTGTTTTGCAAACAGTTTCTCAAAAGAATTTTGAAATATTAATAAAAAGACAAAAGAAACAATGAATTGGTATTTTGACCATGATCGTGATGCATGTTAGGGGTCATATTTGGTTCCACTAATCAGGGCATTTTTGTTTGAGACAACTGAAAATTTAACACATCTGCTTCAACTGATCAGAGATCAGATAAAGATAACAATTGAAGGAATTTGAGTTGAACGATTCTGATTAATAGTTTTATATCTTGCTTGTGCACTTGTTAACTTGTGCACTTCACTAACCAGAGGAATAACCTTTGTCTAAATATTGACTGTATAGATCACGGAGGTGGGTGAGTCAAGAATATATTATAATGCTCTTGTAGATGTATGAAAGTGAGGTATTTGAGAGGTGAGGGGTTGTTCATGGATGCATGTTTGCTTCACATTTGATCATCATGTGTTCAGCATACATGACTGTTGTTTTTGTTGGGTAAGATTTCTTTTTCATGTTGTATTATTCAACACCATTACAGAAATAAAATGTTTTATCCATATTTGTTGTTATAAGCTCACAATGTGAATGGGGCTGTAATTAATAGGGTCTGTGCAATCAGGCTCACCGGTGGTTGATATCATGGGCAACGTTGACCCTAGTCAGGTCAGAGCCAGGCACACCGGTGGTTGATATCATGGGCAATGATGTCCCCAGTCAGGTCAGAGCCAGGCACACCGGTGGTTGATATCATGGGCAATGATGCCCCCAGTCAGGTCGGAGCCAGGCACACCGGTGGTTGATATCATGGGCAATGATGCCCCCAGTCAGGTCAGAGCCAGGCACACCGGTGGTTGATATCATGGGCAATGATGCCCCCAGTCAGGTCAGAGCCAGGCACACTGGTGGTTGATATCATGGGCAATGATGCCCCCAGTCAGGTGAGCGCCAGGCACACTGGTGGTTGATATCATGGGCAATGATGCCCCCAGTCAAGTCAGAGCCAGGCACACTGGTGGTTGATATCATGGGCAATGATGCCCCCAGTCAGGTCGGAGCCAGGCACATCGGTGGTTGATATCATAGGCAATGATGCCCCCAGTCAGGTGAGCGCCAGGCACACTGGTGGTTGATATCATGGGCAATGATGCCCCCAGTCAAGTCAGAGCCAGGCACACCGGTGGTTGATATCATGGGCAATGATGCCCCCAGTCAGGTCAGAGCCAGGCACACCAGTGGTTGATATCATGGTCAATGATGCCCCAAGTCAGGTCAGAGCCAGGCACACCGGTGGTTGATATCATGGGCAATGATGTCCCCAGTCAGGTCAGAGCCAGGCACACCGGTGGTTGATATCATAGGCAATGATGCTCCCAGTCAGGTCGGAGCCAGGCACATCGGTGGTTGATATCATGGGCAACGATGTCCCCAGTCAGGTCGGAGCCAGGCACACCGGTGGTTGATATCATAGGCAATGATGCCCCCAGTCAGGTCGGAGCCAGGCACATCGGTGGTTGATATCATGGGCAACGATGTCCCCAGTCAGGTCGGAGCCAGGCACACTGGTGGTTGATTTCGTGGGAATTGATGCCCCCATGCAGGCACAATGACTCTGGTAAAACATTGTGACTACCAATCCTCATGTTAGTTGATTCTTATGACAAGCATTGGGTGCTGGGCACCTACTCTGATCCAGACAACTCAAGGTTGGAAAGGGAAGAGACACTGTCTCAATGTAGAGAAGGTAGCCAGTAATAGCTAACTTCAGCAAGAATTTGCCTTAAGTTTAACACATACTTTATGATGCTGCCACCTAGTGGTATAACTTCCTTTGTGACCATGCCCCAGATATTAGAGATATTAGATTGGTCTGATGCACAAACGAACATGACTCGAGATGCACCATTTGTCTTGTGCAGGATTAGCATGTAAAGTTTGGAAATCACATGCAGGATATTGTGATAAGAATATAGACACTGTGGTTACACTTGACTGATTATTAGTTTTGTCATTAATTGGTACCAATACACATCTCTTCTGACCATACATACTTCTCTATATGTTTCTACGGTTCATGTTTCTTTTACTGGTGAGTGTATGTTTCCGATCTTGTACTAAGTACCAGCCATCATGTCATCTCGTACAGATAGCAAGACATTCAGTGAATGGTAAACTGTAGGACCCTTCCTCTGGAACAAACTCTCACTTGACAGAAGATCAGCACAAAAACTTTGCACTTCCAAATTCAGATTAAAGACACATCTCTTCAATGAAGCCTTCAAGATGTCAGCATAGGTATTTTGGAAGTGTTCTAGCAGCTTTGTGTACACTGGGTTATAGTGTTATATAAATACATATAAATACACACACATACAAATGGGCGTTCAAAAGGTTCGGTGGCCAAATCTTCCCAGTTGAGGTTTGAGTCTGGAACTTGTTAGGTGCAGAAGGTGTTTGATGATTCAGTTTTGATCGCTGGATACCCGTGATGAACACACATCTCATCACACGTTGCCATACATGATAAAGTTCCTGGGTACCCATCTAGCCTCACATACCAAGATGCTGATGAAAGATTTCAATGCTACCCACTGAAACCTCAAATTCACAATTCATTATCTTCTTTCCCACAGCAGCTATCATTTCATGAGTTGTAACCTCTGACAGTTTTATTGACAGATATTATTGAGGGACTTTCCACCATGTTTAAGGGGCGGTCGGGTAGCGTTCGCTCGTCACGCCGAAGACCCGGGTTCGATTCCCGACATGGGTACAATGTGTGAAGCCCATTTGTGGTGTCCCCCGCCGTGATATTGCTGGAATATTGCTAAAAGCGGCGTAAAATCATACTCACTCACTCACTCACTCACTCCACCATGTTTAAACTCTACTCAATCACATTACTGTTCTGTAACAAGGGTCATCATTCCCCATCATGTTGACCATTTGATCATGTAGACCCTTGCTAAAAAAAACTTCATGACTGCCCTTTTCTCTGACATGCTGAAATCTATTATGGAGACACCCTTGCTTTATATGGTGAACTATTTCTTCTGTGTTATTTGAAATACTACTTTCATATCTGTCAGCATGTACTCAGCATATGACCGACCATCACCTGCTACTGCATGCATATGACTAGCTACTACATGCATATGACTGACCACCACATGCATATGACTGACCATCACCTGCATATGACTGACCACCACATGCATATGACTAGCTACTACATGCATATGACCGACCATCACCTGCTACTACATGCATATGACTGACCATCACCTGCATATGACTGACCACCACATGATTATGACTAGCTACTACATTCATATGACTGACCATCACCTGCATATGACTAGCTACTACATGCATATGACTGGCTACTACATGCATATGACTGGCTACTACATGCACATGACTGACCACCACCTGCATACCACTGGCTACTTCATGCATATGACTGACCATCACCTGCATATGACTAGCTACTACATGCATATGACTGGCTACTACATGCATATGACTGGCCATCACCTACATATGACTGGCTACTACATGCATATGACTGGCTACTACATGCATATGACTGGCTACTACATGCATATGACTGACAATCACATGCATATGACTAGCTACTACATGCATATGACTGGCTACCACATGCATATGACTGGCCATCACCTGCATATGACTGGCTACTACACGCATATGACCGGCTACTACATGCATATGACCGGCTACTTCATGCTTATGACTGGCCACTACATGCATATGACCGGCTACTACATGCTTATGACTGGCCACCACATGCATATGACTAGCAACTACAGGCATATGACTGGCTACTACATGCATATGACTAGCTACTACACACATATGACCGGCTACTACATGCTTATGACTGGCCACTACATGCATATGACCGGCCACCACATGCATATGAATGGCTACTACATGCATATGACAGGCTACTACATGCATGACTGGCCACCACATGCATATGACTGGCCACTTCATGCACATGACTGACCACCACCTGCATACCACTAGCTACTACATGCATATGACTGGCTACTACATGCACATGACTGGCTACTACATGCACATGACTGGCCACCACATGCATATCACTAGCCACTTCATGCACATGACTGACCACCACCTGCATACCACTGGCTACTACATGCATATGACCGGCTACTACATGCATATGACTGGCTACTTCATGCATATGACTGGTTACTACATGCACATGACTGGCCACCACATGCATATGACTGGCCACTTCATGCACATGACTGACCACCACCTGCATACCACCGGCTACTACATGCATATGACTGGCTACTACATGCATAAGACTGGCCTCCACCTGCATATGACTGGCTACTACATGCACATGACTGGCTACTACATGCACATGACCGGCTACTACATGCATATGACTGGCTACTACATGCATATGACTGGCCACCACCTGCAGATGACTGGCTACTACATGCAGATGACCGGCTACTACATGCAGATGACCGGCTACTACATGCAGATGACCGGCTACTACATGCAGATGACCGGCTACTACATGCATATGACTGGCCACTACATGCAGATGACCGGCTACTACATGCAGATGACCGGCTACTACATGCAGATGACTGGCTACTACATGCAGATGACCGGCTACTACATGCAGATGACCGGCTACTACATGCAGATGACCGGCTACTACATGCAGATGACTGGCTACTACATGCATATGACTGGCCACTACATGCAGATGACTGGCTACTACATGCATATGACTGGCCACTACATGCAGATGACCGGCTACTACATGCAGATGACTGGCTACTACATGCAGATGACCGGCTACTACATGCAGATGACTGGCTACTACATGCAGATGACCGGCTACTCGTATAATGAGAGTGAACAGTCTTTCAGTTAGCCACTATTTTTAGTGCTTTGGACATAGCTAGGAAAATCTTTTGTTTTTTATTCATTAATCATGTGACAGTAAATGATCCTTAAATACAAATAATATGTGCAACCCTCCACTCATGCTTATCCGTTTTATTTATGGACATTTTTGTAACAGCAAAACAAAACATCTTCATGACACTGTAGTAGGATGGAACCATATAAAACTCCCAAGAAATCACCACATTCATGTACAAAATAGAACTTGTTGTTAAACCACAAATTTATTCATTTTGTAATCTGCACTTAACAACAAGTGGTACAAGTGTTTCTTGTGTTAAATAGAAAGGTGTCTGTCTCTTCCACATCACCTCACCATTACAAGGTGACTGTTTACATTGTGGACTTAATAAGCCAGGAGCATATTTCATGGCACTTTCAAGTGATAAAATCCTCTTCTGCAAAGAAGGAGAATGTCCCACTTTACTGCTCTAAGTGAGTGAGGACACGGTATCTCTTTCCTTGTGTGTAGCATCTGATTTTGGCATTGCTTGGTACTTGATAAACACAGTAATACGACACGTCACGAGCAGCTTCAGCCAGTCAGGACACAACGGGTTAACAAGGAGCCCTCACAAAACAACCATCAGAAATGATGGTCCATGCCTGACAATCTAGTGGGACAGTTTGTTGGAGTAACTACACTTGGGGTATACTTAACTCAAGACATTTATCTAGGAAGTTTTTCAATCACAATGACAAACACAGGGAATATATGCCTGGTGACTGTGCTGTCTTAAAAATTAAAGTTGTGACATGGCTCTCAAGAACTGGATTTGCTTGGACTTTAGTTTTCTTGGTTGTCACATCCTATTGTCTCATCCTAATATTTTCAGAACAAAAGTTGTTCAATGCAAAGGGAAATCACAAGAGGACACTGTGCCCCATGAATCACTCTCTGTCCCTGTGAGTGGCCATGCTCAGACAGGTCACTTTTGTCGCTGGACAATCACTGCATTCAATAGCTTAGCATCCTCTAGTGTCACCGACTCCTCAGTCAGTTCTTTATTTGGGAAGGTTGTCATCAACACGAAGTTCACCCCCGCATACTGAGGATGGGATCTTACACGAGTCAAGGAAACACACAACAGCAAACATGACAAGACTAACACATTGTAGCTCACCTGGCTGAACCAGAGACATCAGTGGTGGCAGTTACATACTTGTGAAGTGTTTAAAGCTGAATACAGTGATATTGTTAGTCCCTGAAATCATTAAGTGTGGTTGTAGAGGGTAATAAATGCTCTGATCAATTTAAACACTATCTGTTTCACGGGCCTTTCGACATGAATGCAAACCGTCAGTTCTTTGAACATGAGTTCCAGTGCGACCACATGTGATGGTTAGATGGTCCCACATAAAAGACAGGACAAGATCAAAAGCTAATTGCTCTAAGTTAACGAGTTGAAAGTCACACAGAATGGCGCAAGTCATGGCTGTCGAGTTTTAAAATGAAATCTCAAACTGACAAAGCACATGCAATATATGTCTTCTCCAAGCATGGAGAGAATCTAGGAGCTGGGACCCCATCTCTCACAGGCTCATCCATATGTGTTCAGATAATGTTAACAGATCTAGATGGAACTAAATAGCTAAACCAGAGACAGAAAGGATACGATATAATGTAATTTCTAATATCGCTGATCCTATGACTGTGATTAAACTTGGCAACCAGTCTGAAAATAAAATAAAACAATGAGTTAGACATAACCATATTAATCTAAGACAACTAGCTTCACACAAAGGGAGTAACATGCGACACAAGCAGTGTAGAATACCAGAGTGTACTTCAAGCTGTTCAAATACAGGATTACTGCCATCACGTTTCTCATACAATTACAAAAATCTTCAAATGGTAAATGTTTGCCTAATATCATGTTTGGGTAACACAATTCCTAGTGGTTAAAGTGGAACCTTGCCCCATAGAATCCTTACTGGCAGTATGGTCTAATGGCCCCACTTCACTTTATGTATGGACAACACGGTAAATGGATGAGAATGAGGTTTCAACTACACAGTACTGTGGCTCACTTGGTTACACATCATCAATACTTTATGTGGTGTATACACTACGCCCCTCCAGTGAATACATTAAGCTGATATGTCATGTTGTGGAGGCGTGTCTATTTTCAGTTTTCTACGTAAACTGAGCACTCAGTGGTCTGGGCACCTGCTGGATTCCCCCTTGCTGGAACCAGGCTGTCAGGTGAAAAACAGCAACCACATCCCAACAGGGTCACTGAAGACATTATGGTCAAGATGTCAACATGGTCAATGTGGTCCCCATTGTCAACAAATGTAACATATCACATTGTTAAGTTAACATTTTTGTTTTGACAAACCTTGATCCATCTGCGAGTCGGATCTGTATGCTGGTTGTGGGTTTGGAGGTGTCAACTGCAACGGCTGCCTGCTGCGCTGTGTTGTCATTGACTGCGCTTGCCCCTGCTGCTTCAGGTGGCTTTGATGCCAGGTTGGGGACAGGGCTGAAACAGATATCACATGGTACAATACGAAGGGTGTGATATGTGATGAGGTGAAATAGGGTTTAACAGGTGGGTTTAACAGGTGAGGTGAGGTGAAATGGGGTTTAACGTCGCGTACAGGTTATTGCACTTATATAGCGACATGCATGTATGCGTGTGTGTTTGTGTGGCTGCTTGTACTAGTCCGGACTGATGCCGATTTATGGTGCTAGCTCACTGAGATACCATGCCGCAGTTTAACATAAATACCCCACTCAGATGATGCATGTGTCAAGGTGTAGGCAACAGTTGAGTGTGATACATGTGTCAAGGTGTAGGTGACAGTTGAGTGTGATGCATGTGTCAAGGTGTAGGTGACAGTTGAGTGTGATGCATGTGTCAAGGTGTAGGTAACAGTTGAGTGTCATGCATGTGTCAAGGTGTAGGTGACAGTTGAGTGTGATGCATGTGTCAAGGTGTAGGTGATAGTTCAGTGTGATGCATGTGTCAAGGTGTAGGTGACAGTTCAGTGTGATGCATGTGTCAAGGTGTAGGCAACAGTTCAGTATGATGCATGTGTCAAGGTGTAGAGATCAGTTCAGTGTGATGCATGTGTCAAGGAGTAGGTGACAGTTCAGTGTGATGCATGTGTCAAGGTGTAGGTGACAGTTGAGTGTGATGCATGTGTCAAGGTGTAGGCAACAGTTGAGTGTGATGCATGTGTCAAGGTGTAGGCAACAGTTGAGTGTGATGCATGTGTCAAGGTGTAGGCAACAGTTCAGTGTGATGCATGTGTCAAGGTGTAGGTGACAATTGAGTGTGATGCATGTGTCAAGGTGTAGACAACAGTTGAGTGTGATGCATGTGTCAAGGTGTAGGTAACAGTTGAGTGTGATGCATGTGTCAAGGTGTAGGTGACAGTTCAGTGTGATGCATGTGTCAAGGTGTAGGCAACAGTTGAGTGTGATGCATGTGTCAAGGTGTAGGTGATGGTTCAGTGTGATGCATGTGTCAAGGTGTAGGCAACAGTTGAGTGTGATGCATGTGTCAAGGTGTAGGTGACAGTTCAGTGTGATGCATGTGTCAAGGTGTAGGTGACAGTTGAGTGTGATGCATGTGTCAAGTTGTAGGTGACAGTTGAGTGTGATGCATGTGTCAAGGTGTAGGGAACAGTTCAGTGTGATGCATGTGTCAAGGTGTAGGCAACAGTTCAGTGTGATGCATGTGTCAAGGTGTAGGTGACAGTTCAGTGTGATGCATGTGTCAAGGTGTAGGTGACAGTTCAGTGTGATGCATGTGTCAAGGTGTAGGTGACAGTTGAGTGTGATGCATGTGTCAAGGTGTAGGTGACAGTTCAGTGTGATGCATGTGTCAAGGTGTAGGCAACAGTTCAGTGTGATGCATGTGTCAAGGTGTAGGTGACAGTTCAGTGTGATGCATGTGTCAAGGTGTAGGCAACAGTTCAGTGTGATGCATGTGTCAAGGTGTAGGTGACAGTTCAGTGTGATGCATGTGTCAAGGTGTAGGTGACAGTTCAGTGTGATGCATGTGTCAAGGCGTAGGTGACAGTTGAGTGTGATGCATGTGTCAAGGTGTAGGTAGCAGTTCAGTGTGATGCATGTGTCAAGGTGTAGGTGACAGTTGAGTGTGATGCATGTGTCAAGGTGTAGGTGACAGTTCAGTGTGATGCATGTGTCAAGGTGTAGGTGACAGTTCAGTGTGATGCATGTGTCAAGGTGTAGGTAGCAGTTCAGTGTGATGCATGTGTCAAGGCGTAGGTGACAGTTGAGCGTGATGCATGTGTCAAGGTGTAGGTGACAGTTGAGTGTGATGCATGTGTCAAGGTGTAGGTGACAGTTGAGTGTGATGCATGTGTCAAGGTGTAGGTGACAGTTGAGTGTGATGCATGTGTCAAGGTGTAGGTGACAGTTGAGTGTGATGCATGTGTCAAGGCGTAGGTGACAGTTGAATGTGATGCATGTGTCAAGGCGTAGGTGACAGTTGAGTGTGATGCATGTGTCAAGGTGAAGGTGACAGTTGAATGTGATGCATGTGTCAAGGTGTAGGCAACAGTTCAGTGTGATGCATGTGTCAAGGTGTAGGTGACAGTTGAGTGTGATGCATGTGTCAAGGTGTAGGTGACAGTTCAATGTGATGCATGTGTCAAGGCGTAGGTGACAGTTGAGTGTGATGCATGTGTCAAGTTGTAGATGGCAGTTGAGTGTGATGCATGTGTCAAGGTGTAGGTGACAGTTGAGTGTGATACATGTGTCAAGGTGTAGGCAACAGTTCAGTGTGATGCATGTGTCAAGGTGTAGGTGACAGTTCAGTGTGATGCATGTGTCAATGTGTAGGTGACAGTTCAGTGTGATGCATGTGTCAAGGTGTAGGCAACAGTTCAGTGTGATGCATGTGTCAATGTGTAGGTGACAGTTCAGTGTGATGCATGTGTCAAGGTGTAGACATCAGTTCAGTGTGATGCATGTGTCAAGGTGTAGGTAACAGTTGAGTGTGATACATGTGTCAAGGTGTAGGTGACAGTTGAGTGTGATGCATGTGTCAAGGTGTAGGCAACAGTTCAGTGTGATGCATGTGTCAAGGTGTAGGTAACAGTTCAGTGTGATGCATGTGTCAAGGTGTAGGTGGCAGTTCAGTGTGATGCATGTGTCAAGGTGTAGGTAGCAGTTCAGTGTGATGCATGTGTCAAGGCGTAGGTGACAGTTCAGTGTGATGCATGTGTCAAGGTGTAGGTGACAGTTGAGTGTGATGCATGTGTCAAGGTGTAGACAACAGTTCAGTGTTATTTTATAGTAGTGAAGCGACTGATGAGAGATATGCAATGACATCTAAATAGTTTGTCTTGCAAAAAATGTAAAGTTTGCTTTACCTGCCCAGCATCCGCCCTGCTCCTGTGAATGCCCTGACAGGTACTTTAGGCTTGACATACTCTTCATTGCGATGATCTTCCATGTTGAGATTGACTTCTCCACCCTTAGCCAATCGTATGAGTTCTCTTGGCACCTCACTAAACACATACAAAGAAGTCATCCCTGGCCTCTGCCATTTAAATATCATACTTTGATGTGATGTGAGTGAAAGAACAAATGTTAATAAAGACATCTGTTGTCAAAGTTGACTTAAACAGTGTATAGAATCTCAATCTATTAAACATATTATCACCAAAATACTTCCTGAATAACTAAAACAATATTGACTAAACATGCTGAATGATCTGACTGGCAGCTGTGGATGTTATATAAAAACATAAGGGATGAGGAATTACAGGTATCATGGGTACAACACATACGTTGATATGGACTCGGCTGATCATGTTACTCGTTTTCTGCCAGTCAGATCTTGCTCAAATAAAAAGAGCTGTTTAAGTTACAAAATAGCTGTGCTGAGCTTTACTTAAATCTATGTTTCAGTAATATTTGTACTTTCAAATATAGAAATTTAATTGTGATGTTTGGCAAAAACAAAAGTACCCTTTTCCTATTGAATCTAAGAAATCTTTATTTGCAGGGTCGTTGTAATCTCTCCACGGACCGTCATCCATACTAAATCCATTTTTCCACAGTTTCAATACCATATCAACCTGAAACACAATACAATAACTTATTTGTCTGCTGGTAGATCAACTGCAAGTACAAAATTGTACTAAGCATGTTTAGACATCCCTTACTTGAACCCTATATCTGACAAGACACACATGTCCGACATCCTTACTTGAACCCTACATCTGACAAGACACACACATCAGACATCCTTACTTGAACCCTACATCTGACAAGACACATATATCAGACATCCTCACTTGTACCCTATATCTGACAAGACACATACGTCAGACATCCTTACTTTGAACCCTACATCTGACAACACACACACATCAGACATCCTTACTTGAACCCTACATCTGACAAGACACACACATCAGACATCCTTACTTGAACCCTACATCTGACAACACACACACATCAGACATCCTTACTTGAACCCTATATCTGACAAGACACACACATCAGACATCCTTACTTGAACCCTACATCTGACAACACACACACATCAGACATCCTTACTTGAACCCTACATCTGACAACACACACACATCAGACATCCTTACTTGAACCCTACATCTGACAACACACACACATCAGACATCCTTACTTGAACCCTATATCTGACAAGACACACACATCAGACATCCTTACTTGAACCCTACATCTGACAAGACACATATATCAGACATCCTCACTTGTACCCTATATCTGACAAGACACATACGTCAGACATCCTTACTTTGAACCCTACATCTGACAAGACACACACATGTCCGACATCCTTACTTTGAACCCTATATCTGACAACACACACACATCAGACATCCTCACTTGTACCCTACATCTGACAAGACACATACGTCAGACATCCTTACTTTGAACCCTACATCTGACAACACACACACATCAGACATCCTTACTTGAACCCTACATCTGACAAGACACATACGTCAGACATCCTTACTTGAACCCTACATCTGACAAGACACATATATCAGACATCCTCACTTGTACCCTATATCTGACAAGACACATATATCAGACATCCTTACTTGAACCCTACATCTGACAAGACACATATATCAGACATCCTCACTTGTACCCTATATCTGACAAGACACATACGTCAGACATCCTTACTTGAACCCTACATCTGACAAGACACACATATCAGACATCCTCACTTGTACCCTATATCTGACAAGACACATACGTCAGACATCCTTACTTGAACCCTACATCTGACAAGACACATATATCAGACATCCTTACTTGAACCCTACATCTGACAAGACACACATGTCAGACATCCTTACTTGAACCCTATATCTGACAAGACACACATGTCAGACATCCTTACTAGAACCCTACATCTGACAAGACACATACGTCAGACATTCCTTACTTGAACCCTACATCTGACAAGACACATACGTCAGACAATCCTTACTTGAACCCTATATCTGACAACACACGTCAAACATTCCTTACTTGAACCCTACATCTGACAAGACACATACGTCAGACATCCTTACTTGAACCCTACATCTGACAAGACGCATATATCAGACATCCTTACTTGAACCCTACATCTGACAAGACACACACATGTCAGACATCCTTACTTGAACCCTACATCTGACAAGACACATACATCAGACATCCTTACTTGAACCCTACATCTGACAAGACGCATATATCAGACATCCTTACTTGAACCCTACATCTGACAAGACACACATGTCAGACATCCTTTCTTGAACCCTATATCTGACAAGACACACACGTCAAACATTCCTTACTTGAACCCTACATCTGACAAGACACACATGTCAGACATCCTTACTTGAACCCTACATCTGACAAGACACATATATCAGACATCCTTACTTGAACCCTACATCTGACAAGACATATATCAGACATCCTTACTTGAAACCTACATCTGACAAGACACATACATCAGACATCCTTACTTGAACCCTATATCTGACAAGACACATATATCAGACATCCTTACTTGAACCCTATATCTGACAACACACATACAACTAATACTTGGACTCAGTCCAGGTTGTCAATCCAGGTTATCCGAGACTACTGTGCACCTATTACCTGTCTTGATTCTTTCACTTTTGCACCTTGTACTGTATGAGAGGTCCCCTCTGTGTCCCCAAGTCTATATCCAGTACCTCTGAACGATGGACCTGCTTTTTTCCGCTTGTTTTCACTTGCATCAACAACTTCAGCCCCATGTCTATAAAGCAGATGAAACAGCACATACATAAATGCTATATATGCCTCCCCTCAACACTAATACCCTGACAGCTGGAAACTAACTTGACTATGTTTCGGTTTCGGCGGCCTGTAAACCATAGGTCTGGGCAAGGCAACCAGTAACAGAGGAATGATCCCATGCTGTAGAGGTATAACACACAGCTATCACCTCCGGCAGCTCAACTACCTTCAGTATTCTCTATGTCTTCCGTCACTATGCATAACAGGCCTTACACATAGTCATCAGGACTCATATACAGTCAAGTCTCGTTAATCCGACACTCATTATTCCGACAATCAGCTTTATCCGACACTAATGATGGGAACCGATTAAATCAGTGCTATTTAGACCCGTTAATCCGACAGTCTAGCACTCCAACTCTGACACACCTTATTTGCAACGAAATACCGAAATCACTCATTATCATTTAATCCGACACAGTGATCTGCGTACTCCGTTGTCATCTGCCCACGAGTACACAGCCTGTGTTTTGATGTTAGACGAGTTGGCTGGTAGCTGCATATTACAATGGCTGCAGAGATTAACTTGCTTGAAAATAAACAATTAATGAAATTAGTGTTTGTATCGTTATCTATTGTGTAGTTGTCTGATTTTCAATCACGAACGTTGATATTACTTAATTTCGTTTATCCAACATACTCGTTAATCCGACATAATCATATGCAACCAACCATGTCAGATTAACAAGACTTGACTGTATGCAAGACAACTTATCAACTGTAGACATCTCACCAATAAGTATATTTTGGGAATAGGCTTAAGAAACGGATGCTAATATAAGAGATAACTTCATATTTAAAATGTATTGCAGTAGTTTCTTTCACACACAAATATTTGTTGAAGGTAAGTGCATATTAAATGTTTCTTTTCTGAGAACTGACTCTTTTGCAGACTTGAAAAGTGTATCCACCACCTCATCTGGTTCAGATTTCTTCTTTGGCGGGCCCAGTACCTGCTGTCCACTGAAACATAACAGTCAATGACAATCAACCAATGCTACTTGTATCAGTAGGACTGAAAAAACATAAGGCTGTTTGAAACATGACATTAATTCAATTGTAGTAGGCACTTTAAATTTAACTGACATTTCTATACTGATAAGATATACAATCAATGTTCAGACTGTCCATTCCCCCTTAATATCCCCTTATCACCAAGTTTTGTTTGAGACAAGGAAATCCCCATTTGTGCAGAGTTTCATAGCATGTACACCGTCAGGACCCAGTGAACTCAGCCACATGTTGCCAGGCTGTAGATGTCAAGTAGGTCCCAGTGAACTCAGCCACATGTTGCCAGACTGTAGATGTCAAGTAGGTCCCAGTGAACTCAGCCACATGTTGCCAGACTGTAGATGTCAAGTAGGTCCCAGTGAGCTCAGCCACATGTTGCCAGACTGTAGATGTCAAGTAGGTCACTGTGGTATCCCACTGTCCATGTTGCCAGACTGTAGATGTCAAGTAGGTCACTGTGGTCTCCCATTGTGCATGTTGCCAGACTGTAGATGTCAAGTAGGTCACTGTGGTCTCCCATTGTGCATGTTGCCAGACTGTAGATGTCAAGTAGGTCACTGTGGTCTCCAAATGTGCATGTTGCCAGACTGTAGATGTCAAGTAGGTCACTGTGGTCTCCCACTGTGCATGTTGCCAGACTGTAGATGTCAAGTAGGTCACTGTGGTCTCCCATTATGCATGTTGCCAGACTGTAGATGTCAAGTAGGTCACTGTGGTCTCCCATTATACATGTTGCCAGACTGTAGATGTCAAGTAGGTCACTGTGGTCTCCCACTGTCCATGTTGCCAGACTGTAGATGTCAAGTAGGTCACTGTGGTCTCCCATTGTGCATGTTGCCAGACTGTAGATGTCAAGTAGGTCACCTTGTGATGGGCATGTAAGCTTAATGTTGGAGGAAAGCCCGAAGTGATGCATTTTTCAGACATTCACCACTTTGGCGAAACCCACAAGCAGGGTGTGACACCAGGATTTGAACCCACATCATAGGTTTCTGGGGTGCCAAAGGGACACAAATCTGCACAGCGATTTGCGGCACCTTGGACTGGGCCGCCTGTGCCCCCAGGTTAATATGATGGGTGAAGGACATTGAACTTCTGTTACTTGTAACCATGGTAACAAATGAGAAATGACAACGGGAAAAAAACTCTTACCCATGCTCTATACTGAAGCTGACATTGTGAATATGGAAACCAATCTTACCTGCGTTCTGAACCTCCAGCATAGAAGGCTTGACCTTCATCTGAGTCAGAATCTTCCTCCTTGTCCTTCATACTTGAGATTGTAGCAAACCTGAAACATGAGACACTTATCAATGCTTATAGATTCAGATTGTCCTTATAGACTTTCATTACCAATCCTACAGAGGAACTGTTACCTCAGTCTGGTACCCATGTCAGTCCAGGTGCTGTAATTAGTGACATGTTTGAGACATTGTCACTGTGTATTTAGACTAATCATTAACAAGTAGAGTTACAAGTTGAACCTGTGCATATCCAGGCTAGAATAGGTCTTCAGCAACCCATGTTTGTCATAAGAGGGGACTAACAGGATTTGGTGGTCAGACTGGCTGACTTGGTTGATGCATGTCATTGTATCCCAATTGCATTGATCAATGCTCATGATATCAATCACTGGATTGTCTGGTCCAGACTCAATTATTTACAGACCGCTGTCATATAGCTGGAATATTGCTGAGTGCAGCATTAAACAACAAACAAACACAGTTATAAGTTGAAATGTGAAAAACAGTCAGGGGACTAAAAAATATTTTAATCTTTTCACAATCAGTATTTTGCTTAAACAGATACTTCCGTTGCTATCTAATGACCACTTCCACTCAAAGGCCTTCTTAAACCTGTCATAATCCCTTCCCTGCTACACTATGCAGATGTGATTCTACATACTGGTACTGGTACTAGCTACAAGGTTCACCTTGATCCTCCTCCAGACTGTCCCGCACTCTGTGACCTGCCACCACCATCACCACTAGAAGGCGCTGCTGTCTCCTGAATATCTTCATCATCATCAACCTCCACAACCTGAGGCTCAGCATCACCATCTTCATAGAAACTTGCCATTGCAAGCTGAAGAACAATTAACTCTCTATGAATTTGTTTGGTGTGTTTGCCAGGGCAAGTGACAGAATGAAACATCCTGTCTGAGTCCACAACAATCATGACAATAGCATTAGCATTCTATTCCCTCCACAAGTACAAGTTGTTCCAGAAACACACAACAGAAACATACACATGATGATTGATGAGTTGACTCATGAAGGTGCCTATCTGCTCATTTCACAAGTTGATGCATGCAGAGAACAACATTAAGAATCTACAATAAACAAGATAAAAACATAAAATCATTATCATGCTTATAAACATGCGAATGTCAGCTTAAATGTGTTTAGCTATTTATGAGTAGTATGATATTGCTTTCACGGTTCATGTTGTAACTGACTGACAGTAGAACAATGACGTTACTTATTTACAAAGTGATAGTAGGCTTGTTTGCCACTTCACTCGGAGAGAGCAGGAGAACAGTTTCATTCAAAGCCAATAACTTCAAATGATGACACCATATTTACTGATCAATGTACATCCATATCAAGGCAGCAGGAATGGGAAAAGATAATGAATAAGTTGAACCTTCCAACAGGAAAACATTAACACTTCAGTTTCCCTTCTTCAGCCACAGTTGCTATTTTTAGAATGCACTTATACAATGTACAGGAAAAACTTTACTTATCACTGTTTTCAGGTCAAATCAAATGAAAGTAGGGTGGATTCAACATTATCATGTACTTGACATGCATACTTCTTGGGATGTATTACAGGATTACATAACCACAGCGTTGCCAGCACATGTATATTTGCATCTGACACACTATGCATACTGTTTGTATCAGTTTTAGGTCAGAATATATAGGAACAATACATTTGTATATCGCAATCCAAGAAGCAGTTGGACATGTGGAATTAACAAGCCAATCAGCATGGAGCAAAAAATTATAAAGCTCAGTGAGAATTATACTAAAAATAATTTCACTTTTATCTATTGCCTATGGGTAATACTAATAACTGTAATATTGTTTGTCTTTTCCATGAAAAATTCTGAGAAATATGTTAATGCACATGTCGCTTAGAAGACTTGAGATATACTGTAGTTAATTTTTGTATTTTCAGTATCAAATGGGGTGTTGTCACTTTTCAGTCCTTGGTCAAAATAAAAATTGTATACTCTTGGGTAAAATATCCCATCAGAACAGCAAACTTACATTTGTCCAGGGTTGTGATGATATACAACATGTTTTTTATATCACATTTTGTTACATTGACTCCAACTGCTGTTTGACTTTGAATTGCCTACTATGAACAACTCTGAACATGATGTACAGGGACAGCATCGCTAGCATAAGTTTCAGCTCTGCATATCACCACTGAAATCACATCATCACTCTGATTGTCTTTTACTTAACCATGATAACTGAACACGCTGAACATCTTTTGTGAAATTGATAATTCATCTGAAAAGCCTATTTTCCATATCATTTGAATCAAGATTTCACTGACATCATACACAGACAAAGTAAAATATTTGTTAATACTTTTGTGCAGAGTGTATACTTTTTCTTTGTACAGTTTATAACTTTGAGAAAATATGCTGTCAATCAAAATATAGGACTGAATTAAAACATATATTGTTTGGGAACTTGGTGGATAACAACCTCCATGATATCATTCAATGTTCACTTTGACTGTGAGCATGTTACAGCCAGTACAAAATCTGCATCAGCTACTATCTAATCTGAATTTCAGATAGTACCGGGAATGCTGAACTCATAAATCGAGAGATTCTGATGTTGGTACCAGGAGTGCCAAACCGATGGATTACCCGTGAGTGCAGTGAACCATGAATGCATACTGTTTTATGATATAAACAAGTTATTCAGAGTTATTGACTGTTTACAGTTGCAGCTAGTGAGTCTACTCATGATGTGGATGTGTTTACAGATAAAGCTTAAGAAGATCAAAACTATTAAAGAGTTATTGACTGTGTTTACAGTTGCAATGAGTCTACTCATGATTTAGACATGTTTTACAGATAAAGCGCTTGTTTTAGAAGATCAAACACACCGAAAAGCTTTCATATGCCAAATTGTAATAATTGAAATAACATAGATATGAAACTGAGTAAAACTGCATGCTATATGAGTCTTATCTTCCACAATAATACCACCAAAATGGCGAATGCGCAAGTAAGAGTGACTTTAATTGAGAGAGGCGGACAGCTGCTGTACTATGGCAGGTATAAATTTTGTTGTAAAAGCGTACATAATGAAACAAAGCATTCAAAGTAACAAGACCTTCCGATTGTTAGCCCAACAGCCAACCGACTGAGCTACGTCTATACAGTGAAACACAGTGCAAATTTACATAGTCATGCCTACAACATTACGGAACTGAACGAAAAGGGTCGAATAGGTGACGGACACTTCCAAAGGTTACGGGTAGGCATGGTGTCTCGTGACTTTAGTCTACAGACACTTACAAATGATCCCCAAGCCACTTGGCACTCTCGTCCCATTCCGTAATCTACAAGATACCGAGTGGCGAGGAATGATCCGATATGGCGCGAACTAAAAACGGCACCAGGCGTCAGACGTTGAACTTGCGAGTATACATGAATGACATGGTATTATATAATTCCTCGGGTGGATTTTGTGACAGAAAAGTGTGGTAGGGAACACTGTAAGGATGATGTGGATAATAGTAAAGAACGAGGGAGGCATGAGCATGGCTAATGTAGTAATGACGACACAACTGTGAGATTTTGAATCACTACGATTCAGTACTGAAAAAATGTAGCCAGTGAAAGTGGCTTGTGTGAATGTTCCAGGACAGTTTCCAGTAGCCAAAGTATTCAACACAAAACCATTTCATCCTTTTTACTTGACATTTTTGTGTGAAGAATATTAGGAGCCACAATAGAATCTATAAACGGGTAGATCTACCTAACCCTAATGATTGTAAGGGATGATTGATCGTAAAGGGTAACCTACCCTAACACTGGCGACATTTGGATGTGTTCAGCGCTAATAAACTGCATTCTTGTGCACAACTAATGACAACTAATGAAAATTAATGAACCAACAAAAAAATATATGTATAGTAGTTCCCATTTATAACCATTTTAGCCACTTGAATTATGAGGGAAAAAAAATAAAAAAAATAAAAGTGCTTTCATAAACTAGCGCTTGTGATAAAATGCGCCGCCGTAGGCTATATTTAGAAAACAAATATTCAAAACTCTCAACACCGATTGGCGTAAACAATGACATTGCGTGCGGAGATGATAGATCACTGGGAGGACCTTATGCACACTCGATGACCCCCTGACGTCACAGGGCATTGTTTTGCCGGTGTGACTTGCAACAAAATACTACAAAATACTACAAAATTACGACATAGGGTATTGTCACGTGTTTGAAAAGTTTGTGGTACTGTATGCTAAAGGTAGGCCCAATATACCTGTCTCGAGGGATTCCTCGGAAGTAGTTTTAGAACTCAAGATCACAACTTCTTGTGAGAAATGTTCTCTCACATGTCACCTCAAATTATGTTGGATTAATTCGATAAAAGAGATAGCTAACTCAGAACAAACCCTAAGGACCGTAAAGGGGAGATTGATGGATATTAAAGTGGTACCTAAACCTCACGAAGGAAAGGAGATCCAAGGACTAAGGATAAAGTTAGGGGTAACCTACCCCAACCACAAAGAATCGACGAGGCAATATGCAGAGAGGTACAACCGGCAGTCTGATCAATATTAGCGCTATGAGGTGCGCCCGGTAATCTGTAATTTTGCAATGTCTTTCTCTAATTTTGTTTTTGTCCTACGAAGGGGAGTAAAATACCGTATTAACTAAAGACCTGTCCAGAACTATGTCTAGTAGAAAGGGTTTGCATGTGCCAAGACTCGTGGAGTTGTGCGTGTTTCTACATCGAGGTACAAGAAAAGAAGAACTACATAGAACAGGTTGAAAATGCAATTTTATACTGTTTGAGCGTTACCTCTAGATTCCATGCAGCCGATTCAAGATGGAATCTTGCTCTATCGACATCGATACCAGTTACACCAACGAATTGGTCAATGAGTTCTTGTTTGTCAGCCATGTTGGAATGATTGAGCAACAAAAGTAATGCTCGATATCCCATTCATGCTCGACATATCTGTGACTGGTTAAATGAAATCCTACAAACGTGCCTTCCACAGGAGAGTTCCATTACAGCATATTTACTTCCCTTGGTTGTGTTTGCACAATTGTTTCCTTTTTGGATCACAGGTTCCTGACAAAGTTCACATTTCTATATACTATATTCATGTACTGACAAATTATTATTATTATTATTATTATTATTATTATTATTATTTACATGGTCCTGTGCGTAGCCTCGTCACGCCGACGGACTCACATGGTTACACAATGTGTGACGGCCTTTTCTGGTGTCCCCCGTCGTGTTATTGCTGGAATACTGCTAACAGCGGCGTTAAAAATACTACCTCACTCACACATGCATAAGGGCAGCCTGAGGCATGACGTTCCAATCTCGGATGAGAGCTCTTTGCAGAGCCCCAAGATCATATGGCACTGGGCGCCCAAACTCATCCCAGGGGTTTTCAAACGGGCTTAAGGCATGAGGACATCATTGTCGTGAAGGAAGCATAGTCCTCGTGAATGGTAACACAACTGCGACCAATATCTCATTTTTGGAACACTGTGCTTTTTGTTTCCTACAAAAAACTTGCAATGTCCTTGTATACTACCACCCAATACCATCATGGAGCCGCCAAGAAATCAATGATGCGCTGCCACAGCATCCTCCTCAAAACAACACTAAATTTACTCCCATCTGATAACAAAACCAGTGATCACTGGCGTTGATTCAACCGCTGCTGACATCGTCATCACAGCAAACACACTTAATAAAACGCCACTGACGTGGTATCGGTGGTGAACAAAATAATGGACATCGACAACAGTGACCAGCAGAAAGAACCTGCTTCTAATGCAGGCCGTGCCGTCATTCCTTTAAAATGACGTGACGCCAGAAACCTGCTACACAGGAGACGATTATCAAGGTACTAATGCAGCCTGTGTTGTGGCGAGGTCTTTGAGCCCATGCAACAGCATCAGTACCGGTGGTGTGTGGACTGTGGACTTTGAGTGACGTTAAAGCCTCTTGCCACCTGACGTTGACTGTATCACCCGTTTGGAGCATCTCAGTAGTTGTGTCACATTTGTCATTACTCAGGAATCGACACATCGTTTCAGTTTTCATCTGCAACTGTTAATGAGGTTGGGAAGATTGTGTCCACAACTCGAGGTGCACGTATAGATATTTAATGGCGCTTGGTTGTTTAACATTTGTGCTAATATTTGGCCTGTTTACCTGCTCCTGTGTCATATATCCTTGATCGCATATTGTTGTCATTAATAATGTCGAAAACGTTCACCGTCAATTCATTTCTAGTTTTGGACCATGTATATCCATATGGAAGACCCTTTAATACTTGCGTTGAGAATAGTTTGGATCGGCAAATGTTTAATAGTATATGGCGATCCAAAAACATAAACTGAACTTTATTAGCATTCATGAAATAAAAATGAAAATTTGGTTCATAGGACAAGGAACCGTGTCTGGTGCCCATTTCTAAACTATGGTTTTAAACGTTGGAATGTGTGTCAAGTGTGACAAGGCACCACAAACTGATAGATTGATATGATGTATAATAAAATATGAGTTTGTGTTGGAACGACCTGCAAATAGCACTAAATTGGCCGAATGAATCTCACACCTGGGGAAAAACGGAATCGCATAATTGCTAAAATTATTCCTAAACATGCACGTGTTAGTGATTATGAATCATTACATACGTATTGTATAGTATAAATGTATATACATGTATCTTTAAATAAGTTTTGCAATCAACACACTACTCCCTGGCGTGGCAGCGAGACTCATGGGGACGTTTGCTCCGCGGGTGTATTCCAGCTTACAGTATATAGCAATCACAGTGGCTGTATGATTTATTTATGTATGGTCGTTTAAGAATATTTGTTTGCTGTCTGACGCCGCAGTCATAAAAATTCCAGCGGCCTGTTGACACAGAGTCAACCAAATCACCGAGCCCCACCATCCGATCAAAAAAAAAAATCGTGTCATAAACGGCCATAATAGGTTGTTGGGGACCTTCTCTAGTCTGTTAATAAAACGTAAGTGTTTGAATCGGCATGAAATTTAAGTATTGTGTGCATGTTCATGTGAATAATGTATTTCCTTCTTTGTCTAATAGGGCGATGGGGTAGTCTAGTGGTTAAAGCGTTCGCTCGTCATGCCGAAGGCCCGGGTTCGATTCCCCACATGAATAGAATGTGTGAAGCCCATTTCTGGTGTACCCCCGACGTGATATTGCTGGAATATAATATTACCAATTTGACGATGGCCTGGGAACTATCCATGGAAATCCGGTATAGGCTAGGTTTATTAATTACAGGCCGGAATAGCTGTATTGGTGCACTCGTGTTTATAATTCATTACCTCGTTGTTTGTTGCCGAATTCGGCGTAAAACGCATTTACTCACTAATGCAGCATGGGAACGGTATAGTACAATATATTTCGTTGAAACTTTATGAAACATGTGGTGATTGCACCATGTAGTCTCTTAGGGAGCGGACTTGGCTCAGTCTGGATTCCGCTGTCTAACACCCACCCTCAGCTACCGTGATTGATTTGCCGGCCGGCGCAACCGAGCGTGACAAGAGACTGGGCTACCGTTAAGGACAGCGGGAATAAACTTTGAGGCAATATCTGAAGATTTCGATATTACAAAGGGCACAATGTTTATTAATAATAGTTTGATTGAAAGAAGTATTCCCGCAGTGAAAGTGTTCATATTTCTGATTGTATTTGTGACAAGCCGACTGAGATTGATTTGGATCACATTTCTGTATTTCATAGGTTGGAATTTACTGATTTCATTTAAAAACTAGAAAGTTTTTTGAAAGTAATTATTACTAATAACATTATGTAGACGTACTGTATTAACTTTTATCATGTTTGCACTAAAGGAAAAATGGACTGCACATTATCTATGTACAATAGAAATACTTAGATTAATCAAATGTACGTAACGATGTAACACGGGGGAAAAGGTGTTATTAATTCTTTATCGGATACGAAATAACCAAGAGTTCGTACATGAAAATGAATACTACGACAGAGCCACTGCGACCCAGCAAACGCGCTGGTTCAAGTATCACTACTCGAACACAAAAACGTGTGCCAAAACGCAACCGGAAGTGGCTGAACCACATGGACAAGTGTGTTGCCATATCTGAATGTGGACATTTCTAACGAGTAAATAGTTTTGTCAAAGTTGTTTGTCATGTTGCGAAGAGCGTTTAAGCGGTCGGGGATCGAGTCCCACTCTCAGGCAGAAGACACACATGCTAAGCGAAACAGAGAAGATGCTTCTCTCGGTATAAACAATCGTGAGACAATTGGAAATGAAACTACAGATAGAGAACTTGAAGGGATCGTCTTTGGTGGTGATTTGCTGAGCGAAATTGATCATGGTTTGTTAAAAAACGAAAGGAAAACCCAAATGAAAAAATGTGTTTTCAGTATGGATGAGCAGAAACCTGCATGGGATGATGAGTTTGAGGAAACCGAAACAAAAATTGGGCAACCGCCAGTGCCTAACTGGGCCAAGCTGGAACGCGATGATCTTGATCGTGACGTTGAAAAGTTGCTCCATCGTACAGGTGACTTCTTAGTTGAATCTACTTCCCTCCCTTCAGGCCTGCTGCAAATCAAGAAACTAGCTGATGCTAATGCAGATGACACGAGAGGAAGCAAGATCCAGAATGTGGAGTTCCACCCTACAGCCAAGGTGATTTTAACAGCAGGATCATCACACAGACTCAACCTCTTTCAGATTGATGGAAAACACAACCCCAAAATCCAGAGTGTCTTTTTTGATGACTTCCCAATACATTCAGCTCACTTCACCAAAAATGGTGACGAGATCATTGTTGGGTCGGATCGCAAGAATTTTATGTTTTATGATATGATAGGAGGTAAAGTGGGTAACGTACCTAAGATGAAAAGACTGGAAGGTAGTAATTTGGCCAGGTTTGAAGTGTCACCTGATGGCAGATATCTAGTCTTTCTTGGCAAATACGGGTCAATGCATGTTCTTAGCGCGAAAACAAAGGAATGGATTACATCTTTGAAAATGAATGGGGATGTCTATTGTGTATCTTTCACAAGAGATGGTACAAGGATGTTTTCTTTTGGAGACACTGGCACTGTGTTTGTGTGGGACATGAATACTCTAAGTTGTGTGCACACTTTCATAGATGAAGGGTGTGTCCAGGGTACGTCCATTGCAGTCTCACCAAATAATCAATATGTTGCATGTGGCTCCCAAAGCGGCATTGTCAACATATATGATACCGATGTTTGCCAGAAAAGCCGCTCACCAAAACCTCTGAAGGCCATTATGAATCTTACAACTGTTTGCAACAAAGCCAAGTTTAATTGCACATCAGAGATCCTAGCAATTCTATCCAATGAAAACATGAAATCGCTTAAGTTGGTTCATTTTCCATCACTACAAGTATTTTCAAACTTTCCTGAGCAGACAGACAGACAACTGCAGGTCCCCAAGTGTATTGACTTTTCACCAAACGGAGGCTATATGGCTGTTGGCAATCAGAAAGGGCAGGCCTTGCTCTATAGATTAAAACATTACACTGAATACTAATGGAAATAATGCTAGTTTCAACAACTCACATGTTTGTATTGTTTAGACTGTTTAACTTTGTTAAACCTCAAAGAAAGGATGTTACATGGTTATCATTATTAAACTGTTTGATATGTTCGAGTATGTGTTTGTGAATCTCTGCCTTTTGATACAAATACTAATCAATACAAATGTTTGTTCTTTTCTGCCAAGAGAAACAAAAAATTCCCCATAAAGAAATGGCAACCACATCTGAAGCACTGGTTGAGTCACATGCAGTAATACCTGTACTGTTCTAACTTTCAGGTTAAAATAAGAACCAACACTGAAGAACGACAGTAGGCTTGAACTGTCTTCCACCATCATATCAATTGATACAACTGCACTGTTTTCACATTTCATAATGTCACAATTTCTGTTGCTAAGAAACAGCTTATCACTTACATACATTAAATATGTTCTAGTGGTCCCTACTTTCAAAACTTTTGTTCATGTTCCTGCTGGTAGGTGATGCCTTTAACAATAGAATCCAACTAAATTTGATAGAAAAAGAAATCCTTGATAGATCCTTGATCTTCATTGCCTCGTCTGTAAATTTTGGGATTGGTTGGATATTGTGGGGATTCCATTAAAGGAACAGCCGTGCATTATATTACCATGTCTTGCACCAAGTTACCACCCATCACTCACGCTCACTCGCTCCCTCCCTCACCAAGCAAGCAAACAAACTGGTTAGAGTCGGTCCAAAGCAATCCATGCCTGTACAATCCTGTGACTAAATGGATCAGGTGGTCAGGATCACTGGTTTATCTGGTCCAGACTTATATTTACATCTCATGGTCATGTAGCTTGAATGATGCTCAGTGGTGTTGAACAAACACCATCCATGAGCTCTCAGATCTTGATATGTTGAGCTCCTTGAAAACTAGAATAAGGTGGTAAGAGGCTTTGTTTGAAACTTGATCCCACGCAGGTTTGATACTTGTTTGCCAGTAGCTTGTTACTACAAATGTGTTGATGATTTGGTAACCAGACTTTACATACATCATATTAATAGGTTTAGGTTTTTTTGGGTCGTCTTTAAAAAGAAAAAGGTAGTTCAGCACATGCTCGTGAACAGGAAAGGTGTTCGCATTACATTATAAAACATAAGCTGCCCCATCCTCTGAATGCCCCCAAACTTCCCATCAGAAACATGTACCATATGAGCCATTTGGACATCACCATGTCAAGTGACAGTTGGCCTCACACATCCCCATCCACTACAACCTTGAAACAGAAAAGCCTATCCCTCTAGCAAACTTAATAACAAAGTAATGAACACTTCTGGTACAATAACATAAACTTCGGTTGGAGAAAGCATGGTCAATGCAGTACAACTTTGAAATAGGAAAAACTGTCAATGAAATTGAAAGTGACCTTGCCATTTGACACAATAATGACATGATAGGTGTTTAGTTAAATACTTTGAATTCATCGTAATAGCATGAAATAGATTTATGAAATTTGAACCATGGTTAATAATTTGACTCACGGTGACCCTGACCTTATATGGAGTTGATGCAATGAAGAAACCACCTTGGAGATCATGGTTTCTAAGTCTCCTTTTATTCCATCCAATTCGCGCACAAGCTTTTATTATGCTTTGTTCTTACTGAGTGACCTTGACCGTAAAGGTCATCCAATCGTGTTAGAAACGTTCCCCACGGGTATATAATAGTTATATCAGGAATGTACTAAGAAGTGTCTCAAATCTGTCATGTTTGTGACTCGTTAAGATCCAGGTTAGAAAAGGTCTTCATCAACCAATGATTGTTGCAAGAAGCAATTAAAGGGATCTGAATTTGTTTGATGCATGTCATTGTATCCCAACTGCATGGATGATATCAATCACTGGATTTTCTGGTCCAGACTTGATTATTTACAGACCGCCATCATATAGCTGGAATATTGCTGAGGGCACTGTTAAACAACAAACAAACATAGGTCTGGTTGAGAAAACCAATTGTGGCAGAGGAGCTCAATTTCGAGATCTGAGAAATATCGGTGAACTTATAACCCGATGTTCTCTGGTTATGTCTTGGACATTTAGCAATACAGTCCACAATTTCCTGTATGTAATGGTAAGTTTCTTCGGGAGTTGATGTGTGCTCATTACACTCAAGCAGTGAGTTGAGATGAGGATTACACATAGCAACTCTTGGGAACCCTGACAGGACCGTGATCAATGTATCAACAACAAAACAAGTATATTTTTTGCAAATCATATTTTATAAAGTCTTTGAGACCATAGTCAAACATTACGACATACTTCATCCTTCTTTCGCCCTCATCTATATACACCATAGTACACTATATACATACTGCCCCAAGTTGCACACAGAGGAGTAGGGCAACAATATAAATTATGATTGTGAGTCTCTGTATGTGCAGTCATTACATATACACAAGCAGAATAAACATTGGGACTATGTCATTCTAAACTAGCTTCAATTAAGCTCACTCCTCTATGGAAAATACTGCACACATAGTCAGCACTTCACATCCAGGCTTCCCACATCACCTGGTGTGTTCTATATACCGAAGACAGCCTGACACTACACAGAAAGCTAACCCTGTTATAGCATAGCATTAACTAAAGATGATTATCATGATACCATAGTTATGCACCAAAGCAGCCTTTCGCCACCAGCACCCTCTTCCCAAGACAAACATCACCTGGAGATCCTTTGATACACTTGTTCATACTTCTGCATTTCACCATTTTTCACAACTTCCTTTAATTTATACAGCAACTGATATGAACAGATAATAAATCACATAATCTTACAAAATGGTGCAATAATTCTAGATTGAACAATCAAGGTGCTGTCTTGAGATTTTCTGTTTTTCACATGCTTATGACAGAAGATTGAAATATGCTGCCACAAAGTTCCCTTCATCCAGCAATTAAGGCATTAACATTTATAGATATTACAAATGGTCAGACACTCAGAGATACCGAGAAATTACATAACACAGGTATACTGAGATGTTAATACTAAATATACATGTAATGTTAACGTATACAAATCTTAAAAAAGATAAAACGTGAAATATGATAAATAGGAAAAAACAACAACAAAAAACAGCGCCAAGACACTGTTGCTCACCAGGTACATTGTGAGAGATGGTCAGCTAGTGAAAGGATTAACAGCCTGCACAACCCTGCACCATTCTCTGGACCTGTGTATCTATTAAATGGATGTGTAATATAGTCTGATGTGAGACAATTTGGCTTCTTACATTTCATAGAGGTGAGGTGAAATGGGGTTTAAATTTAATGCTGTGTGTGTCTGTGTGTGTGTGTGTCTCTCTCTCTGCTTGTACTAGTCCGTATAGTGCTAGCCCAATGAGATACCATGCTGCAGTTTAACATGAATACCCCAGTCAGACACAGTATACTAACTCTGAGCCTACCAGTCCTTGTTATTGCTGAGCGCCAGGCAAGGTAACAAAAAGTACCATCTCTTAACGTCTTTAAGAGGCGGCTGGCAATTGAACCCCAACCTTCCCCTCTCTTTGCAGATGCTCTACCACTAGACCATGGAGGCATTCTATATTCCATAGAACAGTGTTATGGTAACAAAACATTCAGGTAATGTATCGACAATTTAAATGCTATGTTTATACATGTATTCCATAGTAGTGCTATATCATACATTAATTATCTTCTTCCAATATCAGGAGTGTGCTTTCTGAAAAGACAATGCTTAAGCATCTCTCACTAATTTGATCAATATATTTCTATATTTTAACCCAAAATAAATCATTAATTCCAATGCACAAAACATTATAGTTATTAATATTCTCATAAAGTTTTGGTTTCTAAGAAATATTCTTCGACATTTTCAGAATACATGTTTACTGATTTATTAGAAAAGAAAGGGAATATTTTCATTTTACTGACACAAACAAAACTATGTTGCTACATAATCAAAGTCTCAGCTTCCGAGAACTTGATGTTTCTGAGATGATTATTTTCTCTTTGAATTAAAAAGAAATAAACAAGAACGGTTGACAATAACGTGAGGAACTGCCCTGGTGCTGGACACCTCCTCCACGTTCAGCAGGGGCATACCTTCACACAGACGGAAGTACGGAGTTGACAGACACACACAACACATAATGCAGCATAGCATGAGCTCACTTGGACCTTCCGTCCTGGTCAGCGATATGATTAACGTGATGAATTTCAGTGGCGCAGATGAAGGATTTGTATCTGAACAAAGAATACAAAATTACCAGTACTTTTATAAGTAAAATAAACATGATATATACGATCAGACATCAGAACAGTTGACCGTGTTGTGACAAAGCAACTCTGGACATCAAGACTTGTTATGAAAGACAACTCAAATGGTGACGAGGTGGTCACAATGGCTGAATGAATAGTAGCAGGGTAAGTGGTTTATGTAACTAAAACAACTCACTGGTCGACTGAATGACGCACCACAGCAGAAAGGAGTGTTACTGTCAGTAGGGGTGTGCAATGTAACTGGTACACCAGTATACTGCACTACGGCAACAAGGCTGTCCTAGATACACATATTGCAATAAAACCCCTGCATGTTGATATGTCGGGTTCCCATCTAAACCATGTAAACAGGACACGAATCACGCTGTTTACATTAACATAGCATATTGATGATGAAATAGGTAGTCTTGTTTATCCATACTACCAATCTAGCAATCCGAAGTCTGGATTATTGAAATAAGATGTAACATTTGAACAGAACAAGTATATATAATTTGGGCCCCAATACGTACTGTATTATGTATTGCAATACAGCTCTCCACATTGCGATTTATTCAATACGCTTTATGTGCCAAGACGCCATCCCTAACAGTCAGTCTCTGGCTGCCTGTTCCAGGCCTGATTCAATGCAGGTGGCTGTGATTCAGCTGTCATGTTGTTTACTATGGTGTAAAAGTCGCCTCTATAAATGCCATCTGACATATAGATAACGTTGCCACAAGATAGTGGTGAATCAGTATCTTCTCCCTATGCATACAATCTACCCCGCATAAACACAACCACAATGATCACAGTAGGTCCTGGCCTTGTAAATACAGTCCATGCAAGACATCACAAACAGTCAACACCACCTGGAATGTAGCTGTGCGCATCTTGTTTACAGTCGTCTCATGACAAGTGCACTGTACACATCTCTTGCTTAAAAGACTAACACACTGTGTTTTGAATATTATGATGCTTTTGAAGCTGAAGGTGTGAGCTTTTAACTATTATCAAAACATACCTCTAAACATAGTGTGTTAATCTTCATTCTACCATGACCATGAATATATGCTTAATATTGTGAACTCTTTTGAGATCTGCTGTGGTCACATGACATGCTACAGGCAAGCCTCCGTATCACTGAAGTACAGACAGTACAGCAATGCAGACAGTCAGACAGGGCCTCTGGTGTGGTCACATGACATGCTACAGGCAGCCTCCGTATCACTGAAGTACAGACAGTACAGCAATGCCAACAGTCAGACAGGGCCTCTGCTGTGGTCACATGACATGCTACAGGCAAGCCTCCGTATCACTGAAGTACAGACAGTACAGCAATGCAGACAGTCAGACAGGGCCTCTGGTGTGGTCACATGACATGCTACAGGCAAGCCTCCGTATCACTGAAGTACAGACAGTACAGCAATGCCGACAGTCAGACAGGGCCTCTGCTGTGGTCACATGACATGCTACAGGCAAGCCTCCGTATCACTGAAGCACAGACAGTACAGCAATGCAGACAGTCAGACAGGGCCTCTGGTGTGGTCCATGACATGCTACAGGCAAGCCTTCGTATCACTGAATTACAGACAATACAGCAATGCAGACAGTCAGACAGGGCCTCTGGTGTGGTCACATGACATGCTACAGGCAAGCCTCCATATCACTGAAGTACAGACAGTACAGCAATGCAGACAGTCAGACAGGGCCTCTGGTGTGGTCACATGACATGCTACAGGCAAGCCTCCGTATCACTGAAGTACAGACAGTACAGCAATGCAGACAGTCAGACAGGGCCTCTGGTGTGGTCACATGACATACTACAGGCAAGCCTCCGTATCACTGAAGTACAGACAGTACAGCAATGCAGACAGTCAGACAGGGCCTCTGGTGTGGTCCATGACATGCTACAGGCAAGCCTCCGTATCACTGAAGTACAGACAGTACAGCAATGCAGACAGTCAGACAGGGCCTTTGGTGTGGTCACATGACATGCTACAGGCAAGCCTCCGTATCCCTGAAGTACAGACAGTACAGCAATGCAGACAGTCAGACAGGGCCTCTGGTGTGGTCACATGACATGCTACAGGCAAGCCTCCGTATCACTGAAGTACAGACAGTACAGCAATGCAGACAGTCAGACAGGGCCACTGCTGTGGTCACATGACATGCTACAGGCAAGCCTCTGGATCACTGAAGTACAGACAGTACAGCAATGCAGACAGTCAGACAGGGCCTCTGCTGTGGTCACATGACATGCTACAGGCAAGCCTCCGTATCACTGAAGTACAGACAGTACAGCAATGCAGACAGTCAGACAGGGCCTCTGGTGTGGTCACGTGACATGCTACAGGCAAGCCTTCGTATCACTGAAGTACAGATAGTACAGCAATGCAGACAGTCAGACAGGGCCTCTGGTGTGGTCACATGACATGCTACAGGCAAGCCTCCGTATCACTGAAGTACAGACAGTACAGCAATGCCAACAGTCAGACAGGGCCTTTGGTGTGGTCACATGACATGCTACAGGCAAGCCTCCGTATCACTGAAGTACAGACAGTACAGCAATGCAGACAGTCAGACAGGGCCTCTGCTGTGGTCACATGACATGCTACAGGCAAGCCTCCGTATCACTGAAGCACAGACAGTACAGCAATGCAGACAGTCAGACAGGGCCTCTGCTGTGGTCACATGACATGCTACAGGCAAGCCTCCGTATCACTGAAGCACAGACAGTACAGCAATGCAGACAGTCAGACAGGGCCTCTGCTGTGGTCACATGACATGCTACAGGCAAGCCTCCGTATCACTGAAGTACAGACAGTACAGCAATGCTGACAGTCAGACAGGGCCTTTGGTGTGGTCACATGACATGCTACAGGCAAGCCTCCGTATCACTGAAGTACAGACAGTACAGCAATGCAGACAGTCAGACAGGGCCTCTGCTGTGGTCACATGGCATGCTACAGGCAAGCCTTCGTATCACTGAAGTACAGACAGTACAGCAATGCAGACAGTCAGACAGGGCCTCTGCTGTGGTCACATGACATGCTACAGGCAAGCCTCTGTATCACTGAAGTACAGACAGTACAGCAATGCAGACAGTCAGACAGGGCCTTTGGTGTGGTCCATGACATGCTACAGGCAAGCCTCCGTATCACTGAAGCACAGACAGTACAGCAATGCCGACAGTCAGACAGGGCCTCTGGTGTGGTCACATGACATGCTACAGGCAAGCCTTAGTATCACTGAAGTACAGACAGTACAGCAATGCAGACAGTCAGACAGGGCCTCTGGTGTGGTCACATGACATGCTACAGGCAAGCCTCTGTATCACTGAAGTACAGACAGTACAGCAATGCAGACAGTCAGACAGGGCCTTTGGTGTGGTCCATGACATGCTACAGGCAAGCCTCCGTATCACTGAAGCACAGACAGTACAGCAATGCAGACAGTCAGACAGGGCCTTTGGTGTGGTCCATGACATGCTACAGGCAAGCCTTAGTATCACTGAAGTACAGACAGTACAGCAATGCAGACAGTCAGACAGGGCCTCTGGTGTGGTCCATGACATGCTACAGGCAAGCCTCCGTATCACTGAATTACAGACAGTACAGCAATGCAGACAGTCAGACAGGGCCTCTGGTGTGGTCACATGACATGCTGCAGGCAAGCCTTAGTATCACTGAAGTACAGACAGTACAGCAATGCAGACAGTCAGACAGGGCCTCTGGTGTGGTCACATGACATGCTACAGGCAAGCCTCCATATCACTGAATTACAGACAATACAGCAATGCAGACAGTCAGACAGGGCCTTTGGTGTGGTCACATGACATGCTACAGGCAAGCCTCCGTATCACTGAAGTACAGACAGTACAGCAATGCAGACAGTCAGACAGGGCCTTTGGTGTGGTCACATGACATGCTACAGGCAAGCCTCCGGATCACTGAAGTACAGACAGTACAGCAATGCAGACAGTCAGACAGGGCCTCTGGTGTGGTCACATGACATGCTACAGGCAAGCCTCTGGATCACTGAAGTACAGACAGTACAGCAATGCAGACAGTCAGACAGGGCCTTTGGTGTGGTCACATGACATGCTACAGGCAAGCCTCCGGATCACTGAAGTACAGACAATACAGCAATGCAGACAGTCAGACAGGGCCTCTGGTGTGGTCACATGACATGCTACAGGCAAGCCTCTGGATCACTGAAGTACAGACAGTACAGCAATGCAGACAGTCAGACAGGGCCTTTGGTGTGGTCACATGACATGCTACAGGCAAGCCTCTGTATCACTGAATTACAGACAATACAGCAATGCAGACAGTCAGACAGGGCCTCTGGTGTGGTCACATGACATGCTGCAGGCAAGCCTTAGTATCACTGAAGTACAGACAGTACAGCAATGGCAACAGTCAGACAGGGCCTTTGGTGTGGTCACATGACATGCTACAGGCAAGCCTCCGTATCACTGAATTACAGACAATACAGCAATGCAGACAGTCAGACAGGGCCTCTGCTGTGGTCACATGACATGCTACAGGCAAGCCTCCGGATCACTGAAGTACAGACAGTACAGCAATGCAGACAGTCAGACAGGGCCTCTGCTGTGGTCACATGACATGCTACAGGCAAGCCTCCGTATCACTGAAGTACAGACAGTACAGCAATGCAGACAGTCAGACAGGGCCTCTGCTGTGGTCACATGACATGCTACAGGCAAGCCTCCGTATCACTGAAGTACAGACAGTACAGCAATGCAGACAGTCAGACAGGGCCTCTGGTGTGGTCACGTGACATGCTACAGGCAAGCCTTCGTATCACTGAAGTACAGATAGTACAGCAATGCAGACAGTCAGACAGGGCCTCTGGTGTGGTCACATGACATGCTACAGGCAAGCCTCCGTATCACTGAAGTACAGACAGTACAGCAATGCCGACAGTCAGACAGGGCCTCCGGCCACCACATATTCAATACGTAGGACAGATATGTCAACATGGTAAAACAAGGTTTTCCACACACTCTCTTTCTTCATCTGTACTTGTGAATGAGGCATGATGTCACCGTGGAATGCAATGACACCGTAAAACAATGCATAACATCAGAGACAACTGAACAGCCCCATGAACAGATCGCTCAGAAAATCAACTGTTACTAAAGGCATTTTTTTCAGTCAATTATTATCAAATAGAATACATAATAAAAACAATCTTGATGTAACCACGTGAAATGCCAAAGACCAGAAGATATCTGGGCTTAGAGTTCGATGTAACAATAGAGTTCAACCAATCAGACTGCAGCTCATACATTCAACAATAGAGTTCAACCAATCAGACTGCAGCTCATACATCCAACAATAGAGTTCAACCAATCAGACTGCAGCTCATACATTCAACAATAGAGTTCAACCAATCAGACTGCAGCTCATACATCCAACAATAGAGTTCAACCAATCAGACTGCAGCTCATACACCCAACAATAGAGTTCAACCAATCAGACTGCAGCTCATACATCCATTCATTTCACAATCATAGTTTATTGCTGCCTGACAAACAGGTTTTCAAGACATTCCTAACTGGCATTTTTTAAGTTGAAATCATTTTGTCTGGTAGTAATAATCATAGAAGTATAATTTCCTACATGTCTGAGCTTGCACTTCCTTGCACATACTGAAGTTATGTTAACATGGGTTTTATCCTTTTACTGCCCAATTACAATGTAATCTGTCTAATGACAAGTACGCAATACACTGACGTTGACAAACTGCAAGATGCACCCAACCAATGAGACACTGAGCACACGAGCAGTGATTGTAGCACATGTTTTACATGGACAGTATTGTAGCAGCTGGTGTTTGCATAATGTGTCATATATTAACATGATATATACATGATGATGTGTGGAGCCCGCCGCCGGGGAGCAGGTGCTATAAGTTGTACTTTGAGCGAGCGTATCTATCTTGTCCCTGGCAGTATTCATTGTAGATGAGCTTGAACAGGAACAGGTGGAAGATGATGATGAGGAAGGCAATGGAAACCCAGAAGAGAGTGGGCAGTCCACCGAAGTGATGGCCGTGCCGATGTAAGGCAATCACATGGTGCTCGTGAGCAGGTGCTGAAACAGGATTAGTTACAATGACACACACTTGATCAGATGTTCAAAAGAACTGGCATAAAAAACTAGCGAAAAACAAGGCAAATGAACAGATTAATATGCATCCTGACATTGTTTGTTTATCTTAGAAAGGTTAGCCTTTGGGGATATTTATGTGAATAAAAGTTTTAAAAAATATGATAATGTTCGGTTTCCACAAATTCATCAGATAAATTGAAACTGTCCCATCCAGACTGACTGTGTTGGTGCTGAGTGTTGTGGCTGTCCATGAGCCAAAGTACCAGAAGAACAACAGGCAACAGTAGCATCTTTACCTTCCTCTATGGCCTTGACATGTATAGCATGCTTCAGTTCCTCCACGTGAATCTTGTCCGCTGTGATGTACAGGATGGATGTCAACGGGTCGGTTAACTTCACAGGGAAGCGTTGCCACTCTTTGCTGTCAACATACAATCCATTAACATGGAAAACATGTAACATTGTCATTTATACTCATACCAGTCGCACATTCACCCCAGTGGCACCGGGGCATCCAGACATGTGTTATCAGGTCTATACTAACCCCAGTGGCACCGGGGCATCCAGACATGTGTTATCAGGTCTATACTCACCCCAGTGGCACCGGGGCATCCAGACATGTGTTATCAGGTCTATACTCACCCCAGTGGCACTGGGGTATCTAGAGATGTGTTATCAGGTATATACTCACCCCAGTGGCACCAGGGCATCTAGACATGTGTTATCAGGTCTATACTCACCCCAGTGGCACCGGGGCATCCAGACATGTGTTATCAGGTATACTCACCCCAGTGGCACCGGGGCATCCAGACATGTGTTATCAGGTATACTCACCCCAGTGGCACCGGGGCATCTAGACATGTGTTATCAGGTATACTCACCCCAGTGGCACCGGGGCATCCAGACATGTGTTATCAGGTATACTCAACCCAGTGGCACCGGGGCATCTAGACATATTTTATCAGGTATACTCACCCCAGTGGCACCAAGGCATTCAGACAGGTGTTATCAGGTATATACTCACTCCAGTGGCACCGGGGCATCTACACGTGTTATCAGGTATACTCAACCCAGTGGCACCGGGGTATCTAGAGATGTGTTATCAGGTATATACTCACCCCAGTGGCACCGGGGCATCTAGAGATGTGTTATCAGGTATATACTCACCCCAGTGGCACCGGGGTATCTAGAGATGTGTTATCAGGTATATACTCACCCCAGTGGCACCGGGGCATCTAGAGATGTGTTATCAGGTATATACTCACCCCAGTGGCACCGGGGCATCTAGAGATGTGTTATCAGGTATATACTCACCCCAGTGGCACCGGGGCATCTAGAGATGTGTTATCAGGTATATACTCACCCCAGTGGCACCGGGGCATCTAGAGATGTGTTATCAGGTATATACTAACCCCAGTGGCACCGGGGCATCTAGAGATGTGTTATCAGGTATATACTCACCCCAGTGGCACCGGGGCATCTAGAGATGTGTTATCAGGTATATACTCACCCCAGTGGCACCGGGGTATCTAGAGATGTGTTATCAGGTATATACTCACCCCAGTGGCACCGGGGCATCTAGAGATGTGTTATCAGGTATATACTCACCCCAGTGGCACCGGGGCATCTAGAGATGTGTTATCAGGTATATACTCACCCCAGTGGCACCGGGGCATCTAGAGATGTGTTATCAGGTATATACTCACCCCAGTGGCACCGGGGCATCTAGAGATGTGTTATCAGGTATATACTCACCCCAGTGGCACCGGGGCATCTAGAGATGTGTTATCAGGTATATACTCACCCCAGTGGCACCGGGGTATCTAGAGATGTGTTATCAGGTATATACTCACCCCAGTGGCACCGGGGCATCTAGAGATGTGTTATCAGGTATATACTCACCCCAGTGGCACCGGGGCATCCAGACAACCAGCATCACAGGCATAGTAGGGCTTGTCATTCCTGTCCAGGGCCACATACAGGTTGGCCTTATTGTCCTCCCCAACGGTGACACTGATGTTGACATGGGTGTTGTTGCCGTAGTTGATGCGACGAAAGAAGAAATCTCTATGTAAATCTTTAGGGTGTATAGCCATCTCCAGATGAGAGTTGTGGAAACGAAGTGCTCCAAAGCTAAGCATCATGGCCTGGAGGACCCCTTCAGCTCCTGCCGAGAAAGCAGATCTCTTGTTCTGAGTAGCTTCATAATATTCCTCCATATACAGGTCATATATTGGCCACTCGTTACTTCCTCATATTCTTTGCTTAAGTGATTAAGTAAGGTTCTATGCTGCCGCAAGCAATGTTCCAGCAATATTACAATGGGGGATGAGAACAATGGGACTCATAGATTGTACCTGAGTGGGTATTCAAACCAAAGACTTCAGTGTGCCGAGTGACTACTTTTATCTCTAGGTTATCTTGGCCCATCTTGTCAGAAACAAACAACCGATTAAAAGTAACTTTCCCACATCTGCATTATTTTTTCACATGGCTACAAAAGTAATGTTTAAACATAATCAATTGCAACAATGGTCAATTCAGGTATATTGTTGTATATTGAGTTGAAATTGCCACCTGACTGCACCATGACCGCACAACCCTGCTTTTCCAGGGTGATCATCCACGTTGTCACCACACGCGCTATCTGGTCTTCATCTTCGACATCAATCCACAGTTTGTCTGCTTGCCTGCAACAACATCACTTGATAAACACTTGTATACTTGACGTACACATTAGGTCAACTTACACATACAGAAGGTCAACACCACATACACAGGAGGTCAACTTAATATACAGTCAAGTCTCGTTAATCCGACAATCGTCTTTATCCGACACAAATGATAGGAACCGATTAAATCAGTGCTATTTAGACCCCTTAATCTGACTCTGACTCCGACACACTGATTCTGCAACAGATTGCTGAAACCACTCATTAAAATGTGAAAATTAGTTGTATTTTTGCAATGTCATTAATCAAAGATGAATGAATGAACAACAAAACAATATGAATATTTCGTATTTAATGATCTTACTACAAGGTACACATGCTTCTTATCTATCGTGAAGATGTCGGATTTTTGATGACAAACGTTGATACTACTAAATTTCGCTTATCCAACATACACGTTAATCCGACATAATCAAATGCAACCAACCATGTCGGATTAACGGAACTTGACTGTATACATGTGGTCAACTTAATATACACCAGGGTCAACTTAATATACACCAGGGTCAACTTAATATATACAGTGGGTCAACTTAATATACACAGTGGGTCAACTTAATATAATACAAGAGTTGGCCAGAAGGTCAACTTCATGCACACAGAGGCTGAACTTAATCCACACAGGGGGTCAACTTAATCCACACAGGGGGTCAACTTAAAATAAATAGGGTCAACTTGTGGCTGAAGCTGCCTGATGTATCAGTCATGTGTATAGTATTAGTTGTGGTAGAGGAGAGAGTCATGTAGAACTTACAGTGTTGAGTGTTCTCCATAGCATCTATCGGGGTAGTACAGAACCTTCTGTATGTTGATGCGCTGGGCTTTAGTGGTAGACGGGTCGTGTAGAGGAGCAGGCACATTACTCAGGACAAAGTATATTGTAGAGTTAATCTTGTCACCATTCAGAGCCCCACCTGCCTTGGAGTAGCTGATGCCGAAACCACTCTGCCACAACTGATGACGAAAGCATGGAATTAACTGCATATTTGTTTGTAATAATAATCTGTCTCCTGAAATAATGAAAGTATAATGCTTAATATTTGGGTTTAATGCTGCATTGAACAGTATTTTCAATACTGTTACTCTTTGTACCTGTGTAAGTGTGGTATCATAGGGTACTGAAGTACTCTCTGTACCAGTGTAAATGTGGTATCACAAGGTACTGAAGTACTCTCTTTGCCAGTGTAATTGTGGTATCATAGGGTACTGAAGTACTCTCTGTACCAGTGTAAATGTGGTTTCATAGGGTACTGAAGTACCCTCTGTACCAGTGTAAGTGTGGTATCATAAGGTACTGAAGTACTCTCTGTACCAGTGTAAATGTGGTATCATAAGGTACTGAAGTACTCTCTGTTTCAGTGTAAGTGTGGTATCAAAAGGTACTGAAGAACTCTCTGTACCAGTGTAAGTGTGATATCATAGGGTACTGAAGTACTCTCTGTACCAGTGTAAATGTCGTATCATAAGGTACTGAAGTACTCTCTGTACCAGTGTAAATGTGGTATCATAGGGTACTGAAGTACTCTCTGTACCAGTGTAAGTGTGGTATCATAAGGTACTGAAGTACTCTCTGTACCAGTGTAAATGTGGTATCATAAGGTACTGAAGTACTCTCTGTACCTGTGTAAGTGTGGTATCATAAGGTACTGAAGTACTCTCTGTACCTGTGTAAATGTGGTATCATAAGGTACTGAAGTACTCTCCGTACCAGTGTTAATGTGGTATCATAGGGTACTGAAGTACTCTCTGTACCAGTGTGAAAGTGGTATCATAAGGTGCTGAAGTACTCTCTGTACCTGTGTAAATGTGGTATCATAGGGTACTGAAGTACTCTCTGTACCAGTGTAAATGTGGTATCATAAGGTGCTGAAGTGCTCTCTGTACCAGTGTAAATGTGGTATCATAGGGTACTGAAGTACTCTCTGTACCAGTGTAAATGTGGTTTCATAGGGTACTGAAGTACTCTATGTACCAGTGTAAATGTGGTATCATAGGGTACTGAAGTACTCTCTGTACCAGTGAAAATGTGGTTTCATAAGGTACTGAAGTACTCTCTGTACCAGTGTAAATGTGGTTTCATAAGGTACTGAAGTACTCTCTGTACCAGTGTAAGTGTGGTATCATAAGGTACTGAAGTACTCTCTGTACCAGTGTAAATGTGGTATCATAGGGTACTGAAGTACTCTCTGTACCAGTGTAAGTGTGGTATCATAAGGTACTGAAGTACTCTCTGTACCAGTGTAAATGTGGTATCATAGGGTACTGAAGTACTCTCTGTACCAGTGTAAATGTGGTATCCTAGGGTACTGAAGTACTCTCAGTACCTGTGTAAGCGTAGTATCATAAGGTACTGAAGTACTCTCTGTACCAGTGTAAATGTGGTATCATAGGGTACTGAAGCACTCTCTGTACCAGTGTAAATGTGGTATTATAGGGTAATGAAGTACTCTCTGTACCTGTGTAAATGTGGTATCATAAGGTACTGAAGTACTCTCTGTACCTGTGTAAATGTGGTATCATAGGGTACTGAAGTACTCTCTGTACCAGTGTAAATGTGGTTTCATAGGGTACTGAAGTACTCTCTGTACCAGTGTAAATGTGGTATCATAAGGTACTGAAGTACTCTCTGTACCAGTGTAAATGTGGTTTCATAAGGTACTGAAGTACTCTCTGTACCAGTGTAAGTGTGGTATCATAAGGTACTGAAGTACTCTCTGTACCAGTGTAAATGTGGTATCATAGGGTACTGAAGTACTCTCTGTACCAGTGTAAGTGTGGTATCATAAGGTACTGAAGTACTCTCTGTACCAGTGTAAATGTGGTATCATAGGGTACTGAAGTACTCTCTGTACCAGTGTAAATGTGGTATCCTAGGGTACTGAAGTACTCTCAGTACCTGTGTAAGCGTAGTATCATAAGGTACTGAAGTACTCTCTGTACCAGTGTAAATGTGGTATCATAGGGTACTGAAGTACTCTCTGTACCAGTGTAAATGTGGTATCATAGGGTACTGAAGTACTCTCTGTACCTGTGTAAATGTGGTATCATAAGGTACTGAAGTACTCTCTGTACCAGTGTAAATGTGGTATCATAGGGTACTGAAGTACTCTCTGTACCAGTGTAAGTGTGGTATCATAGGGTACTGAAGTACTCTCTGTACCAGTGTAAGTGTGGTATCATAGGGTACTGAAGTACTCTCTGTACCAGTGTAAATGTCGTATCATAGGGTACTGAAGTACTCTCTGTACCAGTGTAAATGTGGTATCATAAGGTACTGAAGTACTCTCTGTACCAGTGTAAGTGTGGTATTATAGGGTACTGAAGTACTCTCTGTGCCAGTGTAAGTGTGGTATCATAAGGTACTGAAGTACTCTCTGTACCAGTGTAAATGTGGTATCATAAGGTACTGAAGTACTCTCTGTACCAGTGTAAGTGTGGTATCATAGGGTACTGAAGTACTCTCTGTACCAGTGTAAATGTCGTATCATAGGGTACTGAAGTACTCTCTGTACCAGTGTAAATGTGGTATCATAGGGTACTGAAGTACTCTCTGTACCAGTGTAAGTGTGGTATTATAGGGTACTGAAGTACTCTCTGTGCCAGTGTAAGTGTGGTATCATAAGGTACTGAAGTACTCTCTGTACCTGTGTAAGTGTGGTATCATAGGGTACTGAAGTACTCTCTGTACCAGTGTAAATGTGGTATCATAGGGTACTGAAGTACTCTCTGTACCAGTGTAAATGTGGTATCATAGGGTACTGAAGTACTCTCTGTACCAGTGAAAATGTGGTTTCATAAGGTACTGAAGTACTCTCTGTACCCATGTAAGTGTGGTATCATAGGGTACTGAAATACTCTCTGTACCAGTGTAAATGTGGTATTATAGGGTACTGAAGTACTCTCTGTGCCAGTGTAAGTGTGGTATCATAAGGTACTGAAGTACTCTCTGTACCTGTGAAAGTGTGGTATCATAGGGTACTGAAGTACTCTCTGTACCAGTGTAAATGTGGTATTATAGAGTACTGAAGTACTCTCTGTACCTGTGTAAGTGTGGTATCATAGGGTACTGAAGTACTCTCTGTACCAGTGTAAATGTGGTATCATATGGAACTGAAGTACTTTCTACCCATGTGTTTTCAGCAACATCTGAGAGTAAGGTACGAGGGGTGGCTGAAGTTTTGAGCCTAAATATGATGGACTGCGTTGATGGAGTTGGCTGCTATATATTTGTGTACATACTCCCCACCGGGCTCCACACACTTCTATCAGTAATGCCGGAGTGGCTTCCTCCTCATGGTGAAAAAAGTTCTCCACAAGGGAAATAACTTCATCATCATTTGCATAATGCTTGCCAGACAGTTTTTCTTCAAACTTTGGAAGAGGTGGAAATCTGACGGTGTCAAATCTGGTGTATGCGGAGGTTGTTTAATGATTTCAAAACAAGTCATATATTGAAGCCATGGCAACAACACACTTGGGCACAGGTGCATTGTTCTTGTGAAACAGCACATCTTTAGCAAGTTTTCCACGATGTCTAAGATTGATTTTCCCAAGCAGTTTGCTGAAGCAGATTAGAACTATAGTGGCCATTAATGGTCTGACTTTTGGAGTGATAGTCAACCATGAGGAGTCCTTGGAATCACAGAAAATCAAAACATTATCTTGCCAGCTGATGGCAGAGACTTTGCCTTCTTCATTGGAGGAGATGTTACATCTTTCCACTGCTTTGACTGTTGTTCATTCCCAGGCTGATAGTGGTGAACAGAAGGCTCATCCATGGTGACATCTCGCTGAACACAATCAGCTGGGTCTACTTCAAAATGACAAGAGATGATGGTCTTGTCTTGTTCATGTCTTGGACTATCGTCGGCACTCTCCCTTCTCCTCTTAAACTCCCATGCCCACCTCCTAACAGTGGCAATGAAAGGAGCATCATCCCCTAAAGGTTGACACCGTGTCTGCATAGTTAGCTGTTGTAATTAGCCCTTTCAGTTGGGAGATACTTGATTACAGCATAGTAGCCAAATTTGTCTGCATATAATGGGGGAGGATAGTCATCATCTAATCTGTCTGTCTGTCTGTCCGTATTTTGTTTCCGGAACATAACGTGAAAACTGTGAAAGACTTTTCATCCAAACTTGGTCCATGTATTAACCAGGGCCTGAAGTGGTGTCTTTTGCGATTTTCATCTTTTGATAACTCTTGTTCATCAACAGAGAATACCTTGTCACTTTTATATCTGTTGTGTATTTGTTTCAAACTACTTTACAAAACACATGTACATGCAAACAGTTACGGGTGTACCATACATGGAAGTGAGGCTCAGAGTGTTTCTGCCACCCTTTGTATGTAGACAGTAAGGTAGGTGTACTCACGGATGCCCACACTCTGGTGTGCTCCTGAAGCAAAAGCTTCCCATCAATATTTAATCCTTTTTCCATATCCTGAAACAAATACATGCATGTTTACACAAACATGAAGAAACCAGAAGCTTATAAGTTTTCTAAATTGTGTTTTAAGATATTTCCTACATTAGTCTGGATTATCTATCTGTAGGTTGTAGCGACTACTAGTAATAATGACAATAGTAACATGACAATGGAGGTCGTAGCTATGGTGACCATGAGAGACCATGGCATCTACATGCTGGCAACAAGTGACTTGACTTCAAACATGTCATAGATCTGCACATCCTCTTTTGACTTGAGATATCATTGTTTGAAAAAACCCATAAGTACTCCCATTCATTTTGCTGCTAAGTACATAGTTAATTTAGACTTACTATCTTGACTTGGGAGAGGAGGTCAGGGACTAAATGTGGCACCTCATGCTTGTCTGCAGGTTTGGTGTAATGTACCACGGTCAGGATGTGATACAGCTTCGTTCTGGAACAGAGTAACAACTTCATGTGCTGATATCTAAAACTTGAAATGCTATCAGTCAAAATACATGTACTAATATACCAGTGTCAGGCTGCACTGTCCATCTACCAATGACTGAGTACCTGTCTAGCTGCACTGTCCATCTACCAGTGACTGAGTACCTCTCCATCTACCAGTGACTGAGTACCTGTCTGGCTGCACTGTCCATCTACCAGTGACTGAATACCTGTCTAGCTGCACTGTCCATCTACCAGTGACTGAGTACCTCTCCATCTACCAGTGACTGAGTACCTGTCTGGCTGCACTGTCCATCTACCAGTGACTGAGTACCTGTCTGGCTGCACTGTCCATCTACCACTGACTGAATACCTGTCTGGCTGCACTGTCCATCTACCAGTGACTGAGTACCTGTCCATCTACCAATGACTGAATACCTGTTCATCTACCAGTGTCTGAGTACCTGTCCATCTACCACTGACTGAGTACATGTCTGGCTGCACTGTCCATCTACCAGTGACTGAGTATCTGTCCATCTACCAGTGACTGAGTACCTGTCCATCTACCAGTGTCTGAGTACCTGTCCATCTACCCATGACTGAGTTCCTGTCCATCTACCAGTGTCTGAGTACTTCTCCATCTACTACTGACTAAGTACATGTCCATCTACCACTGACTGAGTACCTGTCCATCTACCACTGACTGAGTACCTGTCCATCTACCACTGACTGAGTACCTGTCTATCTATCACTGACTGAGTACCTGTCCATCTATCACTGACTGAGTACCTGTCCATCTACCACTGACTGAGTACCTGTCCATCAACCAATGACTGAGTACCTGTCTATCTATCACTGACTGAGTACCTGTCTATCTATCACTGACTGAGTACCTGTCCATCTACCACTGACTGAGTACCTGTCTATCTATCACTGACTGAGTACCTGTCCATCTACCAGTGACTGAGTACCTGTCCATCTACCAGTGTCTGAGTACTTCTCCATCTGCCAGTGACTGAATACCTGTCCATCTATCACTGACTGAGTACCTGTCCATCTATCACTGACTGAGTACCTCTCCATCTGACTGATTGCTACCACTGACTGAGTTCCTGTCCATCTATCACTGACTGAGTACCTGTCCATCTACCAGTGTCTGAGTACTTCTCCATCTGCCAGTGACTGAATACCTGTCCATCTATCACTGACTGAGTACCTGTCCATCTATCACTGACTGAGTACCTCTCCATCTGACTGATTGCTACCACTGACTGAGTTCCTGTCCATCTACCACTGACTGAGTACCTGTCCATCTACCACTGACTGAGTTCCTGTCCATCTATCACTGACTGAGTACCTCTCCATCTACCAGTGTCTGAGTACCTGTCCATCTACCAGTGTCTGAGTACTTCTCCATCTACCAGTGACTGAGTACTTCTCCATCTACCAGTGACTGAGTACCTGTCCATCAACCAATGACTGAGTACCTGTCTATCTATCACTGACTGAGTACCTGTCCATCTATCACTGACTGAGTACCTGTCCATCTATCACTGACTGAGTACCTGTCCATCTACCAGTGACTGAGTACCTGTCCATCTACCAGTGACTGAGTACCTGTCCATCAACCAATGACTGAGTACCTGTCTATCTATCACTGACTGAGTACCTGTCCATCTACCAGTGTCTGAGTACCTGTCCATCTACCACTGACTGAGTACCTGTCCATCTACCAGTGACTGAGTACCTGTCCATCTACCAGTGACTGAGTACCTGTCCATCAACCAGTAACTGAATACCTGTCTGGCTGCACTGTGACTGTGCCGGAGTCCAGGTAGACCATGCCTATAGCGGCTGCCACTACTGATGTGGATTCAGGGATCTGCACAATGCCAGTTGTCACTTTGTATGAGACATTTTCACCTGTAGATGTCTTGCCCCTGCAGAACAGAAAGTAACTCAATTCCATCTTAAGACACTTCTTACAAAGATATTACAAAATTACTTAAGAAATATTGCCAGGACATTACCATGTTCATTTAAAATTGTTATATGTTGTTATATATTTAGGAGAGAAGGCTGCATGATCCCAATGGAACATTCTTGAAACTGTAAAGAACCTTGTGAAGGTAAAAAGTATTCATGTAGAGCATGAAGATTTCATTAAAATTAATATATCTGTACATGTGTCAGGAAAATTATATAGAACCCAACAGTGGTTTACAATGTCAGCTTACAGAAACTGCTGTGTCTTGGAGTCCGTCCATCCTGAGGGCCCAATCTGATCCAGCTCAACAGTCACGGCAGATTGCTTAAATAAAATGTTAACAGTTAACTTTGTTTGGTTGCTGTTTAACACCTCTCTCAAAAATATTCCAGTGATATGACGGCTGCCTGTAAATAATCCAGTCTGGACCAGACAATGCAAGTTGCAAGTAACAATCGCTGGCTGAAAGTGTGTTTGTCAAGTGTGACATCAGGACAATAACTTATGAAAACCCAAAACATCCAGGGAGCACATGTCCATGTGGTTTCCAACACTACCTTCTTCCTCACTTACTATCCTCCAAAGTAATTTTGGGTTGGGCATAATCTGATTAATGGGGTATATTGTAATTTTCTTTGATACAATTTATCTACAATAACCATGAGAAAAAATATGCCTTCTAACCATGCTAACAGTTTGAGAAGAAACCTGTTCGGTACCCGATTGAAAAAATTAACTGTTAGATCTCTCAAATATTTCATCAAATAAATTAATTGCTGGTCACTTAAAGGAGACGATTTTCTTGGCCTTTCACCTCTCAGTCATTATTCCAATAATTCGCACTGCCAAAAACTTTTGGAAGGTTTTTGAATAGTTCTAGGGATTACACCGGTTAAGTATGAAATTCTATATCTTTAAGCCTACTGATCGGGGGTCATATAACTTCTCTGGTCAGCATGGGCAGATGTCAATTTTTGGGGCTCAGGAGGCCTGATAGCAAAACATTCTAAGGGACACAACTCAGACTAGCCGGGGTCTAGACAAACAACATACCCATATCATTTGTTCACATAATTCATAAATCAATTTGAGTACATCTACCCGGCACAAGAGAGGTAAACACAAGCACTTTGCACAAAACTCTTATTACATCATGCGACATACTTTTTGGCCAGCGACTGTATCCCAGATTCCCTAATGTATTTGGAACCTTTTTTCAGTACATTGTGAGTAGGGCCACTTGATACTTACAGTTGGGTTCTGTATACGGATGTCCTGCACAAGGACAGATGGATGTGATCGATGAGCGTATAGTTTGGAGCCAATGCTGACACAGTTCCAACCCTGTTGGAAACAGAAACATGATCAGTCACTGTTGGCTCCCTTGCTTTACATGATCAGTCACTGGTGGCACCCCTGCTTTACATGATCTGTCACTTGTAGCAACCCTGCTTTACATGATCAGACACTTGTAGCACCCCTGCTTTACATGATCAGTCACTTGTAGCAACCCTGCTTTACATGATCAGACACTTGTAGCAACCCTGCTTTACATGATCAGACACTTGTAGCAACCCTGCTTTACATGATCAATCACTTGTAGCATCCCGGCTTTACATGATCTGTCACTTGTAGCACCCCTGCTTTACATGATCAGACACTTGTAGCACCCCTGCTTTACATGATCAGTCACTTGTAGCACCCCTGCTTTACATGGTCAGTCACTTGTAGCACCCCTGCTTTACATGGTCAGTCACTTGTAGCACCCCTGCTTTACATGATCAGGCACTTGTAGCACCCCTGCTTTACATGATCAGACACTTGTAGCACCCCTGCTTTACATGATCAGACACTTGTAGCACCCCTGCTTTACATGATCTGTCACTTGTAGCACCCCTGCTTTACATGGTCAGTCACTTGTAGCACCCCTGCTTTACATGATCTGTCACTTGTAGCACCCCGGCTTTACATGATCAGTCACTTGTAGCACCCCTGCTTTACATGATCTGTCACTGGTGGCACCCCTGCTTTACATGATCTGTCACTTGTAGCACCCCTGCTTTACATGGTCAGTCACTTGTAGCACCCCTGCTTTACATGATCTGTCACTTGTAGCACCCCTGCTTTACATGATCAGACACTTGTAGCACCCCTGCTTTACATGATCAGACACTTGTAGCACCCCTGCTTTACATGATCAGTCACTTGTAGCACCCCTGCTTTACATGGTCAGTCACTTGTAGCACCCCTGCTTTACATGATCTGTCACTTGTAGCACCCCTGCTTTACATGATCAGACACTTGTAGCACCCCTGCTTTACATGGTCAGTCACTTGTAGCACCCCTGCTTTACATGATCTGTCACTTGTAGCACCCCGGCTTTACTTGATCAGACACTTGTAGCACCCCTGCTTTACATGATCAATCACTTGTAGCATCCCGGCTTTACATGATCTGTCACTTGTAGCACCCCGGCTTTACATGATCTGTCACTTGTAGCACCCCTGCTTTACATGGTCAGTCACTTGCAGCATTCCCTGCTTTACATGATCAGTCACTTGTAGCACCCCTGCTTTACATGGTCAGACACTTGTAGCAACCCTGCTTTACATGGTCAGACACTTGTAGCACCCCTGCTTTACATGATCAGTCACTTGCAGCACCCTGGCTTGAAATGATCAGTCACTTGTAGCACCCTTGATTTACATGATCAGTCACTTGCAGCACCCCTGCTTTACATGGTCAGTCACTTGTAGCACCCCTGCTTTACATGGTCAGACACTTGTAGCACCCCTGCTTTACATGGTCAGACACTTGTAGCACCCCTGCTTTACATGATCTGTCACTTGTAGCACCCCGGCTTTACTTGATCAGACACTTGTAGCACCCCTGCTTTACATGATCAATCACTTGTAGCATCCCGGCTTTACATGATCTGTCACTTGTAGCACCCCAGCTTTACATGATCTGTCACTTGTAGCACCCCTGCTTTACATGGTCAGTCACTTGCAGCATTCCCTGCTTTACATGATCAGTCACTTGTAGCACCCCTGCTTTACATGGTCAGACACTTGTAGCAACCCTGCTTTACATGGTCAGACACTTGTAGCACCCCTGCTTTACATGATCAGTCACTTGCAGCACCCTGGCTTGAAATGATCAGTCACTTGTAGCACCCTTGATTTACATGATCAGTCACTTGCAGCACCCCTGCTTTACATGGTCAGTCACTTGTAGCACCCCTGCTTTACATGGTCAGACACTTGTAGCACCCCTGCTTTATATGGTCAGACACTTGTAGCACCCCTGCTTTACATGATCAGTCACTTGCAGCACCCTGGCTTGAAATGATCAGTCACTTGTAGCACCCTTGATTTACATGATCAGTCACTTGCAGCACCCCGGCTTTACATGATCAGACACTTGTAGCACCCCTGCTTTACATGATCAGTCACTTGTAGCACCCTTGATTTACATGATCAGTCACTTGCAGCACCCCTGCTTTACATGGTCAGTCACTTGTAGCAACCCTGCTTTACATGATCAGTCACTTGTAGGAACCCTGCTTTACATGATCAGTCACTTGTAGGAACCCTGCTTTACATGATCAGACACTTGTAGCAACCCTGCTTTACATGATCTGTCACTTGTAGCAACCCCTGCTTTACATGATCAGTCACTTGCAGCACCCCGGCTTTACATGATCAGTCACTTGTAGCACCCTTGATTTACATGATCAGACACTTGTAGCACCCTTGCTTTACATGATCAGTCACTTGTAGCACCCTTGATTTACATGATCAGTCACTTGCAGCACCCCTGCTTTACATGGTCAGTCACTTGTAGCACCCCGGCTTTACATGATCAGTCACTTGTAGCAACCCTGCTTTACATGATCAGTCACTTGTAGGAACCCTGCTTTACATGATCAGACACTTGTAGCACCCCTGCTTTACATGATCAGTCACTTGTAGCACCCCGGCTTTACATGATCAGTCACTTGTAGCAACCCTGCTTTACATGATCAGACACTTGTAGCACCCCTGCTTTACATGATCATTCACTTGTAGCAACCCTGCTTTACATGATCAGTCACTTGTAGCAACCCTGCTTTACATGATCAGTCATAAGAGGTACCCCTGTGTTTACATGATCAGTCACAAGTGGCTGCCTTAGCATTTAATAGACAGGTTAACATGGAGTAACCTTCCACCCACCACCTAAAGTTTCTTGTACAACTGATTTAAAATAAAGCGAAGTGTTTTCAGCTTCCTGACAGATGGACCTTTGTCAGATGTTAGTTAGTGTGTAATCTCTCACCCTCTTCACTGTCTGCATCCGGTAGGCCACCCCTGCCTTCATATCCACAGCGAATGCCTCTGTAACAGAGTGTTATATGTTCTTGTGACATACCACTGATAACATTTCCATTCGAATTTAATCTTTGCATTGGATGTGATGGATATGATGAGGAGGATGATAATGGTAGTGGCTACATTATACATGTTCATGTCATCATGGAGATATCTCTACAACAGGGGGAATCAATACAAGTTACATAACTCACCTCTCGATGGTTCTCCATCAACCTGAGTTTGAACAACTGGGTAGAACTTGACCGGCAGAGACAGAGCTCTGTTCAAACGGATAAAGAGTCCATTCTGTGAGTCAAATGCTGCCGCTACCTTACCATTGCCTGTTTTGAAGAAAGTACTGAAACATTACTGTCCATCTGACATCAACCAGTATTTGACTTCACTGCGTTGTTAAACTAAAATATTGGTAGAAGTTGTACATAACTATCTGTGGCAAGAGTGATGACATAAATGTTGCTGATTCTCAGTTAGGTGGCCTGGCTTTGATTGCTGTCAGTGACACGTAATATACAGTAGAATGCCTCTACCAGGAACTTGAAGGGACAAACCCTCCAGGTTGAAGATATCAAGTGATTCGAGATACAGATACAAAACATGTTACCAATATTCGTTTTAATTCTTTCTTTTCACTGTTCTCGCCCATGACATTTTTACAGCACACTACGATGACTGAGCACCAACTTACATTTTACGTGATACCATACATTTATTTAAAACTGGAATTCACAAACAGAAAAGTCACTGGTCAAATCCACTAACACCTGATGAAGCATGTCTACATAATTGGCAATGTCACTACAGATGTTACAAATAACAATGTGGTAGCAGCGTTCCTTCACTCAGTTTACCTAATCCATGTCTTCTCTTAGAATCTGGCCTTTAGTAAAACCCAGACACCACAATTACTAACTGTGAAAACACTGTGGTAACATATCACAAGACAACACGATGTTGTGATCCTTGTTAAAACTGATCATTACAGTTGAACCACAGTTAACCAAATCAACAAAGACAAATGTTTAGGAAGAATTAATTTTTCATGTGCTTTCAGTGATTGTTGTTGGTACAATGTATCAAAGTACAAAAGTAACCATGGTAACTGGCAACCACAATAACCTAATGCTGACCACAACATTTGACAGGCATTTCACCCATGAAAGGACAGCGGGAAGAATCCTACACTGTCAACTGCCTTCTTACCAACATAGATGGGATATGCCGTCTCCCCCGGCAGCAGGGGCCTGTGGTTGATCACTACATCCAAGGACTCAGAGGACTTGAAAAAGGATTTGTGGATTTTCTCTTCTAAACAGTCCTCCAGAGCTAAAACCAAGAGAAGTGTGGTGAAGGAGATCCCAAGATGGTTTATCCCCAGATTGATGTGGGGTGAGGTGGAAGAGAGTTGGTACATACCTAGCTGTATCTTAGGTGGGGTGAGGTGGGAGAGAGTTGGTACATACCTAGCTGTATCTTAGGTGGGGTGAGGTGGAAGAGTGTTGGTACATACCGAGCTGTATCTTAGGTGGGGTGGGGTGAGATGGAGGAGTGTTGGTACATACCTAGCTGTATCTTTGGAGGGGTGAGATGGAAGAGTGAGTGAGTGAGTGAGTATGGTTTTACGCCACTTTTAGCAATATTCCAGCAATATCACGGCGGGGGACACCAGAAAATGGGCTTCACACATTGTACCCATGTCGGGATTCGAACCCGGGTCTTCGGCGTGACGAGCGAACGCTTTAACCACTAGGCTACCCGACTGCCCCTGAGATGGAAGAGTGTTGGTACATACCGAGCTGTATCTTGGGTGGTGTGAGGTGGAAGAGTGTTGGTACGTACCTAGCTGTATCTTGGGTGGTGTGAGGTGGAAGAGTGTTGGTACGTACCTAGATGGATCTTGGGTGAGGTTAAGTAGAAGAGTGTTGGTACATACCTAGCTGTATCTTAGGTGGTGTGAGGTGGAAGAGTGTTGGTACATACCTAGCTGTATCTTTGGTGGTGTGAGGTGGAAGAGTGTTGGTACATACCGAGCTGTATCTTAGGTGGGGTGAGGTGGAAGAGTGTTGGTACATACCTAGCTGTATCTTGGGTGGTGTGAGGTGGAAGAGTGTTGGTACATACCGAGCTGTATCTTGGGTGGGGTGAGGTGGAAGAGTGTTGGTACGTACCTAGATGGATCTTGGGTGAGGTTAAGTAGAAGAGTGTTGGTACGTACCTTGATGGATCTTGGGTGAGGTTAAGTAGAAGAGTGTTGGTACAAACCTAGATGGATCTTGGGTGAGGTTAAGTTGAAGAGTGTTGGTACCAGATAGTAGACCAGCAGCAATAACACCAGAACAAGCAGGATTATCTTCCGAGATCTGCAGTGAGAATGCCGTTTATTCATTTAAGTAATTTTTAAACTACAGTTATTCTGCTCTACCATCTGGATGAAGATAACTCATTCTGAAAGTTAAATCTAAATGATCAGCTTTTTCCAGGTAGAATATCACTTTTAAACAAATGTAATCCTTGTGTATATCATGTATATTACCTTCATTACCCAATATTTGCATCATTTGTTTTGTTTAATTGTAAACCTTTTATGCTCTGAATGCTGTACGTTCCATGTCAGGTCGATGTTTTAAATGTCTCGTTGTATTTGGTTAATCCCCTTTATATATGTATTATGTTTTGGATAAATACAGCTGTATAACACATTGTGTAATACCAAAGTGTGCGCTTATGTACTGCGGGAACAAGTTTCACTAACAGTAACAAATATTGTAAACTCCCAACATCCCTGGGCTTTTTCAATGACATTGCATGAAGAGATGATAGATCACTGAGAGGAGCTTATGCACACTCAATGACCCCAGCAACTCTGCAGCTAGGCTGAAGTCACATGGCTGGTGGCTCTTGCAACAAATTTCACAAATCACATCATAGGGCATTGTGACATGATTGTAAACCTTGTGGCGCAGGGCCCCATTCCACATGGTGAACATAGTGCAACGGCAGTCATAAGTCTATGTTAAAGTATGGGAGTCATGATAAAGTTAGTGCTATGAATACATAAATATAAAGATAAATAAATTATCCCAAATATAATATTTGTTACATAAAGTTAGTGCTACGATAGCTTTGTGGAACGGACCCTTGAATTCTAAAGGTTGGCCGTTGTATGATATTAAATTAGCAAGTATCATCTTTTGACGTGTCTGAAGTATTATTCTGTTAAACTCAATTGGAGTACACTCAGTGTGCGAGCTCAGCCTGTGTTACCGCTTATAGATGAAAACCAAGCCTCGCTTTCACACAGGTTATAAATAGATTCAATGCTAAAGGCCCCATAGTGACGTCACAGCCCCTGTCACAGGAAGTGAAAAATCCTGGGCTCTACACCTACCTCATATAAACCTTTTATTACAAATCCTATATGTACATGTAATGTTTTCATATATTTCCCATTTCCACATATGTCAATTTACCAAAATAATACCTAAATATAACCCATCCATGCACTGTAGAGGCTGTGAGAACATGTTTATTGAAGTCACGTGACCTCAAAATATTCTCTCACAGGGTAGAAGTCATTCACAAAAATATGGGTTCCATCTATCTTAAAGGGAGGAGGGGCCATTTCCTATGTTTCCTGCAATCACTGATCACTAAGCTTACTATATCCAACTTAAAACAGGAGGAGCTACAAATGTAAACATGTTTTTAATTGGATAAAAGACAGTCCCCAGTTTCCCCCTCGAAGTGACCAAGAAGTCCCACACAGAGCGGCCAGAAACATAAATACATCTGGCATCTTACTGATAGCATCACATTCTAGTGACAGATATGTTACTTTAGGGCAGTTTAACACCGTTTGTTTAAATTTGAGTTGACTGATATGTCATTGAGGGACTAATTTGTGTGTCAGGGGTCTAAACTGATGGTTTACAGGTTGTGGTGTTTGACATTTGGTTCTTTCTGTCTTAAGCTGTCTGGACATAGTTTGTCAGTGTTATCACACTGAACAGACATTTGCACTTAAATAAATCAGAACTTAAATCTCAAATATGTATTGGTTTGTTAGTTTTAATTAGGGAAAGTAACCCTTCACACCACCGGAAGTAGTCAAGATTTTAGTCACGTGACCTCTATCAGTAAAATGATTGGCTCAAACCTATCGTCTGCTGTAGCAGTATACTACTTTTACTGTTGTGGTGGACGATTACTTTTGGATTATACCTTGGCTATTGCATTTTTATGCTCGGTCATGGCTAAATTGTGTGTTTCAACTGTTATTTTCTTGGAACTCACTTGGAATACCAGTCTCTTACTAACTATTTATCATGATGCGACTTCCAAGTGACACCACTGGAGATTTGTCAAGTAAGGTATGAACATATTGGAATTCTGGCACCTCTATAACTAATGAATGTTCAAGTGGAAAATATCAAGAGTACATTTATACCAATAAGGCTTGTGTATGCATTAATATTATATAGAAGTTTAAACGCTAGTAGAATTTTGCATCTTGTGAATATATGTGCATTTATGCCATCCAACAAGTCAGAAAAAATAGAAACAAAAGAAAAAATAATGGCATTCCTCCTGAGAAAAATGTAAGACATCGTATCGTAATGGTAGCCAATGTCGTCCTTGTCAGGTATGCATACAGTTGGGACAATTTTAAAAAAGATGATCCTCATCATGAAATGAATAAACCTTATTATCCAGGTGAAAAGCATTAATATCCAGTGAATATATTTTGTAACATGGAAAGCTAATAAAAGTACAAAAACGTTGTTTCAGTAGAAACCTCTGTTTAAAAACTCCAGTTGACACAGACTATAAAGTGAATATGTCATCTGCTAGCAAATTGTATTTACTGTTTGTAGGTCGCACTTGAGAACGAGGCTTGGTTTTTACGGGAAAAGATATCAATTACAAAATTGAGGCTAAGCTCGCACACTGACTGTGGATTGAGTAGATGTCTGCATATTCACACACGACAGTGAAAGAATTTATTTTTTTTATAAAAGGCAAGTTATAAGTATAATAATAAACCTGCTCCTGTGTAACACCAATTTCATGAAACATTTGAATAGTTCTGGTATCCATGGTATCTGACTCGCTTCCGCTCGCCAGATACTAGAACTATTCATTCGTTTCATAAAATTGGTATTACACAGGAGCTGGTTTAGTATTCTATATATCTTTATCGTATCTTAATTGTACTACAATTGCCAGAAACAAAATATCAGTATTACCTTTAGTCAGTTACAAAATATTGCATAGATTTACACGTATCTCTCAGGTCTGTTTATGTGTTTTTACAAATTTGGAGTGTTATCAAGTTGATCAATATCATGTAAGTATACTCTCACTCAAGGTTGTACCCATGCTTATGAAACTGGTGGTCCAGAGGGATCCAAATATTCAAATGAGTATTTTAAGGGTCCTGTGAGTGTCCAGCCATATTGCACAGTGACATGTCAAACTTCTTATACATGACATCAGTAATAAACCTTCCAATAACCTTTATGTTTGTTAAGAGACTGGGTGTTTCTAACATGTGTCTAAATCACCGATAAAAGTTGGGATATATTCTTTTCTGGGGTGACTCATTGCATTTCAATTCTTATATTCTTTCCTTATGACAGACCTGTTTTAATAGTGATATTAATACAAAAGACTTAAAACACCCAACTTAGTGACATTATCATCAGACTCCTGTGTGTGTACTTCCCTACTTTAAGTTTCATTGTAGGTACTATGTGATCCTGTGCAGACAATATTCAATTAACTTCTGGTACTTATCCAAAATTATAAACCTATTCATTGGGATCGCTATTAAGTAAGAGACTTCTTTCTATAGGCATTAAGACCTATTGTGATATTGGGATTTTATATAATGTCCTGGGTATTTTATTAATATAACTTCCGTTCAGATTGTAACATGTAATGAAATGTAAAATCAAATGACAAATGTTTTCTTCAATTCCCGAGGGTCGAACTCGCAACCTTCATATCTGTAGCCCAGTGAGTGTACCACGAGGCTACAGAGGTGTTGATAAACCTCACTGGTAGGGGGTGTGTGGTGGGGTAGGGTGTCTATGGTAGGGTAGGTGTTTATGGGGGGGGGGGGGGGGGGGTAGGGGGTGTATGCTGGGATAGGGGTGTGTATGAGGGTGTATGGTGGGGTAGTGGTGTGTATGTGGGGTAGGGGGGTGTATGGTGGGGTAGGGGGGTATATGGTGGGGTAGGGGGTGTATGGTTGGATAGAGGGGTGTATGGTTGGGTAGGGGGGTGTATGGTGCGGTAGGGGTGTTTATGGTGGGGTAGGGGGTGTATGGTCGGGTAGGGGGTGTATGGTGGAATAGGGGGTGTATGGTTGGTTAGGGGGGTGTATGGTGGGGTAGGGGTGTGTAGGGTGGGGTAGGGGGGTGTATGGTGGGGTAGGGGGGTGTATGGTGGGGTAAGGGTGTATGGTGGGTTAAGGGTGTGTATGGTGGGGTAGGGGTGTGTATGGTGGGGTAGGGGTGTGTATGGTGGGGTAGGGGGTGTAGGGTGGGCTAGGCGGATGTATGGTGGGGTAAGGGTATGTATGGTGGGTTAAGGGTGTGTATGGTTGGGTAGGGGGGTGTATGGTGGGGTAGGGGGGTGTATGGTTGGGTAGGGGTGTATGGTGGGTTAAGGGTGTGTATGGTGGGGTAGGGGGTGTAGGGTGGGGTAGGGGGATGTATGGTGGGGTAAGGGTATGTATGGTGGGTTAAGGGTGTGTATGGTTGGGTACGGGTGTGTATGGTGGTGTAGGGGGGTGTATGGTTGGGTAGGGGTGTATGGTGGGTTAAGGGTGTGTATGGTGGGGTAGGGGTGTGTATGGTGGGGTAGGGGTGTGTAGGGTGGGGTAGGGGGTGTAGGGTGGGGTAGGGGGATGTATGGTGGGGTAAGGGTATGTATGGTGGGTTAAGGGTGTGTATGGTTGGGTAGGGGGGTGTATGGTGGGGTAGGGGTATGTATGGCGGTGTAGGGGGTTTATGGTGGGGTAAGGGTGTGTATTGTGGGGTAGTGGGTGTATGGTGGGGTAAGGGTGTGTATGGTGGGGTAGGGGGTGTATGGTTGGGTAGGGGGGTTTATGGTGGGGTAGGGGTGTGTATGGTTGGGTAGGGGTGTGTATGGTTGGGTAGGGGTGTGTATGGTGGGGTAGGGGGTGTTTGGTGGGGTAGGGGGGTGTATGGTGGGGTAGGGGGATGTATGGTGGAGTAGGTTGTGTAGGTTGGGGTAGGGGGTGTAAGGGGGTGTATAGGGGTGTTTAGTGGGGTAGGGGGTGTATGGTGGGGTAGGGTGTGTATGGTGGGGTAGGTGCTTATGGTGGGGTAGGTGTTTATGGTGGGGTAGGGTGTGTATTGTGGTGTAGAGGGGTTATGGTGGGGTTGGTGTTTTTGGTGGGGTAGGGTGTATACTGGGGTAGGGGTATGTATGGGGGTGTATGGTGGGGTAGTTGTGTGTATGTGGGGTACGGGGGTGTATGGTGGGGTAGGGTGTATATGGTGGGGTAGGGGAGTGTATGGTTAGGGAAGGGGGGTGTATGGTGGGGTAGGGGTGTGTATGGTGGGGTAGGGGGTGTATGGTCGGGTAGGGGGGTGTATGGTGGGGTAGGGGGTGTATGGTTGGGTAGGGGGTGTCTGGTGGGGTAGGGGTGTGTATGATGGGGTAGGGGGTGTATGGTGCGGTAGAGTGTGTATGTGGGGTAGGGGTGTGTATGGTGGGGTAGGTGTTTATGGTGGGGTAGGTGTTTATGGTGGGGTAGGGTGTGTATGGTGGGGTAGAGGGGTTATGGTGGGGTTGGTGTTTTTGGTGGGGTAGGGTGTATACTGGGGTAGGGGTATGTATGGGGGTGTATGGTGGGGTAGTTGTGTGTATGTGGGGTACGGGGGTGTATGGTGGGGTAGGGTGTATATGGTGGGGTAGGGGAGTGTATGGTTAGGGAAGGGGGGTGTATGGTGGGGTAGGGGTGTGTATGGTGGGGTAGGGGGTGTATGGTCGGGTAGGGGGGTGTATGGTGGGGTAGGGGGTGTATGGTTGGGTAGGGGGTGTCTGGTGGGGTAGGGGTGTGTATGGTTGGGTAGGGGGTGTATGGTGCGGTAGAGTGTGTATGTGGGGTAGGGGTGTGTATGGTGGGGTAGGGGGTGTATGGTGGGATAGGGTGTGTATGGTGGGGTAGGGTGTGTGTGGTGGGGTAGGGGGGTGTATGGTGGAGTAGGGTGTGTAGGGTGGGGTAGGGGTGTGTGTGGTAGGGTAGGGGGTGTATAGGGGTGTATAGTGGGGTAGGGGGTGTATGGAGGTGTATGGTGGGGTAGGTGTTTATTTTGGGGTAGGGTGTGTATGGCGGGGTAGGGGGGTGTATGGTGGGGTTGGTGTTTTTGGTGGGGTAGGGGGTGTATGGTGGGGTAGGCGTGTGTATGGGGATGTATGGTGGGGTAGTGGTGTGTATGAGGGTGTACATGGTGTATGGTTGAGTAGGGTGTGTATGTGGGGTAGGTGTGTGTATATATGTGGGGTAGGGGGGGTGTATGGTTGGGTAGGGGATGTACTGAGGGGTAGGGGGTATACGGGGGTGTATGGAGGGGTAGGGGGATGTATGGTGGGGCAGGGTATGAGGTAAAGCTGGGTGGGCAGCACCCCAGAGAAGAATTATCCTCAATTACTTATAAATCACTGCTGATTTTTTAAAGTAATTTTCGTGTAATTCCTCTCTGGTGTGACTCATTGCAATCCCCTGTAGAAATTACACTGGGAACACAGGATGAAACAATCTGTACAATTATTCAACATATAGAAGTGTGCAGTGCAATCAACAGACCCAACTGTTGAACAGACAATAACACAAACAGATGCACAATTGGTTCAGCCCTCCGTAAAACGCCATCTCTCTCTCACCTGATACCCAAACTAACCGCCCCACTACATCATGCCATTACATCACAGTCTCATAGAATCTATACACATTACACAACATAGAATGTAACGACTGCAAGGATACCAACCACATTTGGGGTAAAAAAACAAACTGAAGAGATATTGTGTGTAATGCAAAGGGAGATAACTTTGTCATGGTATAACATATAGGCCACCAGAAAATATCGTGACTCCCATAGTCTTCTTTGATGGAGGTAGGCATGCAAAACAATTTAGAGTACCGGTGACTTCGTTGAACCAAATCACGTCCGTGTCATAATAATTAAACCATGAAGGCAATAAGGATCATATAGTTCAAAGCAGACCAATGAACTGCAGGATCAATAATCATGTAATTCTGTGCTAGTGTACTGTTAGTTATAATAGTAACATTCCATCAGGTAACAACTAATTGCTATTGCAAGCAATACAAACGAAGCTTTGCTACCAACCTTGCAAATTGTGTTGTCTTTGCCACAGAATCGTTTGACTGTAGCTGTGACCAACAGGTTGAAACCCTGGGAGGTAGCTTGAGATGAGGTAGGGTAGGGAGCAGAACCACTACGCCCAGTCCACCATGAAGAAGTAGAACCCGGGAGGCCTTTAAACTGGAGTGGGGCTGCTAGTTTTGGGTATCAGTTGAGAGAGAGACTAATCCCTGTGTTATGTGTAATTCATGACACATCAGGGATCTGAGATTTCACTTATTTAGACTAGTTTATGCATTTCTGTTTCAACTTTGATAAAGTTATTGGACCAGGTGGCAACCTGGTTTTGTCTTCTGATGCATCACAGATTTTGTGTCGGCATGCACCTGTTGCAACTTAAAGTATTGAGCCCTGGTACTGGCCATTTAATCATGCTTATGCTGGTTGAATGCTAAAAACATATGTTAATAAATAATCAGGAAGCTCAATAATCACATACATGTTTTGTTGTTGTTGATCATGTTGACATGGTTGCTGGGTATGGTTTTGCTAATGATGACCAGGGGACAATTAAGACAAACTGGGTCCATTTATGTTACCCAGTTGTTTTTGTTTTCACAACAGCAGTTAACCAGGTGTTGCTTTTGCTTTCTAGCGCCAATTGGCTTTGCAGGCTGTGGATCTTATTTCACATACCAAAGGAGAGAACCCAACACTAGCACTTTGCCCAGGCTAGTACAAATTTCCAAATTGCCCCATTGCTTTAACATTACATTTACAAGGGCATTTTATCTCTCCTTCTGCAACTGAAGGTTACTGTATTCTTGAATAAAAGGAGACAGGTCAACCTCAGTCAAAAGGCTTATTCTGCAAACAGGTTGAAAAAACGTATCCAACTGTACATATACTGACTGACAGACTAATACTGTTCAAAAACTGTTTTGCTTGTGCATTTGCATCAATGTAAACAATTGGGTGCTGATCATTTGGCAAACAAATACTAATTATTGTTGATAGCGCACATGGTCCCATGGTAAAGTGTTGGTTACTTAGAGTAACTCATTATCTTAGCTTCAGCCAGGCTGGCAACTCAAGCTCGATTCTCTAAGCATTGTTAACTGAAATCCGAAAAAAAGTGTGCCAGGTAAAGTGTGGGATTCCTCTTTTTTTAGCCACAGCGAAACCTTATGATTTTGATTGCACATATTGGGTCCTAAACTAAAAGCGATTTAACTCCGCATCTGAGGAAAATGACTTAGGGCTGGATCTGTTCCTGTTAGCCTCAATACATTACAGCAACAAGGCCGTGTAACATTTTCTGCAATTACCATTTATGAAAGACGGGTGCATTGCAAATGGGCGAAGAAGCAAATATCACCTGACAATGACACCAGGCATCACTATCCACGTTGCAACTTCGACACAAGTTGCAACTCCGTCCACTACGACAACAATTCTTGTCGGTGTCGCCTGTTGACAGCTGCTTACCTGCTCAAGGAGGATAGAGCATTCAGTGAACTCTGGATCCTGTTTTGCAGCCACATTTGCCGTATTGATATGGATACAGGGAATCTACGAGAAAATATTCTATTTAACACAGCTGATCCATTCCTCATACTCAACACTCTGAGTGACACACCGCCATATTTTCATACCGCAGTTAATGATGTTTTGACACATTTGACGCTATAAATATTCCAGATATGACCTGTTTATGATATATTTTACTCAAAATGTGACGGTAATGGTACTTTTAATTATCAGCAGAGCGATATAGATTATATTATTATGTTTCACCAATCGCCAAACTTTAAATATTCTTTTCGAAGTTCACATCCGGTTGGAATGTTTTGGTTGGAGATGAACAGAACGTACATCATGAGCTTGTGATTGATACTATGCACATCGATTAACCTATTATTAAGGTGATTTTTTGTAATTTAGAAAAAATAAGCATTTTATCCTCACACCATTATCGATGACGACATAACATAAGAATATCTGTCGGTATATATAGCTTTGTATCGTCGCCCCAGATCTGCTTGTACTGGTAACAAATGCAGCTTGGTTGTGGCTGTGTCACTGTCAATGTGTAGCATAAGATTGATCGGCAAGAGAAGCACACCGGGGGTAGCCGCCTGTAATCTCGGTAATTCACTCACATTTCACGCATGTTGATTGCCAGCATGTCAACCAAAGATCAATATCTACTAGCCTACGGACTAGTAGTGGCCAAAGTAAAACATCAATGGAGATTCCAGTGGTGAATTTAGAGTGCTACTGCTGGTTTGTTCTGTTTTTATTAATTCCCCTTGATCAATTGGTCAATTTCTCTCTGAGAAGACAGCTGCGTTAGAGCAGTGAAGTAAAGCAGAGCTTTCAGCAACTATCAGTGAGTGAAAGAGTATGGTTTTACGTCGCTTTTAGCAATATTCCTGCAATATCATGGTGGGGATAACAGAAATGGGCTCCACACATTGTACCCATGTCGGGAATTGAACTCGGGTCATCGGTGTCACGAGCAAACGCTTTAACCACTGGGCTATCCAACCGCACTTCAGCAACTGTCAAACAACAATACATCCAGTCTTTGTTAAGTGTAAAAAGAAAAAGGTAGATTATTTGGAAATGACACTCAATGATGATCAGTCTGCTAGCAATGCGGAACCATATAATCAATAGAAAGGGGGAAAAAAATGGGTGCAGGCTATAATGGCACCTCATTTGGTGAAAACAGTAACTAATTGTCGGGCAAAAACAGCACGTCTATTTTTAATAATGAAAAGAATGATTTATATAGTAGTATATATGCTTGATTTACATACTTTGCTATGTTATGTTGTAGTATTTATGTTTAAGTTATGTTTATGTATATTTTATGTTTATGTTAATTAAAACTTCAAAGCATGTGATGTTTTCACAATAAGTTTAGTTGCGCCTCCCAATCAGAGTTGGCGAGTAAATTGGAATAGAGGCTAATTTCTTATGTAAACTTGTTTTAAGGCGATTAACATTTCACAATTATTTGTGTTTGCATGTGACCATGTGAGTTTAATTTAATTTATTTTACTTTAAAGCATGTAAGGTTTTCACAATAAGTTTAGTTGCGCCCCCAGTCAAGAGTTGGCAAGTAATTTGGAATAGAGGCTAATTTCTAATGTCAACTTATTTTAACATTTCACAATTATTTGTGTTTGCAAGTGACCATGTCAGTTTAATTTCATGTATTTCAGTACCAACGTAAAAAAAAAAATAAGGTGCCATTTTCGTTTTAGGCAAGGTGACATTTTCACCAATCAGTGCTGTTTTCGCTCGGTGACGTTTTGCCAAGGTGCCGTTTTAGCTATGACCCAAAATAACATGCTGAAACATTTCCCTTGGATTAGCTGGACCTGCCCTATTCACTCAATGTGTCCTCAATTGCATGTATTGTGATGCTTTGTAGAATCTAAAATTGTTTTGTTGCTTTTGTTTCAGGACTTGTCAAGGTTTATTGTGTAGTCATCCAAGATGCTGGTTCCTATTTTTACCCTTAAGCTGAACCACAAGGTGAACCCCCACATGGTGACGATAGGGAAGTATGACGGCACTCACCCCTCTCTCACCTGTGCAACCACAGCAGGGAAGGTAGGATATATACCTGTACAACATGTAGCCATAGTAAAATTTCACAAACTGCTGAGCATTCATCAGTAGTGTTTCTTAGTGATATCATGTCTATAGGGCTTAGTTATTTGTAAACAGAATTGAAAAAGGATAATGAATTTGAGAATCCACTTTGCAAATTCAAGTCTCCAGTTTCGAGTTTCCTGTGTATGACGAAGCTTGCATGAGGAAAGTTTTTGCAAAGAAAAGACAGTATGTGTAATTTGCATTTAGCATGTTTAGATTGGATGAATTAACAGTTCTAAACATACCAGTTGTATGCATGTCTGACTGTGTGTGAACTAAGTCAACTGACAATATTGTAAGACTCTAAGCTCATTAGTCGAAGATGTGTTGATATAATTGAAGTTTATTACTTTATGGAAGTTGAGTACTATCCCAAGTGTTTAGCTTAAATATAGTTTTACTTTCTTGAAAGTGTGAAAACATTTTACAGAACCAAGTTTAAGTTCATTAACATGTAGAACGGTACAGTTAGATATAAACTGTGCAGGTAGAGCATTTAAGTTTTGACAGATAACTTGAGTGAAACAGGAACTGTGTGTTTGTTTATGTTTAACTGGACAGATTATTAAAAACGAGAAGCTGAACGTGTTTGTTTTTCATTATTTTCTTATACAGAATTGTTGACTTGACTGTGTGTCATGTTGATGGATATTAATTCGTCAGTTGTCCTTCTTTACCTTTATGGGCGAGTCTGTGGACTCTTTTCTCAGTCTAATTGCAAATGACTGGGTTTCCCACACAAAATGTTGTATATGCAGTGTTGAGATATGTATCATATTCTGCATGATTTGTCTAGGCTTCTGTATCAAGACATGTATCGTATTGTGTGACACCTGTATCATGACGTCCCAATGTTCAATTACACCTAATTTAGAAATAGAGTATCTTTTATGCTTTTTTTAAAAACCCTGTACCTACATATATGTTGGAGAAGTATACTGTAAATTTAGCAGTGTTTGGATTGTGGTGTGCTCTTTGTTTTGCTGCAAACAGGAAATATCACTGAAATTTTTCAGTTTGAAACAAACACATCAAATTATCATTTGGAATGATCTAATTACAATTTATACAATGCACAATTTCAATATTGACTCTGGGCGGTTGGGTAGCCCCGTGGTTAAAGCTTTCGCTCGTCACGCCGAACACCCGGGTTCGATTCCCGACATTGGTACAATGTGTGAAGCCCATTTCTTATGTGCCCCGCCGTGATATTGCTGGAATATTGCTAAAAGCGGCGTAAAACCATACTCACTCACTCACTCAATATTGACTCTCTGTTTCAGTAAACCTATGCAACTTTTACACATTTAAGACCATCTTTTGACTCACATGTTAAAATTCTGCTATGTATTTGAAGAGTTTTGTGGCAGAAAATGAAAAATTCTGCACGGGTTCTGCACAAAAAGTCATTTTCTGTCTGAGTTGGCATTTCTGCAAAACATTCCATGAATTACAGAATGTAACAGGGACTGATATATAGTTTGTGTGATACTTTTAGCCTATGAGTATGCCTTGATGTCAACCTGTAAGTCCTCAGGTTCAGTCAGAAACAGAAATCAGCTTGTATGAATGTTTTATGTTGAAGGTGCTGATCCACAGTCCCCACACTCGCAGTCAGCGTGGCATGGGTCCAATTGTGGCTAGCTCAGAGAATGATATCAGCCTTCTCAATATCAACCAGCAAGTGTCATCAGTGTGTGCAGGCAAACTGCACACGAGCAACATGAACGACGTACTGGTGGTGGGCACACAGACGAATCTCATTGCCTATGATGTGGACAATAACAGTGATCTCTTCTACAAAGATGTGAGAACATGTATTTTATGTTTTAGTGTCTTTTTTTGTTACCCTCCATGTGATACAGTTTATGAGGGTGTCTCACTAGTCTTTGCCAGGATCTGCTAATCATGCATTAGAATCCCAGATTTGCCCTGAGTATGATCCTTGGATTGATGCCCCTGCCTGAATTGTTTTGTGTTATCTGCCCCTATTAAACTGCCATGCTGTGATAAAACCGAAACACTGTTATATGTGATGTAAACTTAACTCATTTACAGGCAGTAAGTATTTGTGCAATCTTGGGGCCCTGCCAAGTCTGCTTGATTTGTCTAGGTAAAACAAGCAGAAGGGATTCCTGCCTCATTATAAACACATCTTTTGCTCCGGTACAATATGTCTCTGCATGAAGATTTGATGACACCTTCATAGGAATGCCATGCCCAGTGAACTTTCTTGTCAGCCAATCAAGATTGAACCAGTTAACATTCAAATCTGATTATTTTTAAACTTATCCTGCATTACTCCTTAATGCATTTACTGCTTGTTCTTGTGAGGTCTTGCTGAAGAAGTTGTTCCAACTGGTTGTGTGTCTAATCCAATCACACAGCTCCAACGGGACCACAGACGTGATGACGTCACATATCATCACATTACTGCTGTCACTCAGAGAGAACTGTCACCTTTCTTCTGGGATTTCGAATACTAAATACACACAATTATGGTTGGAACACATTGTGATTACACCTTTTGATTTATGTCCAGTTGTACTCAGTGCCACGGTAACAAGTCTGGCTGGGACCCCAACCCTCTGTGTCTGGACTGCTCCGATATAGGTTCAACAGCTACAAATGTAGCTTTTACATAACCTTCTCTCCCACAACCTTCTCCCCCACAACCTTCTCCCCCACAGCCTGCTCCCCCACAACCTTCTCCCCCACAGCCTGCTCCCCCACAGCCTTCTCTCCCACAGCCTTCTCCCCCACAGCCTTCTCTCCCCCAGCCTTCTCTCCCACAGCCTTCTCCCCCACAGCCTGCTCCCCCACAGCCTTCTCTCCCACAGCCTTCTCCCCAACAACCTTCTCTCCCACAGCCTTCTCTCCCACAGCCTTCTCCCCCACAGCCTTCTCCCCCACAACCTTCTCCCCCACAGCCTTCTCCCCCACAACCTTCTCCCCCACAGCCTTCTCCCCCACAGCCTTCTCCCCCACAACCCTCTCCCCCACAGCTTTCTCCCCCACAACCTGCTCCCCCACAGCCTTCTCTCCCTCAGCCTTCTCCCCCACAGCCTTCTCCCCCACAACCTTCCCCCCAACAGCCTTCTCTCCCACAACCTTCTCCCCCACAACCTTCTCTCCCACAGCCTTCTCCCCCACAACCTTCTCCCCCACAGCCTTCTCTCCCAAAGCCTTCTCCCCCACAGCATTCTCTCCCACAGCCTTCTCTCCCACAGCCTTCTCTCCCACAGGCTTTTCTCCCACAGCCTTCTCCAAGCACCTGAGGGTCTCTCTGAAGTGCTGTTCGCAGCAAGCCTGTGGACAAGCTAAAAAGAAGATCCTCCTCTGAGACTGCTACATCTCTACTAGCCACGGCTACTCCATTTTCTTTGGGCTGGAAGCCCCCTGCGTCTTTTCTATTTACGTTGACGGCAAACACCTCACCTGTACAGGTACCAGAGTCTACTCCAGAGACGACTGTACTCCAGTCGCTGATGACCACACTGATGTCCTCGCCTATCTTACCTTGGCGCCAACGACCCAGAGATCAGCCTTCCCACAAGTACTAGCGCTCCTGAGCAGCTACATGGCGCCTCCGGGATTCGGACTCTGCCTTTCCAGCTGGCGCCTCAACAGCTCCTCCAAGTTCCCTATATCGGCCCCTCCTGGTTGCAGTTGATGCAGTGCATGTTCCAGCAGAGGCTGGCCCGGGCGTGGATGAACGAGACACTATTGGTTGCAGCCTATCCCCATGACGCCGGACCCAATGCGGAAGGATCTGGTCTCAGCATTGGACAAAGAATTTGTGATATTATCCCTATCATCGGTGTTCAAGGTTCCTCGGTTAAGCTGGTGGCAGACATAGCACACATCCGGGATGACCTTGCAGACAGAAGTTAGCTGAAAGAGGACCTCCTTGTGGTTATGTGCTCTCATTCTACAGGCTTATGATACCTCCGGATTGGATCCCTAAGGGGCCAACAACACACACAAGATCTTAGTGGTCACTGGACACACAATTGACTTTCGTACAACGGAGGTCCAACGTTTTCCTCAAGCTCTGGCAGCCTCATGGGGAGGATTCTGTGAAAGTTCCCACCAATTCTCTCTGTCTAATCGGTGCCTGTTTAACATTGGCTGAACAATTCCACAGAGAGGGCGTTAGTACTCTCGTAGAATTCTTTCATGTGGCTACTGATAGATATGATCTGCACCAAAAGTTGACGATCATCACAAATTCAAGACTGATTCGACACTTGACAGAATCGTCATATGCTTCTGGGTACCCACCTCGGGATCATCGTTCACAAGACAGGACCAGACGTCACACTTATCATGGTGATCAACTTGCCCCTACACCGGCCAAGTCACACAATCTACACAGAAGTCAGAGTGGAGCTTCAACCAAATGCTGGATTCCAGATTACTGTGCAGAGTGATTTACATTCACATGTCAAGAACTCTCCAACTATAAACATCTCTGACCGGAATTAAGTCAACTGACCAAATGGGAGCCATGCAGTGTATTTGTACTCAAATAAGGCTATGACCCAATTTGGACACTTTCAGATCTTATCTTTAAAGAATTCTATTCAGAGAATCTTATTCCTGTAAGACTAATGTTGCGCTGTGGGCATGCACTTAGTGTATGGCTGGTAAGGTACAAATACACTGTATGATTAGATGTATTAAAGTGATTAATGTATTAATGCTGTTGTGGGTATTTTATACACCCTGTTGTTTCCGAGCACCATGAGGGTCTACATCCAAAATGGAGTACCATCGAAAGAATATTTGTGACCTTTGTACAAATCAAAATTTATGAATCAAGGTGGTAAAGAAATAAAGTTGAAATCGTTTTAAAAAATTGACCCCTGATTGGCTAAAGAACCCACACATCCTTCATTTAGACTGGACGTTCAAAGTTTGCACTGGGTTAAACTTCCTATGGAGATGTCATCACATCTTCACTTATCAGAGTAAAATATTTGATTTTTATGAGATTGAAGGGATTCCACTAACAATTATAAATACTTACTAGATTGGTTAGAGCAATGTTGAATGTCATCAACATTTGAATTACTTGTTCATCATTTGAATAGGAACTGCAATAGCTTGACAAGTGATGGTAATAGTAAATGATATAAACATGCCATCCATTGCAGACTCCTGACGGCTCCAATGCTGTGGTCATCGGACAGCTCGGCACTATCAGCACACCGCTAGCCATCGTGGGCGGGAACTGCTCTATAATGGGATTTGACCAGGATGGCAATGATTCATTCTGGACGGTAAGATATTGTTGATCCCTGAAGGAGTATTTACACCAGCTATTGGTGTAGACAGCAAGTATTTCTGGTTAAATTATAGTCAGTCAGCATAGACGACAAGGTCGTGTCACCAGAAGTCTCATGTCTCATCATGGTGAAAACAATGAAACTTAATAGTTAGGCAAGGGGATTGTGACAGTTACACCAGACACTGGCTCATATTAAGGCTTCATCAAAATACTCAAAGTGGTGTTTACTTAAAGCTTTGTAATAAGAACACTTATATGAAATGACGACTGTCAAAGAAAGGATATCTCATTTACCATGTTCACTGTTACTGATGTGAAGTCCTGAGGTCAGCACATGTCTTTGTAGCACCACAGTGCTATGGTATCATTAGTATCTCAATGATCTCTGAACGCTTGTTGAGAAATGTTGCAGAATGTGTGTGTATTGGTACTGTGTATTAACTTGGCTGTATCAGGTGACTGGAGACAACGTCTGCTCTCTGGCTATGGTGGACTTCAACAATGATGGACAGAATGAGGTTAGTGCATCACCCATACAGTGCTGACGTGGATGTGGTGCATAGTTACACTTCGTGGTAATGTAAAGGCTATTCATCCTGCGGCAGCCGTCAAATGTTGTCTGTCACCTGTTAAAATTCTGTTCAACACTTGACAAAAGAGTACATATTCTTCAGTTCATTTGTAAAGACAGGTTTACATCCATTCAGAAACTTACTGATTTATGCAGTTGAATTTGTTTTTTTGATATGATCCCAGTATGTATGAAATTGATATGAAGTAAGCATGGTAAGTATTTCATATGCTCAGTAGCATGTGCTACGTTATGTTGTGTAGTGTGATATGTGGCACAACCTGATCCTTCACAACCAGTTATTCGTGTTTCTGTTTCTTCTGCTGCATATATCTGCTATATACATTAAGATGGATATATTTACTCACCACTTATTGGAGTACATGTATTTCAGTGGGAAATTCTACAGAAAATAGGACTCAGGAGTCTGACATATCACATGTTTTTGTGTATCATTTCAGTTGATTGTTGGCTCAGAGGATTTCGATATACGAGTTTTCCGAGAAGATGAAATTATTGCTGAGATGACAGAAACAGAGGTGATGATTATGCACCCATATATATATATATATGGCATCTAACAATAGACTACCGGGTACATATAAATGACTTATGTTCATTTTAGGGCTACCAATGGGGTATTCATTTTTATCTTAATCTAAAGCAGAATGTAAATGTTTCTGTTGTTTTTTACCTGAATACATAAAACTGTCTTGACACAGTTTGTCACTGGTGAACTGATAAGGCCATATCTCAAGACTGATTTCCTGTCTTATGTGCTGAAGATAAAACATGTTTTTTTAGGCTGTTACATCACTGTGTCCAATGACTGACAGTCGGTTTGGCTATGCTCTGGCTAATGGGACAGTGGGTGTGTATGACAGGACAGCTCGGTACTGGAGGATTAAGGTTAGTATGCCTGTGTGTGCAGGCACTGTGTGAATGTCACAGGTTTCTTGTCTTTGTTTAGGACAGTGCTCAGCAACATTCCAGCTGTGTGACAGCTCTTATGATAAGAGGGCATTGGTGGCCCAGTTGTCTTAGGGGTTGCAATACGCAGAAACCTATGATCGTGGGTTCGAATCACAGTTCACCTCAGTTGTTTCTAGGTTTGTCAGCACCAGACCCGTGCTCATGGGTTTCACCAATGTGGTAAATGCCTGAGACCTGTATCACTTCGGGCTTTCCTCTCACATTAAGCTGACATGCCGTGATAAGGCTGGAATACTGTTAAAAGCGGTGTTAAACCCAACTCATTCACATATATAAAACAGCTCGACGTAACTTATGTAACAGAAGTGTCTATGGGTTGCTAATAATGTTTGACATGATCAAGTTGTTTAAAGTGGTAATAGTATGTGGCATTGGGAGAAGGTACTCAGTACATGTTTGAATATGATTTTAGTCAAAGAACCAGGCGATAGCCATCCACAGCTTCGACCTTGACTCAGATGGGGTCCCAGAACTCATCACTGGCTGGAGTAATGGCAAGGTGAGGACAACCAGCCTCATTAACTAGAGAAGTGTTCTTACCTTAACCTGGTATCATTAACAGAGAGAGACATAATCATTCAATAATTATCATTGTGCATCAGGTTGATGCCCGGAGTGACAGGACAGGGGAGGTCATCTTCAAGGACAACTTCAGCACAGCAGTTGCTGGCATTGTGCAGGGGGATTACAAGATGGACACAATGGCCAACTCGGAGCAGCTCATCTGTGTGTCTACAGACGGAGAAGGTAGCAGCATCAGCTCACTACAGACACTCCGATGCAGTGATCACTTAACATTACACCACTGTCACAGGCTATTTTACATATCATTTGACCGGACATTTCTCTTGATTGTAAACAAACTCGCTTATACTAAAATCAGTACAAACTGGTTTAATGCAAGCCTTTCGGTGCTCTTTACATATTGTTTTGATTAATTATATAGATATGCTACTACAACAGCAACAGTGAGGTACATGACAACATATATCTATACACCAAAGTGACCCTGTCGCTAGCTCTTCCAAGGGCTTTGGTTGTACAGCTCCATGTGCTGTCATCAATGTAAATAAAGGACAACTACGCAAAGTTTTTCACATTTTCGTTTATTTTCTCATTGACGGTTAACCATTTTATGACATGTTTATCAAGATGTGTAGACTTGTCGAAAATTAAAGAGATGAAAAATACATGCGATATCTTGAAGGACTGTGTAAGATGTTCTGTCATTTGTGTGGAGAAGTTCTGATTATTTCCTTCAATTTGAGAGTGAGTTTGGTTTCATGCTGCTTGGTGAATGAACAATGTTTCAGTAACATCACAACATGTCCATGTGGGAGGAAAGTCATGCAAGTCAGATAGTTACCATATAGGTGTTTGAGGTGGTAGCAAAATCTAAGAGTGTCGTAATTAAAACTAAAGATGTATGTAATGGTGTCAGACTAATATCTAGTCTCTGAAAGGAACATATTTTACAAAGAAAATAGTTGTTAAATTATCTTAATACAATGTAATACAAAGGATCCCAGAGACTCTTCATTAATCTAGTAGATTTGCCCACTAATATAGACTTGCATGGGCTATGTTGGATATATTTGTTTCAGGGTCAGTATGACAGACTAGTAATGGTGTGTATTTTCAGTGCGAGGGTACAATCCAGCTCCGGAGGACATGGGTGGGAACTTGATGGACACAAATATTGAGCAGGACACAATCCGAGAGCTAAGTCAGAGGAAACAGGTGATCATTGTGTCATGAAATGCTTGTTCACTGTGAACAAGTTTACAATCCTTGTTCCTTGTTGGCAGCATGCCAGGTTCACTCCTGTATACTGAAATTGTAGTTGGAATACACATGCTTCAGCTGAGTTGATATATTTTATAAATGAAACTTGAATTTTCTTAAAAGACAGAAACGTTATTCTGCCAAGAGCTTTGCCTTTGAATTTTAAGTTTTCCCCCTGTTTGTCCAATCAAATAGGTTAATCTGTTAAAAACTGCAAAACAGTTTAATTTTTGTGTGAACTTGCCCTTGGATAAAATGTATGTTATTTTGAAAAGGGGAATTTATCTCTTCACAGAATTTGCTGTTGGAGCTGCGGAACTATGACGAGAACATGAAGACTGCTGCTCAGGGAGTGACTGCCGCCTCTGCCGCTGCTAGTGCCACCTCAATAGCTAAAGTTGGCAAAGTTGGCGCCAAGATTGGGGAGTACGAAAGCTCTCAGATGGGAGTCATTCCGGTAGGACTTCACTTCGGTGATGACGTTTAGTAATTACCAGGATTACATCTTAAACGGGACAGTGTATTTCCCATGATAATGTTTTTGATATTCTTGGCAATGTCCCCAGATATAACTCATTTATTATTGAAGGACCCAAGCCTTACTGTGTGGACATACTTTTGATGACAACAGGTGTTTGGCCAGACCGACTATATTTCTTGTAATTGCAGATGTATTTTACCACAAGGCTCTGTTGCTCACCTGAAATTTTCAGAAATATTATGTTATCTCGGAAAGGTCATACAGGGGTACAGCCTTGTTCCCTGGGTATGCTGCTTACACTGACCCAGGCAATGACCGCCTCCACTAGACAAACAAACATGGCATGTATTTACTTTAGAAAAACGCTAGAACGGGTGGTTAAAATCTTTTCTTAGCATTTTCATAAATGCTCTTGCAATGTATAGTATACGTCACAAAAATAAAGTCCATTGTTACTTTTAGTGAAGGAAAACATTATTTAGGCTGTTTTGAGACTCAAAAGTGGTCGTCACATCGGTGAAATGTAAACAATGGCACCCACCCCATTTTCAACAGTGATATGTGCGTTAATATTTCGTGTCAGCTTACTGTTGTCACGAAATCGCACACATAATACATGGAATTAAACGACCACATTAATGAAATACCGTGAGCATCTTTATTTTAGCAAATTTGATGACGCAATTGCAGACTTTTAGTCAGGTGAGCTAAAAACTGACACCAGATTTACTTGGATCAATTACAAGGGATAAAAGGATAAAAAAAGACATTATAAAAATACCTCTCTATGTCAAATGTTTTTGTTTTGTGTGATTCAACAACGGTCTTGAATGAAAGTTAAAACAATGCTACCAGACATGGGTGTACTTTTGATTAAACACATTGTTCATGATAACTAGGATAGGGTCATTCAACAAGGAATGAAGTTGGTGTGGTCTTATGATGTGTTATTGCTGCTTGCTGTGGGTGTGGCATCACTCCTGCAGACACTCACGGCAATCAGCGTTAAGACACCATCAGACACTGGTGTTCACTTGGAGGTTTGGTTGTCCCCAGGCCAACACCCAGCTGCAGACTACCCTGGCCGTCTTCCCAGGAGAGGAGGGCAAACTTGTGAGTATATACCCTGGTATTAAGTCAAGCTGCCTTATCATTGAATGTCAAGTCAACTTTGAATCTTAGCAGTTACTCCAAAACACATACACTGTAACGTGTGCAGCCATTGAGTGTCTTACATATTTTCATGACTGCTTATCTCCCTTGACAGAAATGGTTCCCAATACACAATGCTTGTCCTATAGAAGCTCACACAAGTGGGTATCAGGTGGTTCAGACCTGGCTTATTTGGCGTGGAATCTTGATCATGATATCAACCACCTATCCCAAGCCATATTACTAGTATTATTTAAAAGTCGTTGTGTAACATTCACTCACTCACTCACTCACTGTAATGATTATTGCTGAAATGGGTACCTAAATTAGACCTTGAGTACTCATGTACTCGACAAGTTGGCAGTAGCTGAGCCTTATATGGCGTGGCCCCCCCCCCCAAAAAAAATTAATTAAAATAATCCCAAATCCAGCACAATTTACCCTGTATTTGTCCTTTGAAAGTTACCTTTTTAATGACTTTCAGAAAATCTAAGAAAATCTGCAAATACCACATACATTCATAAATATATTGCATATATTATGTCACATGCTGAAGTAACCACAAACACCAATTTAGTTTATAAAGATTCCCTCCCCCCCTTAAGTTATGTTTAAACCCCAATAACAATATATAAATGTAAACTTATTCCAATTTAACTAAAACAAATAACTAAACTAGCTTGCTTTACTTATCCTAGCCTACTTCTTCTATTACGAATCTCCTACTACCAACAACTCTAATACCTACTACTAACAATACTACTATCACGATACTACTATACTAATACGAATAGTCTACTTTAACAATACTAACACAACACTAACACTAATGCTCTACTTCTACAATACTAACATGATAACCATACTTGTGTCCTAATAATAACAAAACTAATACAATGACACAATGAATTAATGACAGCATGAATGTACAAATATACAAAAACAAGAATGCCATTCCCCTGTCTTTCACAGTAGCTTTATACATAAGCTTGTCCAGTTTCTAATGTCACTGTACTATTACAGTTCACAAGAGGACACTGCCTCTGTGTAGTGAATGTGGGGATCTTCACACCCAGGCGATGGTTCCCCCACGGAGTTGAGGGTGCCTGTGTTACTTGTATGTCACAGATGTGTTCATCCTATGTTATGCACTGCCACAGAGATACTTCTCTCCTTACGAAGTGTCAGAGATACTTCTCTCCTCACGTAATGTCGGAGATAATCCTCTCCTTACTTAGTGTCGGAGATACTTCTCTCCCTACATAGTGACGGAGATACTTCTCTCCCTACATAGTGTCGGAGATACTTCTCTCCTCACGTAATGTCAGAGATACTTCTCTCCTTACGTAATGTCGGAAATACTTCTCTCCTTATGTAATGTTGGAGATATTTCTCTCCTTACGTAGTGCCAGAGATACTTCTCTCATTGCTTTATGTCAGAGATACTTCTCTCCTTACGTAGTGTCGGAGATACTTCTCTCCTCACGTAATGTCAGAGATACTTCTCTCCTTACGTAATGTCGGAAATACTTCTCTCCTTATGTAATGTTGGAGATATTTCTCTCCTTACGTAGTGCCAGAGATACTTCTCTCATTGCTTTATGTCAGAGATACTTCTCTCCTTACGTAGTGTCGGAGATACTTCTCTCCTCACGTAATGTCAGAGATACTTCTCTCCTTACATAATGTCGGATATACTTCTCTCCTTACTTGACTATGAGCATAACCGCCCAGTTCCGGGACACCTTAATATAATATTAGCAAATTTAGTCACTTCGGTACGTGTCAATACCTTACAATACATACACCAATAAGTCAATACTCCGATTTACATTACACTGAGTGGAACTTTTTATGCTTTAATCATATTTTGGGTTGTTTTTTAAAGTGGTTTCTCATTGTAATAATATTCATTATTACATCTAAAAACAATATATAACTTAAAATTCTATCCTTAAAAAATACAATCCTACATGAAACAAATAAATGCAAAAACTTACACCAACCAGAGTGAAAAACTTCCACAATGTCAGTCCATTCCTTGTCTGAACAATATACCGGTACTCATTCTGCCTGACTGTGACAATTATTGCCCTGCCCTGCTATTTAAACTTTCCCCCATTACCCAAGCTACCCCTGACCTCCCCATTGTTACACCAATTAACTTCCCAGCTATCAGTCTTACCCAGTCATGCTTCCCTGAATCTAACCTGTTCCCAGAGTATTACCCGACAGTATCTAAACTTAATATACTAATTTAACCATACCATAATACCTCTATCTGAAGTATTTCACATTTAATTAATATATATACAAGATTATCTGTGATCTTGACATGTTAAGTAACACATGGGGTGTGGGGGAGGATTATTGACAGGGAAACTATTTATTTTATCACACACTTTGTAAAGTCAACCTTCAAGCAGGTTGTTGGTCAATGTTTTTTCAGACAACTGTACCTTTTTAGCAATTCACACTTTTACTTGATAATTAATGTGTGTTTGTCAATGATAGTGGAATGAATATGACCTTCTTCCATCTGGTTAAATAGTCCAAAATAAATGATAAACAAAAGCTGTTGTTTTTATCAAATTACCAACATCATAAATTTTTAATGTCCATCAGAACAGCCTTCCTTGTAAAATCTGTATACTGGCATCACCTGTTAATGTTATAAAGCCAGTATGGCCACTACAGGGTATGACTGCTTGAGTGAATGAATAAAACATGTAAAAAAAAACAGAATTCTGTATCTATTTACTATATTTACGTTACTTTGTACAACCTGTTTTCTTGTAATAAAGAATCATAAAAAAAGAGTAAATCGAGTATACCATCAGTTTGGAGCGCAATTCTCTGAGTGCAGTAGTTACAAATGTTTTGTTTTCAGGTGGTTCTTCATTGTGGAGCAAATCGTGCATTTAGTTATATTTTCACATTTGCCACTCAGTTAAAGGGTAATTGTCCACCATGGCTGCTAAGCAAGGGAGATAATAAAGGGAACAAGGGAGATAATTGTATGGGTACTGGCGTTACAATTTACTACTCATGAAGCTATCTTACTTGACTCATACTTGTGCACCTGGGTTTCAGTCCAAGTCGTAATTACTTGTATTAGTTTGTTCCTTCTATAATTTCAGCCTCATGTTGAGTTGATCATCAGCACAACCAATGGTAAGTTGGAAAATAACAGATTGAGACTGATATATGCTGAAGGTTAAGGGACAATAACTATCTACTGGTACTGTGTGTTGTGTTGCTGAATCTTGAGGTCAACATGTTTGTACTCCAGAGACTTACAAGTGTATTTGCCTTTGTCTCACCTCCTCCTGTAGCCCTGGCTTGAACATCCACCCAATTTTCAGCACTGTGCCAGTTTGATGGCCTTCTGTCTGTTTCCAGATACAGTCATCAAAGCAGTGCTTATATTTGCTGAGGGAATCTTTGAAGGAGAAAGTCATGTTGTGTAAGTACAGATGCTTCAAGACATTAGTGTGATGGAAAATGTCATCATCATCATCATCAATTGTAAACAACAGTGCACAGACATGATTATATATCTTTATTGGTACAAAGGCCATGGGCCCATGCACATACATTCAGCAGGATTCATGTTACACTGACAGATGGGTATACACGTTAAGTTTACAAATGGACATTTCTGAAAGTCAGAGCATCTCCAACAAACTTTGCAAAATTCAGTAATATATTCTATCTATTACAAGAAAATAACTTTGAATTTACGCATGTTCAAGTTATTCCAATTAAAATCAGGTATATATTTTGATCTCACAGCAGTGAAATATGAGCATACCACTATGAAGTAATACTCATCTTCAAGTCCTCCCAGGGGCGGTCGGGTAGCCTTGTGGTTAAAGCGTTTGCCCATCATGCTGAAGACCCGGGTTCGATTCCCGACATGGGTACAATGAGTGAAGCCCATTTCTGGTGTCTCCCGCCGTGATATTGCTGGGATATTGCTAAAAGCGGCGTAAAACCAAACTCACTCACTCAAGTCCTCCCAGCATGTACAGAGTTGCAATGAGCAATACCACTTCGTCTTCCAACACTTATCCTTGATAGCAGTTCCTCAATTCTTAATAAACATGAAAGTCTATATGTTCACTAACTATGAATGTACAAACGTAGTACTCATAATAGTAGAGATGATGCACTGACATTACCCTATTTGGTGACATATTACATGAACTGAGGAATATTACAAGGTACATTAAGACATTGTTAGAAGTAAACAACAATATATTCACTATCCCTGATACATGTAATGTAGTGAAAGTATGGCTAGCTACACAGACTAGTAGCCAGAGGTAAACACAGAAGACTGTTAAGTGGTTCATGTGATGGGAGAGTGAACACAGACTCTGCTTCCAGTCACCCAAGCACCAACTGTCTGTCAGGGAATCTCAAAGTCCCCATCGTCCCACCGAAAGACGTCCCAGTGGATCTGCACATCAAGGCTCTTGTAGGCTACAAAATCAGGTACTGCATGCAGGGAATGAATGTTACACTCTGAAGACAACTAGTATTCCAGTTTGATGTGCATTTCATTTGTCTCTGGGAGTTCTTGACAAAAATGTTACATGTGTGAGGGGGCATGCTAAGACCAATCTCACTGCCCCCATCTTATGATAAATGACCAGTATAAATATATTATAAATTATTAAGATACATGTATAATAGACTATAAGTATTCTTTTAAGGGTTGGTGGAATATGTTTCAGTGTTGGCAGCTAATTCATGTCCAGCATCAGCATTATAGTGGGTAAATCCTTCATGTTTCAGCTCACAGTTCCATGTGTTTGAGTTGAGTCGGCAGTTGCCACGGTTTTCAATGTATGCGTTCTGTGAAACATCAGTCCCAGAACCAAAGAGCTCTGTCACCCTACAAGTGAATGACAGAATACCAAGGGTAGGCCCATCTCAAACAAGATTGTTTTGTTATTAAACAATGTTATGACACAACAGTGATTTCATCAGATTGAAATGTAACCTAATTGTTTCTTATCCTGACACAACATATTGCAATTTCCTTCTTCACTTCACTCATATAACACAGAACCCAAACGTGCATCTTCTACATCCAGGATGCCCCTTGCCCTTGGTTACCAATCTGTTCTTGATCCTTCACTTTCATTCTCATGGCACAAGAGGATACACAGCTGATGGAGTTTGGGGAAATATTACCTGAGACGTTGGTTTGAAGGTGACCTTGCCTTGTCGCAACTCATGCTAAGTTCCTCAAGTTGATCAAACATTCTTGTTCTTTCAATGCAGTCGTCAACGGACAAGGGGACAGTACATCAACAGGCTGGAAAATTCTGGCAGTAGCTGGTTATTCTAGTGATGCTTCAGTTTGTGTGCAAGGGAGATAATAAATTATGTCTCTCCAATCGAAGTGTGGTTATCACTGTGAGAGGCATGCGAGACCCTTTGCAGTTAATATAACGTTGGGAATGACGACAAGAACATAGGAAAGAGTTCTTAAGGATTTGATACTGGTTTGACACAGATAGGTGTGTAAGCCACCGGCAACTGGAAAAATTGGAGAGGATGTCTATAGCGACCACCCAACCGTGCCACACTACATCAACAAGATAGTGTTAAGACACTCCAGTCATACGTTTGGCAGAACATTACAGTTCTACTGGTTAATAGACAGTGGGCTGCTGGAGGCCGAGGCTCAACACGTCCCAACGTCCTGTCAAGCAGCACCAGTCAACTCCAACAGAATGGCAACTTCATCCGAGTCCAGAGTTCACACAGATTTGAAAAGTGCTTGAATTTTACCATGTCTGATGAAAAGTGCTTGAGTGACATTTTACCATCTAATTACTGAAGTTTTATTAACAGTTCTTGAAAGTGCTGGAATGTAAGTGTAATCAGTCTACCTGTAGCAAAATTGCTTCAGAAAATTATTATGAATCACATTTTAATGAGTTGTTTACATCCTGTTGTTTACAACATAAAGACTGTCTTCTGTCTATTATGGCTCATGTGCATTAATTCCTTTACGCATTGTATTACTGAATATAGTTGAAGACTGGTTCCCGTTCCTTTGACGGACCAAGCGGAGGATCCGGGAAGCAGTCAAATTGTGTTTGTCATGGGGAAGTTTGGTACTTTGAAACCCAAGCTCAATTACAAACGATGGATGTGTGAAACAAAGACAGAAATTAAAGTCGCAAAGACAAAGCAGTCATCACCGGAAAAACTGTAGGTCCTTATTGGGATTAAACTTACAGGGTTTGGACATTGTTAAACGAGAAATCATTAAAAACATTTTTTATTGAAAAGAGCATAAAAAGTGCTTGAGTCCAAAGGCCTGTATGAACTCTGGAGTCTGCTTTGGTTGATGTGTCAACAGCTGGATGCACCCAACATCAAACTGGGCGCTACAAGATACAACCACAAGTTCATGTCAATCTCGGATCCACTGACCTGGGTTCACAATGTGCTGGCCATATCTTGATGAAGTCTCCATTCCTACACCTTTCCACCAGCCAGCACTACTACCTATAGTCCTCACAACATGAAATCGAATAACAAAATATCATGATGATTAACAGTGATTAAGTGATGAAGATAGCTGCATGTGTGCTAGTACTTATAAAGTGAAAACAAGCCATTTCACCGATAAGGAATATTACTTACTGTAATGCCAAACATTGCTAAGTGTGCTTTTCAAGAAATATCCAACTTGCTTGCGATAAATTAAATCATTGAGTTACTATCCGGGTAATCCTTGACAGTCAGCATTCAAACATTCATTACTGGCATCTCCTGTGGTTTTAACAGATATTGCTCTTATGTCACACTGTGTCACATTGTACATTCTGAGGGATTGTTGTTATTCGCTACATCTTGGAAGTACCAATCCTCAGGACTTCACATATCGATAGCTCCTTAGCTACTCTTTCCTAGGGCCCGTGAAGATCTGGGGTAGAATAGGTCTTCAGCAACCCATGCCTACCTTAACAGGCGCCTAATGGGATCGGGTGGTCAGTCTCGCTGACTTGGTTGATGCATGTCATCGTATTCCAATAGATCGATGTACATGATATCAACTGGATTGTCTGGTTCAGACTCGATTATTTACAGACCACTGTCGTATAGGTGGAATGTTGCTGAGTGCGGTGTAAACAACAAACAAACAAAACTCTTTCTTAGACTACATGTCTTTGGGTGACTTTTGGCTGTCAGATTATCAAGCTCTTTTTGATACATGATACAACACTGTGGCTGCAACCGCATCACTTGGCAATGTTTTTGCATTGAGCGTTCAGATTGTTGTTACAAGCTACTGCTCAGAGTTGGCCAGATACTTCCCTTGTGTCACAAAGTGTCACAGTATATGTTCTGAGGAATTGCTGGGCCCTCCTTGCTATTTACTACAACTTGGATGTTCTGATCCTCTGAGCTTCATTACAAGCTGCTGGTAACTGGTTGCCCAATATTTCCCTTGAGTCATATAGAGTCACAATAAATACTCTAAGGGATTGCTGAAATCTTGCTCCTATTCACAACAACTTGAAGATCTGATCCTGCCAAGCATCATTGCAGCTGCTGCTCAGTGTTTGCCAGATATTTCCCTTGGATCACATAGTATCACAATATATGTTATTTAGATCCTATTGGCTTATCAGAAGCTACAGGTACTCGACCAGGGAGCATAGCTTTTCATGTTAGAGTAAGGATGTGACAGGTGATACAGGATTAGTGTAGAAGGCGCTCACTGAGCATAGTCTAATCCAGATGTAATCCGGCGCTGGTTACCTTTATCTGTGGGCTAAACTTTGCATTATGTTGTGTTAGGATATGCATCCTAATATCATGAATATCCAAATTCATGTAATTTTAGATCCTCACATGCCAATATTCAAATCATCCATGATTTTGTTTCTTGAATGGATAGAATATACTTGGTTTGTCTGGTCAAGTAACATGTTTATTTCAATCGAGGGATAAGGGCATTGCACAGATGCACTGAGCATGTTCAACAAGTAAGCCCAAATGTTCCACTTATCATGTATTTTTTCACCCTTGTTAACCTAATGAAATATAAAACACTGGGGCGGAGTGGAAGGGGCTCGCTCTTAACATGCTTAAAGTGTTTCGCTCACTGATGATGTTGATTTTATATTCAGATAAATATGATATATTATTTGTTGTAAAGGGATGAGAAAGGTGTAGGAAGTCACTTTAATGTTAAATCACCCAATCTCATTAAAATCAGATCTTAGTTTTCGCTACCGCTAAACAAAGATCTAAGGACATCCCATTATGTGTCACGTCAGAACGACCTTTCGTGAATTTTGACCAACCAATGAAATGACTGACAAGAAATCGACATTAGCCAATCAGAAGGCAGCTTTCTCAAGCTTGACGACACTAGTTTCAAACTGGCGACTACTCATTCGAAACATATTTTGACGTATTCTCGATTAAAAAAATTGAAACTGATAAGAAGAGCATTCTGGAATGGCTTATAGATGGCCTAGATTGTAAAGATAAAATCATAAAACCCGTAACTGTCGTTGGGAATACCCCGTGTTAAAATATGCATGATTAGAAAACACATTCCGACTGTCACTTTCATGACCTGGTAAGCGACGCTCTGATTGGTTGGATGAAAGGTCGTTCTGACATGACCCTCAATGGGATGTCCTCAGATCTTTGTTTAGTGATAGCGAGAACTAAGATCAGATTTTAATGAGATTGTTAAATCATCTAAACTGGAACTATATTTGCCCGCAGCTGCTGATGTGGATCAACCAGAACTTTCTACTGCATGAAGACTTGACTTGTGAAGATGATCTCGAGGTCGCCTTCATGTGTCTACGTGGTGGAGGACCACTCTTCATCAGGATGAATCAGACTGGACAGGTGAGTCACACCTGCATGTGTCTACCTGGTGGAGGACCACTCTTCATCAGGATGAATCAGACAAGACAGGTGAGTCACACCTGCATGTGTCTACCTGGTGGAGGACCACTCTTCATCAGGATGAATCAAACAAGACAGGTGAGTCACACCTGCATGTGTCTACCTGGTGGAGGACCACTCTTTATCAGGATGAATCAGACAAGACATGTTACTCACACCTGCATGTGTCTACGTGGTGGAGGACCACTCTTTATCAGGATGAATCAGACAAGAGAGGTGAGTCACACCTGCATGTGTCTACGTGGTGGAGGACCACTCTTTATCAGGATGAATCAGACAAGACAGGTGAGTCACACCTTCATGTGTCTACCTGGTGGAGGACCACTCTTTATCAGGATGAATCAGACAAGACAGGTGAGTCACACCTGCATGTGTCTACCTGGTGGAGGACCACTCTTTATCAGGATGAATCAGACAAGACAGGTGAGTCACACCTGCATGTGTCTACCTGGTGGAGGACCACTCTTTATTAGGATGAATCAGACTGGACAGGTGAGTCACACCTTCATGTGTCTACCTGGTGGAGGACCACTCTTTGTCAGGTTGAATCAGACAAGACATGTGAGTCACACCTGCATGTGTCTACGTGGTGGAGGACCACTCTTTATCAGAAGAATCAGACTGGACAGGTGAGTCACACCTGCATGTGTCTACCTGGTGGAGGACCACTCTTTATCAGGATGAATCAGATAAGACAGGTGAGTCACACCTGCATGTGTCTACGTGGTGGAGGACCACTCTTTATCAGAAGAATCAGACTGGACAGGTGAGTCACACCTGCATGTGTCTACCTGGTGGAGGACCACTCTTTATCAGGATGAATCAGATAAGACAGGTGAGTCACACCTGCATGTGTCTACCTGGTGGAGGACCACTCTTTATAAGGATGAATCAGATAAGACAGGTGAGTCACACCTGCATGTGTCTACATGGTGGAGGACCACTCTGTATTAGGATGAATCAGATAAGACAGGTGAGTCACACCTGCATGTGTCTACCTGGTGGAGGACCACTCTTTATCAGGATGAATCAGATAAGACAGGTGAGTCACACCTGCATGTGTCTACATGGTGGAGGACCACTCTTTATCAGGATGAATCAGACAAGACAGGTGAGTCACACCTGCATGTGTCTACCTGGTGGAGGACCACTCTTTATCAGGATGAATCAGACAGATGGAATACAGATAAATAAAAACATTTGTTGTCCTTTCCCATTCAACCATGTTTCATCAAATATTTGTTAACATATCCGACAAAAGTGGCTGAAACGGACATAAAATATTCAGAAAAGAACTTTGCTTAAAGCATATAAATGGAGGAAATGTCAGGAAAGTTTTCTGTTGACTTAATTCACATCTTGAATGGTTAAGATGGCAACATGTGAAAAGTGTATATGTATGATACTCTGACACTTGTTAGTGAAAAGAAGAGGTGTATCATATAAAACAAAGAAACTAAAAGTGGACTGTAAGTGGGCTAGAAATGACAATTCAGTAGTAGTGAGTGAGTGTGTTGGGTTTAACGCCGCTTTTAACAGTATTCCAGTTATATCGTGGCGTGTCAGCTTGATGTGGGAGGAAAGCCCTAAGTGATGCAGGTCTCAGACGTTTATCACTTCGGTGAAACCCACGAGCACGGGTATGGTGCTGACAAACCTAGAAACATAATCGGGGCAAACCGGGATTCGAACCCACAATCATAGGTTTTTGGCGTGCCCAAGAGACGCAACTCTGCACAGCGAATCGCGGCGCCTTAGATGACTGGGCCACCCGTGCCCCCCAATTCAGTAGTAATACAAAAATAGTAAATAATAAAAATGAACAGAAAAGACAAACAGGAGTGAAACCCGCAGACAAAAAATTTGGTATGTGTTTGAATGGTTTCCATGGTTTCATCAGTGTTCTCCTGGTGGATTGAGATTTGGCTGCCAAGGGACAGGAGCATTCATGTGCACTCTTGTAACTGGGGATGAGGGTTGGATCGCGTGTGATGTGACAGACATGAAGTAAGATAGATCCACTGATAGCTGTTGGAGACAGTTGAGGCAAGTGAGGATCTTGTTGCAGATTGTGATTAAGACAGACAACATGGACCTGGCTGGCGACATCATCCAGGCTCTGGCCGTCTTCCTCAACTTGGAGGACCTCATGTCCACAGCAGACTTCCCCGTGGAGATGGAGAGTCTGGAGCAGATCCTCAAGAAGGTTCACACACTCATTCTCTCTAACCGGTTTAGTATTTAGGTTAATGTTAAACAATTAAACAGGAAATTCTAGGTTGCCTAAAACATGTAGACCAACTCACTGTAGGTCAACCAACCATTGCTAATCTGTTTGTCATCAAAGTTTACATTTTCCAGACCTTTTTTGACACCATGAGCCTAGGTTAGCACATCATTGTTTATCACTATACATGCTACAAGGAAATTCACGTTGTTTCAACTTTATCTAATAAAGATTATTTTTAATCGAATAACTAAAAGCTTTTGAGGGCTGAAACTGTATTTGAAGGTATCTAAGGTCAAGGGTCCTCAGTCAACGATGATCGTCATACATGATGTTTAGAAAGAACATATTTGGGTTCTTGGACTTTGCAAGAATTGAAAAACAACCTAACTTGCTGCAATTCGGTAATATAGTTGATGGTCCTGTGTCCCAGGTTAATGAGTACCACTCAGTGAGACAGAAACTGACAGCAGAGATGGCCGATCACTCTAACCTCATCCGCAGCATGGTCGTCAGGGCAGAAGATGCTCGCATTATGGGAGACATGTAAGACCTATACTTATAGCCTGCCAGGGTTACCAGATGCAGAATATTGCATCCTTTATGCATACAAGTAAAGATAATATTGCAAGGCCTGTGGCAAACAGAAACATAAACCTTTTTTGATGCTTTCATGCTTCATAGGACTACTATAGAAATTAGCATTTAGCTAATGTGGATGATGTATGCTGTGTGTCATGTGTCCAATTAATGTTGATTGTTTTCATAAGTTGTGTGGTGATCAGAGTGCAATACAATAGACTTGGTGCAAACCTGTGTGTGTTTGTGTGGTGATCAGAGTGCAATATAACAGACTTGGTGCAAACCTTTGTGTGTTTGTGTGGTGATCAGAGTGCAATACAACAGACTTGGTGCAGACCTTTGTGTGTTTGTGTGTTGATCAGAGTGCAATACAACAGACTTGGTGCAAACCTTTGTGTGTTTGTGTGGTGATCAGAGTGCAATACAGTTGTCTTGGTGCAAACCTTTGTGTGTTTGTGTGGTGATCAGAGTGCAATACAGTAGACTTGGTGCAAACCTTTGTGTGTTTGTGTGTTGATCCGAGTGCAATACAACAGACTTGGTGCAAATCTTTGTGTGTTTGTGTGGTGATCAGAGTGCAATACAGTAGACTTGGTGCAGACCTTTGTGTGTTTGTGTGCCAGGAAGAGCATGAGGAAAGGCTATATGGAGCTGTTTGACCTGAACCAGGACCTGATCAATGGGTACAAGATACGCTGTGGCAACCACCAGGAACTTGTGTCGTGTCTGAAGCAGGTCAACCAGATCATACAGAAGGCCGGGAGGCTGAGAGGTAGGAGGCTGCAGAATGCAACTTGTGTGTCCATCATGTAAGCCAGCCCAGGTGGTCAAATGCTCCTCAGAATTATACACTGATGTACTGATGCATCACAAACCTACCTCACGATACAATACATGATTCCCCCACAATGGACCATATGTTAATTCTGGATTGATTTTCAAAATTTGATTTTTACACAGATTTGCATTTGCACCAATAACTACACACACTAATTTTTTTTCTAATGGCCTATCATGAAACATCATGTTAAACCTTGTTGCACAATGGTGTATGGAGTAGCCTTACTTAAGCTGTCCTTTGAGTTGGTTGTTAGCAATTACCTCTTATCAGACAGACCACTTGCAACATGCAGAACATAGAGAAATTTCACACAAAACAATGCAAATTGTATGTTGCCCAGGAATAGCAACACGTATCATGACTTGTGAGGTAGCCATATCTCCTCTCAGATGGGGGGGGGCACGGGTGGCCCAGTTGTCTAAACCCAACTCACTCACTCACTCACTCCTCCCAGATGGTCATGGCTACTAGAGATTAACAAATAACTTGGACAAATCACTGAAAGGTATGTTCTGTGGTTGTCAGATTCTGATACTGTATTGAGGATAATATTCCTGGATCCGTAGACAACATGGAGGATAGATCTTCCGGTGGTTGTCAGATGCAGTACCTTATTGAGAGATAATATTCCTGTAACATGCAGGATAGATCCCCTTGTTCACGAGGCATCTCTCAATGTATGTTCTTAATCTCTTACACCTTTCAAGGAAAGATTTCAGATTGACTTGTCATATTAAATTTGTTTTCCAGTGGGCAAATACAAGACACAGATTGTAAATGCCTGTCGAGCAGCTATAAAAAATGACAACATTAATGGACTGTACAAGATCATTCGGGCAGGAGCAGCTTAATATGCATCACAGTGCCATCATCAACAACAGCAACAACAACAACAGAGTGGCATATCAGAATTTTCAGTAAGCAGGAATGTGTTGATAACCAGTGACAGAGTGTTTTCTGAACAGCTGTGTCTGTCAGCAGTACTGGTAATATTAACAGATGGCTCTGTCAACAGCAGTGTCTGTTAGCAGTACTGGTAATATTAACAGATGGCTCTGACAACAGCAGTGTCTGCAGAGTGATCCATCAACAGCGATGTCAACTTAGCTCCATCAACAGCAGTGTCTATACAGAGCTCTGTAAACAGCAGCATCAACTGTGATAAGTACTATTTTGAAACTATCTGCTTATGAGTACAAGAATTATTTGATACTGCTATTACTTTGTGGACTTTGTGAGTCATCAGCACAGATTGGATGGAGTGAGGACACTGCTTCTTCTTGAACAAACAAGATCACTGATGCAGAATTGCAGGTCAATGTACACACTGTACATACTAAAACCCCACATCAATGTTAAGGGGACAAGACATATTCCCAACATTACCATGGTGTGATAGATGTTAATGTATTGTTTATAGAACACTATCTTCATCCTTGTTAGGGACTGATACCATATCCAGTAAGATGCATGACACCCAGGGTGCTTTCTCCAGGTGAAGATAACCTGGCATTGCATTTTCAAGCCATTTTAAGGAAATGTGTCAAGTGAGAATGTGTCAATATGTTTGTGGATTGATCCTGTGTACACAAATTGTTTTCAGACATCTTTTGAATTCAAGGTATGTTTTGGTTTGTGGGTAAGAAAATTACTCAGAAGTTGTTACATCATTTATCCCCAACATTTTAGTGGCATAACCGAGCAGTCAGGCTCAGTGTTATACCAATAGGACATTTCTGACTTCTTTCTCCATAAGATGTTTACATATTATTCTGTTACTCTTGAAATACAACATGTATGTATCACAACAACAGACTGAAAGAACTACTTGCATCAGTATTGTATGATGTGTTCATTAATCTGGGAATCAATTGATGTTTTAATTGGTTGAAATATTGATTTCAATTATTATCAATGACACAACATCTCCAAGTTACATTTCTTCAACATGTATGTTGTGCAATTGTTGATATAGAAACATGTATGTCACAATGTCCAGTGTATTTTTTCTGTCTATATTTTGATATTGTACAAACTGCACAACAATGATTCCGTCCTCATGCTCATGCCTCGTGTTTTGGTTTCTCCAGTATCGTCACACAAGATGTCTTTAGATGGATCTTAACCCTGAGGGGAATCTTGGTAAGAATATACGTCCCCATCAATCTTATAGATGTGTCAGGTGGTTGTACATTGTTGACTGTCATCGTATCCCAATTGGGTGGATTAATGCTAATGATGTCAATGACTGGATTGTCTGGTCAAGATTATTTACAGACAGCGGTCATATAGCTGGAATATTGCTGAGTGTGGTATTAAACAACAAACAAAAATGAATCTGATACTTATATAGATGAGACATGTTTACAAGAAAGATGTCCATCTTATACATAAGGAATGTTTGGAAACCATTACAAGAAGGATGTCCATCTTATACATAAGGAATGTAAGGAAACCATTACAAGAAGGTTGTCCATCTTATACATAAGGAATGTTAGGAAACCATTACTAGAAGGATGTCCATCTTATACATAAGGAATGTCAGGAAACCATTACTAGAAGGATGTCCATCTTATACATAAGGAATGTTAGGAAACCATTACAAGAAGGTTGTCCATCTTATACATGAGGCATGTTAGGAAACCATTACAAGAAGGATGTCAATCTTATACATAAATAATGTAAGGAAACCATTACAAGAAGGTTGTTTATCTTATACATAAGAGTGACAAGGAAACCATTACAAGAAGGATGTTTATCTTATACATGAGGCATGTTAGGAAACCATTACAAGAAGGATGTCCATCTTATACATGAGGCATGTTAGGAAACCATTATAAGAAGGATGTCCATCTTATTCATAAGGAATGTAAGGAAACCATTACAAGAAGGTTGTTTATCTTATACATGAGGAATGTCAGGAAACCATTACAAGAAGGATGTCCATCTTATACATGAGGCATGTGAGGAGACCATTACAAGAAGGATGTTTATCTTATACATCAGGCATGTTTGGAGACCATTACAAGAAGGATGAAGGACCATAACAAGAAGGATGTCCATCTTATACATGAAGAATGTTTGGAGACTATAACAAGAAGGATGTCAATCTTTTAAGAAGGATGTCCATCTTATACATGAGGCATGTTTGGAGACCATTACAAGAAGGATGAAGGACCATAACAAGAAGGATGTCCATCTTATACATGAAGAATGTTTGGAGACTATAACAAGAAGGATGTCAATCTTATACATGAGGCATGTTTGGAGACCATTACAAGAAGGATGTTTGGAGACTAAAACAAGAAGGATGTCCATCTTATACATGAGGCATGTTTAGAGACCATTACAAGAAGGATGTTTGGACCATAACAAGAAGGATGTCCATCTTATACATGAAGAATGTTTGGAGACTATAACAAGAAGGATGTCAATCTTATACATGAGGCATGTTTGGAGACCATTACAAGAAGGATGAAGGACCATAACAAGAAGGATGTCCATCTTATACATGAAGAATGTTTGTAGACTATAACAAGAAGGATGTCAATCTTATACATGAGGCATGTTTGGAGACCATTACAAGAAGGATGAAGGACCATAACAAGAAGGATGTCCATCTTATACATGAAGAATGTTTGGAGACTATAACAAGAAGGCTGTCCATCTTTTAAGAAGGATGTTTGGAGACTATAACAAGAAGGATATCAATCTTATACATGAGGCATATTAGGATACCATTACAAGAAGGATGTCCATCTTATACATGAAGAATGTTTGGAGACTAAAACAAGAAGGATGTCCATCTTATACATGAGGCATGTTTAGAGACCATTACAAGAAGGATGTTTGGACCATAACAAGAAGGATGTCCATCTTATACATGAAGAATGTTTGGAGACTATAACAAGAAGGATGTCAATCTTATACATGAGGCATGTTTGGAGACCATTACAAGAAGGATGAAGGACCATAACAAGAAGGATGTCCATCTTATACATGAAGAATGTTTGGAGACTATAACAAGAAGGATGTCAATCTTATACATCAGGCATGTTTGGAGACCATTACAAGAAGGACGAAGGACCATAACAAGAAGGATGTCCATCTTATACATGAAGAATGTTTGGAGACTATAACAAGAAGGCTGTCCATCTTTTAAGAAGGATGTTTGGAGACTATAACAAGAAGGATATCAATCTTATACATGAGGCATATTAGGATACCATTACAAGAAGGAAGAAGGACCATAACAAGAAAGATGTCCATCTTATACATGAGGCATGTTTGGAGACCATTACAAGAAGAATGTCCATCCTATACATGAGGCATGTGAGGAGACCATTACAAGAAGGATGAAGGACCATAACAAGAAAGATGTCCATCTTATACATGAGGCATGTTTGGAGACCATTACAAGAAGAATGTCCATCCTATACATGAGGCATGTGAGGAGACCATTACAAGAAGGATGAAGGACCATAACAAGAAAGATGTCCATCCTATACATGAAGAATGTTTGGAGACTATAACAAGAAGAATGTCCATCCTATACATGAGGCATGTGAGGAGACCATTCAAGAAGGATGTCCATCTTATACATGAGGCATGTTAGGAGACCATTACAAGAATGATGTCCAACTTATATGTGAGGAATGTTACGAGACCATTACAAGAAGGATGCCCATCTTATACATGAGGCATGTTAGGAGACCATTACAAGAAGGATGAAGGACCATAACAAGAAGGATGTCAATCTTATACATGAAGAATGTTTGGAGACTATAACAAGAAGGATGTCAATCTTATACATGAGGCATGTTAGGAGACCATTACAAAAAGGATGAAGGACCATAACAAGAAGGATGTCCATCTTATACATGAAGAATGTTTGGAGACTATAACAAGAAGGCTGTCCATCTTTTAAGAAGGATGTTTGGAGACTATAACAAGAAGGATGTCCATCTTATACATGAGGCATATTAGGATACCATTACAAGAAGGATGAAGGACCATAACAAGAAAGATGTCCATCTTATACATGAGGCATGTTAGGAGACCATTACAAGAAGGATGAAGGACCATAACAAGAAGGATGTCAATCTTATACATGAAGAATGTTTGGAGACTATAACAAGAAGGATGTCAATCTTATACATGAGGCATGTTAGGAAACCATTACAAGAAGAATGTCCATCCTATACATGAGGCATGTGAGGAGACCATTCAAGAAGGATGTCCATCTTATACATGAGGCATGTTAGGAGACCATTCAAGAAGGATGTCCATCTTTACGTGAGGAATGTTAGGAGACCATTACAAGAAGGATGTCCAACTTATGTGTGAGGAATGTTACGAGACCATTACAAGAAGGATGTCCATCTTATACATGAGGCATGTTAGGAGACCATTACAAGATGGATGAAGGACCATAACAAGAAGGATGTCCATCTTATACATGAAGAATGTTTGGAGACTATAACAAGAAGGATGTCAATCATATACATGAGGCATGTTTGGAGACTATAACAAGAAGGATGTCCATCTTATACATGAAGTGTGTTGACACCCACACCACAGACATACCACAAACGTACACAATCCACTGTCTGACCCCTACAACAGGGATACCGCAAACATATACAATCCTTGGTGTGTGACCAACACCACAGACATACCGCAAACATACACAATCCACTGTCTGACCCACACCACAGACATACCGCAAACATACACAATCCACTGCCTGACCCACACCACAGACATACTGCAAACATACACAATCCACTGTCTGACCCACACCACAGACATACCACAAACATACACAATACACTGTCTTACCCACACCACAGACATACTGCAAACATACACAATCCACTGTCTGACCCACACCACAGACATACTGCAAACATACACTTTACACTGTCTGACCCACACCACAGACATACCACAAACATACACAATCCACTGTCTGACCCACACCACAGACATACCGCAAACATACACAATCCACTGCCTGACCCACACCACAGACATACCGCAAACATACACAATCCACTGCCTGACCCACACCACAGACATACTGCAAACATACACAATCCACTGTCTGACCCACACCACAGACATACCGCAAACATACACAATCCACTGTCTGACCCACACCACAGACATACCGCAAACATACACAATCCACTGCCTGACCCACACCACAGACATACTGCAAACATACACAATACACTGTCTGACCCAAAAGACAGGGATACCGCAAACATATAAAATCCACTGTCTCACCTACACCACAGACATACTGCAAACATACACAATACACTGTCTGACCCACACCACAGACATACTGCAAACATACACAATACACTGTCTGACCCACACCACAGACATACCGCAAACATACACAATCCACTGCCTGACCCACACCACAGGCATACCACAAACATACACAATCCACTGTCTGACCCACACCACAGACATACAGCAAACATACACAATCCACTGTCTGACCCACACCACAGACATACCGCAAACATACACAATCCACTGCCTGACCCACACCACAGACATACTGCAAACATACACAATCCACTGTCTGACCCACACCACAGACATACCGCAAACATACACAATCCACTGCCTGACCCACACCACAGACATACTGCAAACATACACAATCCACTGTTTGACCCAAAAGACAGACATACAGCAAACATACACAATCTACTGTCTGACCCACACCACAGGGATACAGCAAACATACACAATCCACTGTCTGACCCACACCGCAGGCATACCACAAACATACACAATCCACTGTCTGACCCACACCACAGACATACCGCAAACATACACAATCCACTGTCTCACCTACACCACAGACATACTGCAAACATACACAATACACTGTCTGACCCACACCACAGACATACTGCAAACATACACAATACACTGTCTGACCCACACCACAGACATACCGCAAACATACACAATCCACTGCCTGACCCACACCACAGGCATACCACAAACATACACAATCCACTGTCTGACCCACACCACAGACATACAGCAAACATACACAATCCACTGTCTGACCCACACCACAGACATACCGCAAACATACACAATCCACTGCCTGACCCACACCACAGACATACTGCAAACATACACAATCCACTGTCTGACCCACACCACAGACATACCGCAAACATACACAATCCACTGCCTGACCCACACCACAGACATACTGCAAACATACACAATCCACTGCCTGACCCACACCACAGACATACCGCAAACATACACAATCCACTGTCTGACCCACACCACAGACATACAGCAAACATACACAATCCACTGTCTGACCCACACCACAGACATACCGCAAACATACACAATCCACTGTCTGACCCACACCACAGACATACAGCAAACATACACAATCCACTGTCTGACCCACACCACAGACATACAGCAAACATACACAATCCACTGTCTGACCCACACCACAGACATACCGCAAACATACACAATCCACTGCCTGACCCACACCACAGACATACCGCAAACATATACAATCCACTGTCTGACCCACACCACAGACATACAGCAAACATACACAATCCACTGTCTGACCCACACCACAGACATACCGCAAACATACACAATCCACTGTCTGACCCACACCACAGACATACCGCAAACATACACAATCCACTGTCTGACCCACACCACAGACATACCGCAAACATACACAATCCACTGTCTGACCCAAAAGACAGGGATACCGCAAACATACACAATCCACTGTCTGACCCACACCACAGACATACTGCAAACATACACAATCCACTGTTTGACCCAAAAGACAGACATACAGCAAACATACACAATCTACTGTCTGACCCACACCACAGGGATACAGCAAACATACACAATCCACTGTCTGACCCACACCGCAGGCATACCACAAACATACACAATCCACTGTCTGACCCACACCACAGACATACCGCAAACATACACAATCCACTGCCTGACCCACACCACAGACATACAGCAAACATACACAATCCACTGTCTGACCCACACCACAGACATACCGCAAACATACACAATCCACTGCCTGACCCACACCACAGACATACTGCAAACATACACAATCCACTGCCTGACCCACACCACAGACATACAGCAAACATACACAATCCACTGTCTGACCCACACCACAGACATACCGCAAACATACACAATCCACTGCCTGACCCACACCACAGACATACTGCAAACATACACAATCCACTGCCTGACCCACACCACAGACATACAGCAAACATACACAATCCACTGTCTGACCCACACCACAGACATACCGCAAACATACACAATCCACTGCCTGACCCACACCACAGGCATACCGCAAACATACACAATCCACTGTCTGACCCAAAAGACAGGGATACCGCAAACATACACAATCCACTGCCTGACCCACACCACAGGCATACTGCAAACATACACAATCCACTGTCTGACCCACACCACAGACATACCGCAAACATACACAATCCACTGTCTGACCCAAAAGACAGGGATACCGCAAACATACACAATCCACTGTCTGACCCACACCACAGACATACCGCAAACATACACAATCCACTGTCTGACCCACACCACAGGCATACCGCAAACATACACAATACACTGTCTGACCCAAAAGACAGGGATACCGCAAACATACACAATCCACTGTCTGACCCACACCACAGGCATACCGCAAACATACACAATACACTGTCTGACCCACACCACAGACATACTGCAAACATACACAATCCACTGTCTGACCCACACCACAGACATACTGCAAACATACACAATCCACTGCCTGACCCACACCACAGACATACTGCAAACATACACAATCCACTGTTTGACCCAAAAGACAGACATACAGCAAACATACACAATCTACTGTCTGACCCACACCACAGGGATACAGCAAACATACACAATCCACTGTCTGACCCACACCGCAGGCATACCACAAACATACACAATCCACTGTCTGACCCACACCACAGACATACCGCAAACATACACAATCCACTGCCTGACCCACACCACAGACATACAGCAAACATACACAATCCACTGTCTGACCCACACCACAGACATACCGCAAACATACACAATCCACTGCCTGACCCACACCACAGACATACTGCAAACATACACAATCCACTGCCTGACCCACACCACAGACATACTGCAAACATACACAATCCACTGTCTGACCCACACCACAGACATACTGCAAACATACACAATCCACTGTTTGACCCACACCGCAGGCATACCACAAACATACACAATCCACTGTCTGACCCACACCACAGACATACTGCAAACATACACAATCCACTGTTTGACCCAAAAGACAGACATACAGCAAACATACACAATCCACTGTCTGACCCACACCACAGACATACCGCAAACATACACAATCCACTGTCTGACCCACACCACAGGGATACCGCAAACATACACAATCCACTGTCTGACCCACACCACAGACATACTGCAAACATACACAATCCACTGTTTGACCCAAAAGACAGACATACAGCAAACATACACAATCTACTGTCTGACCCACACCACAGGGATACCGCAAACATACACAATCCACTGTCTGACCCACACCACAGACATACCACAAACATACACAATCCACTGTCTGACCCACACCACAGACATACCACAAACATACACAATACACTGTCTGACCCACACCACAGACATACCGCAAACATACACAATCCACTGCCTGACCCACACCACAGGGATACCGCAAACATACACAATCCACTGTCTGACCCACACCACAGACATACCACAAACATACACAATCCACTGTCTGACCCACACCACAGACATACCACAAACATACACAATACACTGTCTGACCCACACCACAGACATACCGCAAACATACACAATCCACTGTCTGACCCACACCACAGGGATACCGCAAACATACACAATCCACTGTCTGACCCACACCACAGACATACCGCAAACATACACAATCCACTGTCTGACCCACACCACAGACATACCGCAAACATACACAATCCACTGTCTGACCCACACCACAGACATACCGCAAACATACACAATCCACTGTCTGACCCACACCACAGACATACCACAAACATACACAATCCACTGTCTGACCCACACCACAGACATACTGCAAACATACACAATACACTGTCTGACCCACACCACAGGGATACAGCAAACATACACAATCCACTGTCTTACCCACACCGCAGGCATACCACAAACATACACAATCCACTGTCTGACCCACACCACAGACATACCACAAACATACACAATACACTGTCTGACCCACACCACAGGGATACTGCAAACATACACAATCCACTTTCTGACCCACACCACAGACATACTGCAAACATACACAATCCACTGTCTGACCCATACCACAGACATACCGCAAACATACACAATCCACTGTGTCTGACCCAGACCACAGGGATACCGCAAACATATACAATCCACTGTCTGACCCACACCACAGGCATACCGCAAACATACACAATACACTGTCTGACCCACACCACAGACATACCGCAAACACACAATCCTCATAAAGTCTGCATCGATAAGATTAAAACCCGGGACCTTTTCAATTGAGAAACGTACTCAGTTTGTTGCGGCCTGCCTGATTTACTGTGTTTAGTTCCATTGAAAATGTGGCGTGTTTTAATCATTACGACGCACACTTTGTGAGAATTTGTGTAGCTACTTCTATTTAAAGTGTGTTCATGTTCCATAGTTTGGTAGCTCTCTGCTGGTTTTCATTGGTAGGCCTGATATTGTTCCCTACAAACCTGTTTGTAACGATTGGTGGCCTTGGTGGGTGCCATGAAAAGGGGTAGGTATACAAAGGGTTTATTTTCGGAAAGCATCGCAGCTCAAACCGATATATGAAAGCTGCATCAGCGGAGCACACAATTTTCACCATGCACAACACGGCGTGAGTACAGGTTAAAGATATTGTAGTAATCATGAATGCCAGTCTTCTCGTTATGTAGCACTTACACTATCAATAGCCTTCAATAATCAATCTGAGATGACACGTCAAAAGGTCTTTCTACATGCCCATCACATTATAAATGTGCCAAGTCAGTTAATGCACATTAGACGTTTCACATTATCACAAATAATCTAATCCAGGTGTCAAACAATACAGCTAATGTTACGCGGAGCATAGAAATCAATATCAGGAATATTTACGACGATAATGTGCACTTACACCAGCCACGCTACACCGTCCATGAAGCAGACGCTCACTGGCCTCCACCGCACACAGAGTTACCATTACAACAGCGGCACCAAGACAAAATGGCGTTTAATAATCTTGGTTTGTGTTGAATCGTCCCCAAACCCTCGCAACCAGGTGCTTCTCAGGCACGTGTCACCGCGAACTTGGGGAAGGGTCACTCTGAACATATTCCTCTTTTAATGCTTGAAGTAAACAAACGATTAATCTTTGCTAAAGTTGATCCCAAGTGTTTGAAATACCCACGAAGACCACTGGTATCTGATCCACCGCGCTCATCTTTAAAATGACGCATGTCAAACAGCAGGCATATAGATATATAGATGTGAAACAACAGAATATCTCCAGGTGGACTTTGATGTCATACGTACAACATATCAGACACAACAGGCACCAGACAGACTAAGATGTGGTATACAGTCATACAACGTGCACAATTTCCAGACAGACCTTAGATACACGTACACGGTATACAACAGACAGTCTCCAGACACACGGACGTCATATAACAGTCTCCAGACACACGGACATGTCATATAACAGTCTCCAGACACACGTACATGCCATATAACAGTCTCCAGACACTTCGACATGCCATCTAACAGACATATCATATAACAGTCTCCAGACACACGGACATGTAATATAAAACAGTCACCAGACACACGGACGTGTCATATAACAGGCAGTCTCCAGACACACGGACATGCCATATAACAGGCAGTCTCCAGACACACGGACGAGGACCCGGGTTCGATTCCCGACATGGGTACAAAGTGTGAAGCCCATTTCTGGTGTCCCCCGCCGTGATATTGCTCACTCACTCACTCCCCAGACACTTGGACATGCCATCTTACAGACATATCATATAACAGTCTCCAGACGCACCATATAACAGTCTCCAGACACACGGACATGTAACATATGTAATAAATCTGACGCCTTGGTGAGTATTTTTTATATATATTCTAAGCCTCGGGAAAATTATTCACATAATCGTATCAGACTTTTTTACCCTAAATGCGCACATGTGTGTTTTGAGCCTATCATGTATAGAAGTCTTTGATAGAACCTGAATCTTGCATTAGAGATGGTAAATAGTCCTTCTCACAGTCCATAATAGTTTCTCTTACTGTAATGCCACACCTCAAATTAACCAAGTCTAGATTTTCCACAGGTTTTGAATCTCCCATCTCAGTGGGTCACCTTTTCAATTTAAATGGAGTTTTTAAAAATGTTTTTATGAAAATAATATATTGCCAGAGACTAAGCGTCCGGCTAAGGTGGTGAGCCTTTATTTCACCCGCTGGCACCCTAGGATCCCATCGGGCACAAACCCTCGACAGACGATTACATGAAGCAATGTTTCTATTGACCCATCATTAGAGAAGCTTGTGGTCTCCTCTAACACATAGAGTGTAATGCGCCTATTGTTCCGTACCAGGTTGTGGACGGCATGCAACCGTTCGTCAATGTTCTTTGGAGATTGACCCTTCAGGGTAAACAATTTCATGACCGCTCTATACGCAGTTGCGTCCATTTCAATTCTAAGGAATAAGGTACTTTAGGGTCTTCAAGTCAGTTATCAGCAAGTCACTGGCGGGAAGCACGTCAAACTGTGAAAGATGACTCAAGGCACACAGGTCACTAATCTATGTCACGCGTAAACATAACAACAAACTAGATATACCAAGTTCAAGGATTACTGGTATCCTCTGACACTGATCAAAATACGATTGTTTTTTGTTTTGTTTTTTGTACAGTATATGTATTTCCGATGGCTTCATGGTACAGTGTTCAAAATATACAGATGTTGTTGACCTTTGACGACTGACTGTAGAGACCCTTTCATAGGCAGAGCGTTGTGATACAACGATACAACTGGATAAATCGAGTACATAACTACGGTTATAACGAACACGCTTATAACGAACTAACGGATATACGGACGAACTTTTTAGTCCCGACTAAATGCTGTAGTTATGCTGTATATATATTTTTATTTTTTTAAATATTTTTTTATTTTTTCAATCCTTTTACATTTATTTGATAAAATGTGACATTCCAGTACATAGTTGATTAATCATCTAAATAGATGCTGGCAAGTTGACCAAAATTTATAGAATAGGTCAATGTCACACTCAATAATCGCTGAACATTTAGTAAGGTTGTAGTAGTTTCTTATTTCGTTCTGAAAGACTTGAACTGACGTGTCTTACAACCTTGGGGCGACGTTTGGTCTGTATCTACTTTATACTACGACCGACACTTGACAGAGGACACACCTCTTAAGTCCCATTCAGTGAGTGTTGAGATTTTACGCCGCTTTCTGACATCAGACCAGGAATAGGACGTAGGAAAACATCATAGTTACTTTGTGGGGAGTTGAATTTCGGGTCTTCGGCGTGACGGGCGACTGCTTCACCACAAGGCTGACCCGCCGACCCTCCCGACCTTCCCGACTTTCCCGACCCTGCCGACCCTGCCGACCCTCCCGACCTTCCCGACCCTGCCGACCCTCCCGACCCTGCCGACCCTGCCGACCCTCCCGACCTTCCCGACCTTCCCGACCCTCCCGACCCTGCCGACCCTCCCGACCCTGCCGACCCTCCCGACCCTCCCGACCTTCCCGTCCCTCCCGACCTTCCCGTCCCTCCCGACCTTCCCGACCTTCCCGACCCTCCCGACCCTCCCGACCCTCCCGACCCTGCCGACCCTCCCGACCTTCCCACCCTCCCGACCTTCCCGACCCTGCCGACCCTGCCGACCCTCCCGACCTTCCCACCCTCCCGACCTTCCCGACCCTGCCGACCCTGCCGACCCTCCCGACCCTGCCGACCCTCCCGACCTTCCCGACCCTGCCGACCCTCCCGACCTTCCCGACCCTCCCGACCTTCCCGACCCTGCCGACCCTGCCGACCCTCCAGACCCTGCCGACCCTCCCGACCTTCCCGACCCTCCCGACCTTCCCGACCCTGCCGACCCTCCCGACCTTCCCGACCCTGCCGACCCTCCCGACCCTGCCGACCCTCCCGACCTTCCCGACCCTGCCGACCCTCCCGACCTTCCCGACCCTGCCGACCCTCCCGACCTTCCCACCCTCCCGACCTTCCCGACCCTGCCGACCCTCCCGACCCTCCCGACCCTTCCGACCTTCCCGACAAGCAACCGGGGGGTTCCACGATCACGTGCAGTACATACTGTAAGTAGGTGTGACAGTTGATGGCTGGGGTGTGTAGGCCTCGTACTTTCGCACGGAGCACAGGCAGGAGAACGACAGCAAGGCAGGAACATGTATGTATAATTTGTGTATTTGGAAACCGTGAAGACGCCCTGTCCTCACAGTGACAGACTATTGTTGTCAATTGTTGGCATCTCAAGTATATTGTCACTAAAGAGAAAAGGAATTTAAATTCTTTTTACAAATTCATTTCAATTTATTCAACAAGTTCACAAAGAACAAACAGAAGAGGGAGGCGACATGCTGATGAATGTCCACGCCTTTTCTAAGGTTGAGATATGTCCACTTCTGTGTGTGTATGTGCTTGACTAGTTGTCATACTAGTTGCACCAAGTAACACAGAGAACTTGGGGCCTGGCACGTTATGAAATTACTCTCTTGTAAATTTTGAAGTGGTAATAGGAAATCAAAGTCGCGTGTAAAAGGCAATATAGTGTAGATATTGTGAATGTGTGTATGAGAAATACTTCTGTACCCGTTCAGCAACACAATATAAAGCAACTTCTGTGGCTTTAATACTCCGTTCATTCTCTCTACAGCGGCACGCCCCGTGGAGATTAAGTGGAAGAATAGATCCCCAGCACCGCATGCTTTGGTAAGAGTTGAATCGTATATTATAAAGGGGGATATTTTATCTTGGGACTGTATCTTAATTTGCTGAGTACCCATTTAATCTTTTTTTCATATATGTTTCCCCCTATATTAATTGACCAGATCCTAAATACTGTTTAAAAAACACCATTAGTTGAACAAATTGAACTCTTCGGGCTTTCCTCTTACATCAAGCTGACGCGCTTTGATTGACTGAAATACTGTTCAAAGCGGCGTTAAAGACAACCTCCCTCACTCAGTCTGCAGGCCTGACGCCTGTCAGTAGAACCCCAGTACTCTTATTCCCAGTCACCATGATGACAGTATCATTTAAATACCGCTACGTTGTTTACAACAACCCTTGACTTCAATGGCTGTATTTTCAGCCATGCGACAAGAACAAGCTTTTCGTTTGACAAAACTGTGAACTACGTCTTGGTATAACGTGGGCAGTACAAGGCCAGTTCATTGGCGGAATATGAGTGTAACCTTCCCATCCCGACCCATTGTCAGCCTTGTTTAGTCTCTGCCTTACCGTGTATGCTTTGTATGCCTTTCATATCATTTACAAATTACATTATGAATCTGGGTTAACAGCTGTTTGATAAACATGGTCTGTTATTATTTGAAAGTAGTACCAGTACTTATTGCGAGAGTGATATGCAAACACACAGACAGTGACGTGAGTGTCTTGTCAGCGTCGTCGGCAGGGCATACAATACGCGCAGTCTACCTTGTCGCCAATCTACCGTACTATCGGACACTCCAATAAATTCTGTTTATAATACTATAATGAATGATGGCGTACGTTGTCACAACCATGTGCACACGTGTTTGTTTGTACCTGTGTCTCGTGCATTTATTTCTGTGTGTGTCTGTGTATGTGTCTGACTGTGTCTCTGTGTGTATGTCCAGGTATAGTGTCCGTGCGTGTGTACATTTGTGTGCGCGCGTTCACGCGGCCTACGTCGTTGACGATTGTCTGTTGCGAGCTGCGGTAACCGTATCTCTGTGCTGCTCCCTAGAACCGATTTTGATATTGACGTGTCGCTACACACAGAGCTACGGACTGTTCCACAGTGTTTCCCTCATGAATCCCAGATCCAAATCTGCATCGCACTTTATAGGTTTCAAAAAGTGCATGCGTCTTGATCTAACGACAAACGCAACACACACAAAAATTATCCGCCAAAACCCGAACCCTCTCGATGAATCCATCGCCTGGGCGATTCTATCAAAGAAAAGCTTCTAGTAATTCTGACTGCTGGAGTTCTACTACTTCATGACAATTACTCTTCTCGCACCTATCGACTTGCAAACTGCTGCTGTGCGACAATCTGGGTTCGAAGAGCTTCCTCACCTTCACTCCAGGTATATCTGTACAGGTGACACTACAGGTATATATGTACATGTGTTCCCCTGGTGACACTTCAGGTATATATGTACAGGTGTTCCCCTGGTGACACTACAGGTATATATGTACAGGTGACACTACAGGAATATATGTACAGGTGACACTACGGGTATATATGTACAGGTGTCCCCTGGTGACACTACATGTATATATGTACAGGTGATACTCCAGGTATATATGTACAGGTGACTCTACAGGTATATATGTACAGGTGTCCCCTGGTGACACTACATGTATATATGTACAGGTGACACTACAGGTATATATGTACAGGTGACACTACAAGTATATATGTACAGGTTTTCCCCTGGTGACACTACAGGTATATATGTACAGGTGTTCCCCTGGTGACACTACAGAATGTATATGTACAGGTGATACTGCAGGTATATATGTACAGGTGACTCTACTGGTATATATGTACAGGTGTTCCCCTGGTGACACTAAAGGTATATATGTACAGGTGTTCCCTGGTGACACTACAGGTATATATGTACAGGTGTTCCCCTGGTGACACTACAGGTATATATGTACAGGTGTTCCCCTGGTGACACTACAGGTATATATGTACAGGTGACACTACAGGTATATATGTACAAGTGTTCCCCTGGTGATACTCCAGGTATATATGTACAGGTGACACTACGGGTATATATGTACAGGTGTTCCCCTGGTGACACTACAGGTATATATGTACAGGTGACACTACAGGTATATATGTACAGGTGTCCCCCTGGTGACACTACATGTATATATGTTCAGGTGACACTCCAGGTATATATGTACAGGTGACACTAAAGGTATATATGTACAGGTGTTCCCCTGGTGACACTACAGGTATATATGTACAAGTGTTCCCCTTGTGACACTACAGAATGTATATGTACAGGTGTTCCCCTGGTGATACTCTAGGTATATATGTACAGGTGACACTACAGGTATATATGTACAGGTGTCCCCTGGTGACACTACAGGTATATATGTTCAGGTGACACTACAAGTATAAATGTACAGGTGACACTACAGGTATATATGTACAGGTGTTCCCCTTGTGACACTACAGGTATATATGTACAGGTGTTCCCCTGGTGATACTCCAGGTATATATGTACAGGTGACACTACAGGTATATATGTACAGGTGTCCCCTGGTGACACTACAGGTATATATGTTCAGGTGACACTACAAGTATATATGTACAGGTGACACTACAGGTATATATGTACAGGTGTTCCCTGGTGACACTACAGGTATATATGTACAGGTGTTCCCCTGGTGACACTAGAGGTATATATGTACAGGTTGTCCCATGGTGACACTACAGGTATATATGTATAGGTGTTCCCCTGGTGACACTACAGGTATATATGTACATGTGTTCCCCTGGTGACACTACAGGTATATATGTACAGGTGTTCCCCTGGTGACACTACAGGTATATATGTACAGGTGTTCCCCTGGTGACACTACAGGTATATATGTACATGTGTTACCCTGGTGACACTAGAGGTATATATGTACAGGTTGTCCCATGGTGACACTACAGGTATATATGTATAGGTGTTCCCCTGGTGACACCACATGTATATATGTACAGGTGTTCCCCTGGTGACACTACAGGTACACTATATGTACAGGTAGACCGCCGGTGACGTGCTGGCAGGTATAGATATATATCTCAGACAGGCTATTGTAGTTACCTAGTGTCACGGTAGAACACCGGCCATCTAAAACCTATTATCACCTATAAATTCCCGACTACATTTCGCCCACTTCAACACGCACTTGCAGGTATTCTCCTTCTCTCCATTCTTCTCACGCGGCAGGCATTTTATAAGAGCTCAGCACTCAGTATTGACTCTTGAAGTAAGACTTAAAAGTAATTCTGTGTCAGATTGCTCCATGGTCCCACTTCAAGCTCACAATGTCTGTTTTATTACCTCTACCGGGGCACACACATCGTTTTAGATATGTAATTGCCACACAAGTGACAACACGTGGTAGGCCAGGGCCCACTGACACAAAACTATCTTAGTACTGAGACTAACCCCCACATTCTAATTACAGGATATTAAACGTGCTATCCGTTTCATATCAAGTACATGTCCCGAGCTTTAGAGAGAAGCACAAAGCAATATTTGACGAGGGATTAATGTACTCTGAAATGGGAACCACTTTTGTATCCTATGTATTAATAACGATGATTTTATTGATTATCAACACAATAACGCAATGTCCGTGTGCCCTATTTGGCTTTTGTTTACATTTTGCCTTCTGTGTATTCAAGTACACTTTGCTGCATTTATAAGGACAGATGGCTGTGAAGTTATTGTGTTGATAACTCGTTAAAGATCATCGTTGGTTATGAATAGGGTACAATACCCGGTCCCTTTTCAAGCTTGTTTCGTGAAATATTGTTTTACAGGTAAAAATTATTCCACTCGACACATACACCTGACATGAAATGAGAAGCTCGTCCAATATCTTATAATTAGCCCGAATAATCGTAACACTAAGATCGTTTTGTGCACATGGGCCAGGAGGGACTCGTGTTGACGATCCGGGCCCTGTTTCACTAAGCCATGTTAGTTCTACGTTTGTCTGTGATATGGTATGAGAGTTATGACCGTCGTAACACAAAGATAACTCTGCAGAACTGGGCCCAGTTTAGTTAGCTCACCCGGTGGCTGGCATGTTCCGGTGATTGTCCGTTGTTTGTGGTGAACTATTCCAATATTCTAGTCTGATTCAGTAAGCGAAGCAGTAAACCATGGCCTGGGCTTGACCATGGGGAGGAAGGGGATCTACCTGGACACCATTTATTTCGCTGACCACATGCTCTTCAATCGGCTTAATACTAGAGTATATTTTCTAAATTATTCCTCGGGATAAATTATTTATATTTTGAAACATCACGTGAGTGTATCCGACATTAACACACACACGCATTGATTGGTATGCTGTCCTCCTGACTCTTAACACATACTTTCTACAGACGTGTTTACAATACAGGCGCTCCAGCGTTCAACAGTGTGGCTTGTTGGAGTGTTTGTTTGTTTGTTGTTTAACACCGTGCTCAGCACTGTTCCAGCTATACGAGTGTGTGTTTGTCTGTTGTTTAACACCGCGCTCAGCACTGTTCCAGCTATACGAGTGTGTGTTTGTCTGTTGTTTAACACCGTGCTCAGCACTGTTCCAGCTATACGAGTGTGTGTTTGTCTGTTGTTTAACACCGCGCTAAGCACTGTTCCAGCTATATGAGTGTTTGTTTGTCTGTTGTTTAACACCGTGCTCAGCACTGTTCCAGCTATACGAGTGTGTGTTTGTCTGTTGTTTAACACCGCGCTCAGCACTGTTCCAGCTATATAACAACGGTCTGTGAATAATCGAGTATGGACCAGACAATCCAGTGATTGACATCATGAACATCGATCCGCGCAATTGGGATACGATGACATTCATCAAACCAAGTCAGTAAGCCTGACAACCCGGTCCCGTTAGTTGCCTCTTACAGGCGTAGTCACCAACTCTTGGTTTGCATTTAAACCCCCTTCTTGAAACAACGTGATGCGGCTATAGTGTCTTACACCTCTTCTGCTGGATCAACCTGACGGTGCTCGTATGTGCCTGATCTATAAATCTGTAACACTGAAGAATTTGCAAGGGCGCGTACCCAGGAGAAGTTAGTTATGACATGGCGGTGATTGTGCGGGGATTATCGGGTCTCACGTTGTGATTGCGGGAGATCTTATAGATGAATAAATCACATGTGTTTGAAAATTGATTAGAATCTATGGTCACTTGAAACCTCACGTGCGAATGAGTGTAAGTAATTAGAGGTATAAATCAGGACCGCTGAGCGGAATTGCTGGGGGTGTACACCACTGATCAAACATTGCACAATCTCTCACACCGACACTGTCGCTTTCTGTGGGAGTCCTGCGTAACTGTCAGTCTCCACAGTCGTTGATCGATCTTCACAATCTTCATTGATCTCCTCTCATATACTGGCATACACTTATCCTGGGTTATCGAGTTGATATTGAACTCAGTATTAGCACGAATCATTGATTCGCTCATTGAGACCATGTTATTGAAAGTCGGATTAATAGCAACACATTTGGCAGGTGATGTTCTTAGATATTCTGATGTGTCAATTTAATTGAACTATATACACGAGTGAAGACATACCTGGAAGGGATATAGCTACAGTTACAGTTTAGTGTTGTGCCCGGTACGTCGTGTTAGCGTCTATACCCATGCTGTCTGGGTTGCGTGCAACGTTGATCTCGCTGATATAGTCACGGAGCTGATACACGCCAATCACAGATCATCACCAGTGATCACACGATAACACTGCACAACTAGTAAACAGCACCACACAGCCGGCGCTTGGAGATGGCGTGATAACACAACAAACGCACATTACAAATACATGCTACTCACTGCTAGGGCTAACTGTGACAATATGTCAAACCTGAAGTCAGTAACTTGTCAGTTAACCCAT